ACAGTATCACAGTACTACAGTATCAACACACATTACTACAGTATCAACACACAGTACTACAGTATCAACACACAGTACTACAGTATCACAGTACTACAGTATCAACATACAGTACTACAGTATCAACACATAATACTACAGTATCAACACACAGTACTACAGTATCAACACATAGTGCTAAAGTATCAACACACAGTACTACAGTATCAACACATAGTACTACAGTATCAACACACAGTACTACAGATCAACACACAGTACTACAGTATCACAGTACTACAGTATCAACACATAGTACTACAGTATCAACACACAGTACTACAATATCACAGTACTACAGTATCAACACACAGTATTACAGTATCAACACATAATACTACAGTATCAACACACAGTACTACAGTATCAACACACAGTACTACAGTATCAACACACAGTACTACAGATCAACACACAGTACTACAGTATCAACACATAGTACTACAGTATCACACACATTACTACAGTATCACAGTACTACAGTATCAACACATAGTACTACAGTATCACAGTACTACAGTATCAACATACAGTACTACAGTATCAAGACATAATACTACAGTATCAACACACAGTACTACAGTATCAACACATAGTACTACAGTATCAACACACAGTACTACAGTATCAACACACATTACTACAGTATCAACACACAGTACTACAGTATCAACACATAGTACTACAGTATCACACGGTACTACAGTATCAACACATAGTACTGCAGTATCAACACACAGTACTACAGTATCACAGTACTACAGTATCAACATACAGTACTACAGTATCAACACATAATACTACAGTATCAACACACAGTACTACAGTATCAACACATAGTACTACAGTGTCAACACACAATACTACAGTATCACACAGTACTACAGTATCAACACAAAGTACTACACTATCAACACACAGTACTACAGTATCAACACATAGTACTACATTATCAACACACAGTACTACAGTGTCAATACACAGTACTACAGTATCAACACACATTACTACAGTATCAACACACAGTACTACAGTATCACACATTACTACAGTATCAACACACAGTACTACAGTATCAACACACAGTACTACAGATTAACACACAGTACTACAGATCAACACACAGTACTACAGTATCAACACACAGTACTACAGTATCAACACACAGTACTACAGATCAACACACAGTACTACAGTATCAACACACAGTACTACAGTATCAACACACACTACTACAGTATCAACACACAGTACTACAGTATCAACACATAATACTACAGTGTTAACACATAATACTACAGTGTTAACACACAATACTACAGTATCACATAGTACTACACTGTCAACACACAGTACTACAGTATCACACAGTACTACAGTATCACACACTACTACAGTGTCAACACACAGTACTACAGTATCACACAGTACTACAGTATCAACACACAGTACTACAGTATCACACACAGTACTACACTATCAACACACAGTACTACAGTATCAACACATAGTACTACAGTATCAACACATAGTACTACAGTATCAACACACAGTACTACAGTATCACACACAGTACTACACTATCAACACACAGTACTACAGTATCAACACATAGTACTACAGTATCAACACATAGTACTACAGTATCAACACACAGTACTACAGTATCACACACAGTACTACACTATCAACACACAGTACTACAGTATCAACACATAGTACTACAGTATCAACACACAGTACTACAGTATCACACAGTACTACAGTGTCAACACACAGTACTACAGTATCACACAGTACTACAGTGTCAACACACAGTACTACAGTATCAACACATAGTACTACAGTATCACACAGTACTAAAGTATCAACACATAGTACTACAGTATCAACATACAGTACTACAGTATCAACACATAATACTACAGTATCAACACACAGTACTACAGTATCAACACATAGTACTACAGTGTCAACACACAATACTGCAGTATCACACAGTACTACAGTATCAACACAAAGTACTACAGTATCAACACACAGTACTACAGTGTCAATACACAGTACTACAGTATCAACACACAGTACTACAGTATCAACACACAGTACTACAGTATCACACATTACTACAGTATCAACACACAGTACTACAGTATCAACACACAGTACTACAGATTAACACACAGTACTACAGATCAACACACAGTACTACAGTATCAACACACAGTACTACAGATCAACACACAGTACTACAGTATCAACACACAGTACTACAGTATCAACACACACTACACACAGTATCAACACACACAGTACTACAGTATCAACACACAATACTACAGTGTTAACACACAATACTACAGTGTTAACACACAATACTACAGTATCACACACACTACTACACTGTCAACACACAGTACTACAGTATCACACAGTACTACAGTATCACACACTACTACAGTGTCAACACACAGTACTACAGTATCACACAGTACTACAGTATCAACACACAGTACTACAGTATCACACACAGTACTACACTATCAACACACAGTAATACAGTATCAACACACAGTACTACAGTATCACACACAGTACTACACTATCAACACACAGTACTACAGTATCACACACAGTACTACACTATCAACACACAGTACTACAGTATCAACACATAGTACTACAGTATCAACACACAGTACTACAGTATCACAGTACTACAGTGTCAACACAAAATACTACAGTATCACACAGTACTACAGTGTCAACACACAGTACTACAGTATCACACAGTACTACAGTGTCAACACACAATACTACAGTATCACACAGTACTACAGTGTCAACACACAATACTACAGTATCACACAGTACTACACTATCAACACACAGTACTACAGTATCAACACATAGTACTACAGTGTCAACACACAGTACCATAGCCAAAAGCCGAGTTCTGTATCAAGCATGATGATATTTGCAAATATAAATAAACAAAGGTGATAAGATTTGTTTCAGGTTACCTGGTCTGAAGGACCCATTGAGCTTATGCTGTGGTGTGGTGTCTGTTGTCAGTCAACTTTACCATTTTTATGACTTCTTGTCATTAACCTGCAGACCAAATGTCATGATATTTGGCTGGTGGGTTGCTTGGATAAAGCTCATCAAAAACTGTGAAAAAAAATGACCTTGACCTTTATTCTAGGTCACATGGGTCAAATTTGTTAAAAGCTAAAATACATCTTCTGAATAATTATAAGGGGTAGAAGTATGGTATTTGCCTGATATGTCCCCAGAATGAAGCCCGAAATAGTTTGCGAAAAGAAATTACCTTGACCCATATTGAAGGTCAAAGGGATTAAATATTTTTAAACCTGATTCTGTTTTGGTGAACATTGAATATTAGGTGAGTAATGCAGACCCATTGGGCCTCTTGTTCAATCTGAATTAGAAATTTGGACTTACTTCATCCTTAACTTACAATACACCATGTCAGGTTAGCATCCTCTTACAAAGTAGATGCCTTGTAAGTGTGATTATGTTCATCCTTCGTGTAACATTTCTGTATTACCTTCCTGTTCCTTAAACAGTTGGTGTTAACATGTTGCTGTTGAGTAAAACATGATTTGATTTGTACCCAATATCACCATTTCTATGATAGATGTCTACAGCTGACAGAAATACATTCAGGGTTTCAAAGGCTTGTTGTAGAGCACAGGAAAGTTGCCATCATGATCTTTATGGGAAATATTTGATGCCCTTAAGTAAAATGAAGTAAAATATGTTTGTTACTTGTGCCATTTTTGGTATGAGCCAGACGACGTAAACCCTTTCTGAAAAGTGTAATGTAATCTTCTTGTTTTTTCTAGGGGCTTCATGTTATTCATTTCATCAATTTTCCGTTTTCTGATGATTTTATATCAATATCTCCACAGTTCAACCATTAACTGAAAATCACAGTACAATGAACTTTATGTGATAAATCTATCTGCAGCTACATATCTACAAGTTGGATTTTAGTCCAATCAATGCATAGAACAGCCAACACTGAGGAGTAGTTTTTTTCTGAGATAAAATTATGTAATAAGTAAAAAACACACAAATACTGTCGCAAATAAATAAACAGCTTTATTGTTGTCAGATATCACAGTCAATAAATTAGATACAATAAGCACTTATCACATATTGAATGAATTGTTGATAAATTAACAATAAGATCGATCCAACTCTTTTCTACATGTTTTTGTATGTCTGTTACATCTAAGTATGTCCTGCTACCAAATCTACTTACAAGTGAGTCACATTAACAGATCTACTTACAAGTGAGTCACATTAACAGATCTACTTACAAGTGAGTCACATTAACACTTACAAGTGAGTCACATTAACAGATCTACTTACAAGTGAGTCACATTAACACTTACAAGTGAGTCACATTAACAGATCAACTTACAAGTGAGTCACATTAACATTAACACTTACAAGTGAGTCACATTAACAGATCTACTTACAAGTGAGTCACATTAACACTTACAAGTGAGTCACATTAACAGATCTACTTACAAGTGAGTCACATTAACACTTACAAGTGAGTCACATTAACAGATCTACTTACAAGTGAGTCACATTAACAGATCTACTTACAAGTGAGTCACATTAACAGATCTACTTACAAGTGAGTCACATTAACACTTACAAGTAAGTCACATTAACAGATCTACTTACAAGTGAGTCACATTAACAGATCTACTTACAAGTGAGTCACATTAACAGATCTACTTACAAGTAAGTCACATTAACAGATCTACTTACAAGTGAGTCACATTAACAGATCTACTTGGAAGATCTATTTAAAAAGAAGTTTATTCCATATTTGTATATCTTTAATTAAGAAAATCAATGCAAAAATATATCCTTTTTAAAATACAATTATATCTTTAACATTGTGGAATGTGCTTTAAAGAAACAACCAGTTCTTTTGGCGTATCAATCAATCATTTTATCCGGAAGCTGTCTCCTCTCCATAAGAATTTAATCAAACATAAGTTATACACTTTAATTCATTTTCTATGCTGAATAATGTCACAGATGTGATGAGTATACCTTTATAAGGTCAAATATAAACAGAATGTCTCTCTGCACACTTATGCTGTGACGCCGCGGAGGTAATACACCCACTGGGCATTAGAGCTACCTCCAGCCGATCGGGCACAAGACACAACAAGTTTACCCATTACCACGGCTTTAGAACCACTATCATTACCGTCGAAGCCCACTACAATACGGTGTTCTTTACGGGATCGTACACTTTCACTTTGTTTCGTTAGATGGAATAACGGATTGTCAACTTGGAACATAAATGGTGTTGTACTTGAAAACACATTACGGAAGGAGATATGTGTGGTACCACCAGCTTTGATGATGTAAGGTCCTTGTGGTTTAGGTACAATACATGTTCCAAACAGAGGGAAAAGGTATTCCCCTCCCTGTACAGAGCTCACTGTCAATGTCGCCCTTTGTTCACCTAGTCGTGAAGGCTCAAATGTCACCTCTAGATTGACCTCAGTGCCACCAGTGGAACCAGGAGCTGCAGCCACAGATTTCTCTACGTGGAAATCAGAATTATCCGTCTGGAAAATAAGATAGTTCAAACCTAATTATTGTCCATGCTAACACAAGTAAAGAAAGATCAATTTACTACTGCCAGCATAATTCCCTGACAGAAAATTCCCAGATCGTAAATAAAAACGAATCATATCAATTTCTTAGTTCACTATTCAAAGCCCCCATGATTTTTCAGTTCCAATAACAGAAAATGACTGTGTATTATACCTAGTTAATTCAGTAATCGTATGTCTGGATCTCAGGAATATCTATATATGTGTATAGGGCTGGATCTCAGGAATATCTATATATGTGTATATGGCTGGATCTCAGGAATATCTATACATGTGTATAGGGCTGAATTGCAGGAATATCTATATATGTGTATAGGGCTGGATCTCAGGAATATCTATATATGTGTATAGGGCTGGATCTCAGAAATATCTATATATGTGTATAGGGCTGGATCTCAGAAATATCTATACATGTGTGTAGGGCTGGATCTCAGGAATATCTATACATGTGTATAGGGCTGTGTGTAAAGGGCTGGATCTCAGGAATATCTATACATGTGTATAGGGCTGGATCTCAGGAATATCTATATATGTGTATAGGGCTGGATCTCAGAAATATCTATACATGTGTGTAGGGCTGGATCTCAGGAATATCTATACATGTGTATAGGGCTGAATTGCTGGATTGCAGGAATATCTATATATGTGTATAGGGCTGGATCTCAGGAATATCTATACATGTGTATAGGGCTGGATCTCAGGAATATCTATACATGTGTATAGGGCTGGATTGCAGGAATATCTATATATGTGTATAGGGCTGGATCTCAGAAATATCTATACATGTGTATAGGGCTGGATCTCAGGAATATCTATATATGTGTATAGGGCTGGATCTCAGGAATATCTATATATGTGTATAGGGCTGGATCTCAGGAATATCTATATATGTGTATAGGGCTGGATCTCAGGAATATCTATATATGTGTATAGGGCTGGATCTCAGAAATATCTATACATGTGTATAGGGCTGGATCTCAGAAATATCTATACATGTGTATAGGGCTGGATCTCAGGAATATCTATATATGTGTATAGGGCTGGATCTCAGGAATATCTATATATGTGTATAGGGCTGTGTGTTAAGGGCTGGATTTCAGAAATATCTATATATGTGTATAGGGGTGGATCTCAGAAATATCTATACATGTGTATAGGGCTGGATCTCGGAAATATCTATACATGTGTATAGGGCTGGATCTCAGGAATATCTATACATGTGTATAGGGCTGGATCTCAGGAATATCTATATATGTGTATAGGGCTGTGTGTTAAGGGCTGGATTTCAGAAATATCTATATATGTGTATAGGGGTGGATCTCAGGAATATCTATATATGTGTATAGGGCTGGATCTCGGAAACATCTATACATGTGTATGATGAGATCACAGATTCTTGGTCACAATTGTTTTTATCACTTATAAGTAAGTAAATACATGAACTTGTATATCTACTGGATCTAAGGTAGATTAATATTGGTATAACCTATAGACTTTGTTGAACAATCTAGATGTTAGCAGACATTTTGTATTTAAACACTGTTCACTTACCTTGCATGTATAGTCTGCTTTGGCCTGTTTTGCAAAGTTGAGGAATTTGGCAATGTGTGACTGTGCCTGGCCCAGACATGTCCTAAAATAAAGTGCTTTCTCAGGGCCAGCAGCAGTGGCTTTCAAGTTGAGGTCGTATGTGTAGCTGCCAAGGTCAGTACATACGTACTCAATTTTTCCCTGGAAATCACCGACCTTAAGAGGCTGGTACTCAATGCTGACTTCACCCTGTAGTAAGATAAGATGGTGTTACTGGTAACTCAGACTAAATGATTCCAAGGCCGAAATGATTTAGAGTGATCCGAATGAAAATGTGGAATGACCCATAGAGTGGGTAACATGTCTGTATCTACCCAGTTGGCTATAATATTGATCTACCTGACAATAATGGAAAAGTATTGGAACACCTGCCTGACCTTGTTCATGTACTTCAAATTTATGAATTCCAGGATACTCAGTAAATGATAAGAAAATGTAATTCTCAACAGAAGCCTGACATCTGGTAAGTACATACTTAGGTCAACATGTGAGGTGCTAAGTAGAAATCTATCTATATTATCTATGTTGTCTATGTAGGTAATTGACCCTGTATAAGCCACCAGGTAAGAACTTAGCCCTGTACAATAATCTGACATCCTTATCCATCAAAATGATGAATGATTTTTTGTAAAGCCGGATAGATGAAATCATCCTATGTTACATCCTGGAAATTGCACATTACACAAAAGCTAATGTAACAGAGAAACTTAAGTCTTTGGTTTGGATGACCTCCAATTCTTAGTGACAACTCCCATGAAAATCCATTCACACTTAATTGTGAGAGATAACAGAGTGATTTAAATCTCCCATCGATGTTTGATCTTTACTTAATAGATCGTCCTAGAGGTGGTCACTTATCACTTACCGTGGAGTTGGCTGGCACATTGAACTGAGGTGGCATGAGAATTTCAGGAACAGTACAAGTTCCGTTGAAAGATACAGCATATGCCAGTGGGTTCTCTATAGAAATAGTGTGAAGCACACTCTGCCTGACAGGGGTTGACAAATCTATTGATCCCACAGTCCCCTGCTTTGTGGCACGGAAGGTCACTTCATAGAACTGGTATTCCTGGGTCTTCTCATTGATAAAGGTGACCTGTAAAGAAAAATTACAAAATTGAAATCCATCGGATATTCTTGTTTCTCAAGAGCAGAGAAAATATTAATTAATTGTTAACATATTCTGTAGGTCAATCACCAGGTAACATTGACGAAATACTGCTACCTTCTCATAACAAATAGTATGTTTAATGGTGTTGTACTAAATTAACTAAGTCAGTTACTAGTAGTGTGTTGTGTGATTGTTTCTAGGTTTCTATAACCTCGGAGTGATGATCAGAATTACACACTTAGTGTCATGTATTAAGATACAGAATGTTCACTATGACATCTGAGTGATGATCAGAATTACACACTTAGTGTCATGTATTGAGATAAAGAATGTTCACTATGACATCTGAGTGATGATCAGAATTACACACTTAGTGTCATGTATTGAGATAAAGAATGTTCACTATGACATCTGAGTGATGATCAGAATTACGTACTTAGTGTCATGTATTGAGATACAGAATGTTCACTATGACATCTGAGTGATGATCAGAATTACGTACTTAGTGTCATGTATTGAGATAAAGAATGTTCACTATGACATCTGAGTGATGATCAGAATTATGTACTTAGTGTCATGTATTGAGATACAGAATGTTCACTATGACATCTGAGTAATGATCAGAATTACGTACTTAGTGTCATGTATTGAGATAAAGAATGTTCACTATGACATCTGAGTGATGATCAGAATTATGTACTTAGTGTCATGTATTGAGATAAAGAATGTTCACTATGACATCTGAGTGATGATCAGAATTATGTACTTAGTGTCATGTATTGAGATAAAGAATGTTTGCTATGACATCTGAGTGATGATCAGAATTATGTACTTAGTGTCATGTATTGAGATAAAGAATGTTCACTATGACATCTGAGTGATGATCAGAATTATGTACTTAGTGTCATGTATTGAGATAAAGAATGTTCACTATGACATCTGAGTGATGATCAGAATTATGTACTTAGTGTCATGTATTGAGATAAAGAATGTTCACTATGACATCTGAGTGATGATCAGAATTATGTACTTAGTGTCATGTATTGAGATAAAGAATGTTTGCTATGACATCTGAGTGATGATCAGAATTATGTACTTAGTGTCATGTATTGAGATAAAGAATGTTCACTATGACATCTGAGTGATGATCAGAATTATGTACTTAGTGTCATGTATTGAGATAAAGAATGTTCACTATGACATCTGAGTGATGGTGCACTTTCTTGCTCCATTTTTATCTTTCAAGTTGATAACATCATACATGTAACAAAATATTTACCAATAAGATTTGAAATACTTGACCATCAACCGAGTGACTTTAAACTTTAGCAAACTTCTCACTGTCCAACTTCACTTCATACTATGAACATCTTCCAATGTTTTTAACTCAGTCCAGTCACTACTTTTAATCTCCTATTCTTGTTAGTGAAGAGATCTGCTAAGGAGCCCGCAGTGCCCAAGAGCTAGCTATGTTCCCTACTTTATTTGAGGGACATTCAATACATTACAGTATATATCATGAGAAATATCAGAAGTCTGGCCTTCTCTAACCTAAGATGATAATTTCTGGAAAAGGACAGACAGACAGACTAAAGGAAACCTGCATTTCCATTCGGGGTCCTAATTAGGTTAATATTGTAATATCTATTTAAACATGACAAGTGTAATACTTTCAGCCTTGTCTAATGTAATATTAATCCACAACTATTTACAGTAACCATCAATAACCTAGCCACGAAATTTCACATTACATTTAACCGCCCCCTACCTTCAGCATTGTAGTACCCTCCTTGTGAGCATAAAAGGTCAGTTTGTAGTCCTTTTTACCGCTGGCAGGAACATCAATATACTCCATACCCTTAACTGATGTGCCTGTGTCGAGTTTGTCTGCCTTGATGGTTTCTCTTAGGACAGCAAATCTGTAGGGATAACGAATACAATGATTTATTTCACCTCAAATACTGGTAATTAGTCAGAGAGACTCCTGAAATGTGTCCAGCTGAATAAACCTGATCTCAACTGGGAGATGACATTGATATAGAATTACTGCTTACAACTTAGATATCTGTATAATGGTGCTGAAAGTGTAACTAGTTGTGTGCTGTGTGATGGATGGTTATCATCATGTGATGTTTATCATCTTATACATCCTTGATACACAGTACCTCCTCATTAACTCTAATCAGCTTGGATTCTTAACATTTATTGGACAAAATACAGCTGTTAAAGAAACAGACATTGATGTCAGAATAATGACCTACTTTCTTATTTCATTTGGATTCTGATTCATAATGTCATAACAAAATATTTTTACCAATAAAATATCAAATATTTGACCTTGACTTTATAACCTAATGACCTTGACCACAGTGTACTTCTCTTTATGAATTTTGCTTCTTAATGTTGTAAGAAGATATTTACCTGGTAAGAAATATAAAATGTGACTCTGACTTTAAACTTGTTGTAAACTTTGACCTTTCATCAGGCACTTTACCGATTTATTTTGGTCAACTTAACTTCATAACATCACGAAAAATATTTACCTTGACCTTGAGTCATGCAATTTATTTGATTTTAAACAATTCTGGTTCAGGTCACAAATGAATTTTTACCAGTAATATTTTTATTATTTAACATATTTTTGATAGTTTGTTCCTAGTTCTATTTTTAGTAACATCAGCCTTGACCATCAAAACTTTTTTCAGTGTATCATCCTATCAAATTTCAGAAGATCTGGCCTCTGGAGATGGACAGAAAAACACTGTGAGTACAGAAAATCAGAGCTTCAGATCACCCTAGAAACACTGTGAGTACAGAAAATCAGAGCTTCAGATCACCCTAGAAACACTGTGAGTACAGAAAATCAGAGCTTCAGATCACCCTAGAAACACTGTGAGTACAGAAAATCAGAGCTTCAGATCACCCTAGAAACACTGTGAGTACAGAAAATCAGAGCTTCAGATCACCCTAGAAACACTGAGAGTACAGAAAATCAGAGCTTCAGATCACCCTAGAAACACTGTGAGTACAGAAAATCAGAGCTTATGATCACCCTAGAAACACTGTGAGTACAGAAAATCAGAGCTTCAGATCACCCTAGAAACACTGTGAGTACAGAAAATCAGAGCTTCAGATCACCCTAGAAACACTGTGAGTACAGAAAATCAGAGCTTCAGATCACCCTAGAAACACTGTGAGTACAGAAAATCAGAGCTTCAGATCACCCTAGAAACACTGTGAGTACAGAAAATCAGAGCTTCAGATCACCCTAGAAACACTGTGAGTACAGAAAATCAGAGCTTCAGATCACCCTAGAAACACTGTGAGTACAGAAAATCAGAGCTTCAGATCACCCTAGAAACACTGTGAGTACAGAAAATCAGAGCTTCAGATCACCCTAGAAACACTGTGAGTACAGAAAATCAGAGCTTCAGATCACCCTAGAAAATGGGTTGGATGTCTTCAGAACTATAGACATGACTTGTAATGAGGTTCAGTGCAGTTCCTTACCTCTGAGGTCGTTTGAGCCAATTGTCCACATTGAGGAGTTCTGTGTGGGCTACCTTACATGGAACATCAAAGTGAGGTTTACCATTGGGCTTCGGAGGTTCAGACACACCCATCATATTGAACAGTAAACCTTGACCATCTGGCATTGGGAAAAAAATAGTTCCCTGCAAAATATCAGAAAGGGATGATCAGGAAAAAAGCAATTCAGTTCCTATGACCCGATAAAGTCCAGTAGACTCTAGTGGACATATTTAACAATCATATATATATTTGGTTCATATCAGTCCTGGTAAACATGACTTTCTATTGTTTGTCTATTGCTTTCTCTACAGAAATTGCTGTGACGATATCCTGCGGTAGAACATTCCGTATTGAACCTTAAGGTCTGCACTTGTATCGTTTATCTGGTATGATTTGGTCACAATTGCTTCATATCCAACAGAAGAAGAAAGACCTTGAAAAGTTTTCCCAGGGGAGTCAGACCCCTGATTTATACAATGTTAAATCCCCTCTATAATGTGATCCCTCAGACCAAAAAATATTTATCACCAGTTACAATTTCTGGAAAAACAAGAAAATCAGTAGAATTGATGGATCCTCCTCAAATAAATGCTAGTTCAGAAAGGGCTAGTTTTGACAAAATTCAGGTATGAAAAATAACAAAGGGAATTATGAAAAAGAGAGTTATGGTTCTTGTACATTGCCATTCTCCTTATCGAGAGATCAATCTATCTATGAAGTTTCATGTTGATATCTCTTAAAGGTTTTGTAATATGCTCCAAACAAAATTATGATGAATGGATATACATTGGACAAAGTGACAAATGATGGACAGGGGACAGTTAGCAGATGCCACACTGTAAGGAATAAGCTTAACAGCACTTCCAATCAGGTGAGCTTAGAAAAACACAGGATTCCTGGTGTCTTTATAAGTGATGTACATACCTGGTGTTTCTTGCCCTCAGGTGTCATAGTTAGTGGGCGATATGTCAGGGGGAACTGTTTTGTCTGACCTGCCTCCACAGTGAAGGTGACCGGCCCTGACCAATACTCTCCATCAATAATAGGTTTTAGAACCCATGTCATGTTGGTTTTGTTGGGAATGGACAGAAACTTTGTCTCAGCCTGTCTCACATGTGTAGACAGGTGCTGAGTCTCCTTTGGAGCCGGAAGACTGACACACATTCCAGTCAGGGTCAAGGTCACTGGTTTGTGTGGACTTGACTCCGGGAACATGCATCGTAAACTCTACAATAACAAATATTGAAAAATATTAACGATACATTCCACACTTATAGGTAAATGTTCATCTTCCATCATGTAGATTTGTATTGTGTATAAGGGTTTCTATAAAGGTGTAGATTTGTAGTGTGTGTATGGGTTTCTATAAAGGTGTGGATTTGTATTGTGTGTACGGGTTTCTATAAAGGTATAGATTTGTATTGTGTGTATGGGTTTCTATAAAGGTGTAGATTTGTAGTGTGTGTATGGGTTTCTATAAAGGTGTAGATTTGTAGAGTGTGTACGGGTTTCTATAAAGGTGTAGATTTGTAGTGTGTGTATGGGTTTCTATAAAGGTGTAGATTTGTAGTGTGTGTATGGGTTTCTATAAAGGTATAGATTTGTATTGTGTGTACGGGTTTCTATAAAGGTATAGATTTGTATTGTGTGTATGGGTTTCTATAAAGGTGTAGATTTGTAGAGTGTGTACGGGTTTCTATAAAGGTGTAGATTTGTAGTGTGTGTACAGGTTTCTATAAAGGTATAGATTTGTATTGTGTGTATGGGTTTCTATAAAGGTGTAGATTTGTAGTGTGTGTATGGGTTTCTGTAAAGGTGTAGATTTGTAGTGTGTGGACAGGTTTCTATAAAGGTGTAGATTTGTAGTGTGTGTACAGGTTTCTATAAAGGTATAGATTTGTATTGTGTGTATGGGTTTCTATAAAGGTGTAGATTTGTATTGTGTGTATGGGTTTCTATAAAGGTGTAGATTTGTAGTGTGTGTATGGGTTTCTATAAAGGTGTAGATTTGTATTGTGTGTATGGGTTTCTAAAAAGGTGTAGATTTGTATTGTGTGTATGGGTTTCTATAAAGGTGTAGATTTGTAGTGTGTGTATGGGTTTCTATAAAGGTGTAGATTTGTAGAGTGTGTACGAGTTTCTATAAAGGTGTAGATTTGTATTGTGTGTATGGGTTTCTATAAAGGTGTAGATTTTTAGTGTGTTTATGTGTTTCTATAAAGGTGTAGATTTGTAGTGTGTGTATGGGTTTCTATAAAGGTGTAGATTTGTAGTGTGTGTACAGGTTTCTATAAAGGTGTAGATTTGTAGTGTGTGTACAGGTTTCTATAAAGGTGTAGATTTGTAGCGTGTGTATGGGTTTCTATAAAGGTGTAGATTTGTAGTGTGTGTATGGGTTTCTATAAAGGTGTAGATTTGTAGAGTGTGTACGAGTTTCTATAAAGGTGTAGATTTGTATTGTGTGTATGGGTTTCTATAAAGGTGTAGATTTTTAGTGTGTTTATGTGTTTCTATAAAGGTGTAGATTTGTAGTGTGTGTATGGGTTTCTATAAAGGTGTAGATTTGTAGTGTGTGTACAGGTTTCTATAAAGGTGTAGATTTGTAGTGTGTGTACAGGTTTCTATAAAGGTGTAGATTTGTAGCGTGTGTATGGGTTTCTATAAAGGTGTAGATTTGTAGTGTGTAGACAGGTTTCTATAAAGGTGTAGATTTGTAGTGTGTATATGGGTTTCTACAAAGGTGTAGATTTGTAGTGTGTGGACAGGTTTCTATAAAGGTGTAGATTTGTAGTGTGTGTATGGGTTTCTATAAAGGTGTAGATTTGTAGTGTGTGTATGGGTTTCTATAAAGGTGTAGATTTGTAGTGTGTGTATGGGTTTCTATAAAGGTGTAGATTTGTAGAGTGTGTACGAGTTTCTATAAAGGTGTAGATTTGTATTGTGTGTATGGGTTTCTATAAAGGTGTAGATTTTTAGTGTGTTTATGTGTTTCTATAAAGGTGTAGATTTGTAGTGTGTGTATGGGTTTCTATAAAGGTGTAGATTTGTAGTGTGTGTACAGGTTTCTATAAAGGTGTAGATTTGTAGTGTGTGTACAGGTTTCTATAAAGGTGTAGATTTGTAGCGTGTGTATGGGTTTCTATAAAGGTGTAGATTTGTAGTGTGTAGACAGGTTTCTATAAAGGTGTAGATTTGTAGTGTGTATATGGGTTTCTACAAAGGTGTAGATTTGTAGTGTGTGGACAGGTTTCTATAAAGGTGTAGATTTGTAGTGTGTGTATGGGTTTCTATAAAGGTGTAGATTTGTAGTGTGTGTATGGGTTTCTATAAAGGTGTAGATTTGTAGTGTGTTTATGGGTTTCTATAAAGGTGTAGATTTGTAGTGTGTGTATATGGGTTTCTATAAAGGTATAGATTTGTAGTGTGTGTATGGGTTTCTATAAAGGTGTAGATTTGTAGTGTGTGTATGGGTTTCTATAAAGGTGTAGATTTGTAGTGTGTAGACAGGTTTCTATAAAGGTGTAGATTTGTAGTGTGTGTACAGGTTTCTATAAAGGTGTAGATTTGTAGTGTGTGTATGGGTTTCTATAAAGGTGTAGATTTGTAGTGTGTGTACAGGTTTCTATAAAGGTGTAGATTTGTAGTGTGTATATGGGTTTCTATAAAGGTGTAGATTTGTAGTGTGTGTACAGGTTTCTATAAAGGTGTAGATTTGTAGTGTGTGTACAGGTTTCTATAAAGGTGTAGATTTGTAGTGTGTGTATATGGGTTTCTATAAAGGTGTAGATTTGTAGTGTGTGTATGGGTTTCTATAAAGGTGTAGATTTGTAGTGTGTAGACAGGTTTCTATAAAGGTGTAGATTTGTAGTGTGTATATGGGTTTCTATAAAGGTGTAGATTTGTAGTGTGTGGACAGGTTTCTATAAAGGTGTAGATTTGTAGTGTGTGTATGGGTTTCTATAAAGGTGTAGATTTGTAGTGTGTGTATGGGTTTCTATAAAGGTGTAGATTTGTAGTGTGTTTATGGGTTTCTATAAAGGTGTAGATTTGTAGTGTGTGTATATGGGTTTCTATAAAGGTATAGATTTGTAGTGTGTGTATGGGTTTCTATAAAGGTGTAGATTTGTAGTGTGTGGACAGGTTTCTATAAAGGTGTAGATTTGTAGTGTGTGTACAGGTTTCTATAAAGGTGTAGATTTGTAGTGTGTGTATATGGGTTTCTATAAAGGTGTAGATTTGTAGTGTGTGTATGGGTTTCTATAAAGGTGTAGATTTGTAGTGTGTAGACAGGTTTCTATAAAGGTGTAGATTTGTAGTGTGTGGACAGGTTTCTATAAAGGTGTAGATTTGTAGTGTGTGTATGGGTTTCTATAAAGGTGTAGATTTGTAGTGTGTGTATGGGTTTCTATAAAGGTGTAGATTTGTAGTGTGTGTATATGGGTTTCTATAAAGGTATAGATTTGTAGTGTGTGTATGGGTTTCTATAAAGGTGTAGATTTGTAGTGTGTGTACAGGTTTCTATAAAGGTGTGGATTTGTATTGTGTGTATGGGTTTCTATAAAGGTGTAGATTTGTAGTGTGTGTATGGGTTTCTGCATCAGTACCATTACATATAGCATGTGTTAATGTCCTGTATTAAAACTGTAATGAAAACTTACATCATATCTGATATCCTGATTAAGTTCTTTTGGATGGAATGTCACCTCAAATGTTACATCCATTCCTGATGTTATGTAACCCTCAGCTGGAGTAATGGAGAAATCTGGTTGAAATTTCTTCACATCCCACTTAAACCTGAAATAGAACATTGAAACTCCATCACATCCACTTTACAACTTTAAACTCCCAGACTGTTGACACATCCTCTTTACAACTTTAAACTCCCAGACTGATGACACATCCTCTTTACAAATGTAAACTCCCAGACTGATGACACATCCTCTTTATAACTTTAAACTCCCAGACTGAGGATACATCCTCTTTACAACTGTAAACTCCCAGACTGATGACACATCCTCTTTATAACTTTAAACTCCCAGACTGATGACACATCCTCTTTATAACTGTAAACTCCCAGACTGATGACACATCCTCTATACAACTTTAAACTCCCAAACTGATGACACATCCTCTATACAACTTTAAACTCCCAGACTGATGACACATCCTCTATACAACTTTAAACTCCCAGACTGATGACACATCCTCTATACAACTTTAAACTCCCAGACTGATGACACAGCCTCTTTACAACTGTAAACTCCCAGACTGATGACACATCCTCTATACAACTTTAAACTCCCAGACTGATGACACAGCCTCTTTACAACTGTAAACTCCCAGACTGATGACACATCCTCTATACAACTTTAAACTCCCAGACTGATGACACATCCTCTTTATAACTTTAAACTCCCAGACTGATGACACATCCTCTTTACAACTGTAAACTCCCAGACTGATGACACATCCTCTATACAACTTTAAACTCCCAGACTGATGACACATCCTCTTTACAACTTTAAACTCCCAGACTGATGACACATCCTCTATACAACTTTAAACTCCCAGACTGATGACACATCCTCTTTATAACTTTAAACTCCCAGACTGATGACACATCCTCTTTATAACTTTAAACTCCCAGACTGATGACACATCCTCTTTACAACTTTAAACTCCCAGACTGATGACACATCCTCTTTACAACTTTAATCTCCCAGACTGATGACACATCCTCTTTATAACTTTAAACTCCCAGACTGATGACACATCCTCTTTACAACTTTAAACTCCCAGACTGATGACACATCCTCTATACAACTTTAAACTCCCACACTGATGACACATCCTCTATACAACTTTAAACTCCCAGACTGATGACACATCCTCTTTATAACTTTAAACTCCCAGACTGATGACACATCCTCTTTATAACTTTAATCTCCCAGACTGATGACACATCCTCTTTATAACTCTAACCTGCATCGACATCCACAAATGATGACCTTTGTTTATATTTGTATGATAAACAATTGATGACCTTTGTTTATATTTGTATGATAAACAATTGATGATCTTGGTTGAATTGAAATATGAATATTTATTCACCCTTATGTATTTGACGTAATTTCACCTTCAAGGAATTTCACGTCAACCAGTCATTTATACAAAATTAAGTAAAAGAAAGGAACATGATATTACATCGAAAGGAGGATAAGTTACTGACCTAGTATTCATATCACCCGTGTTACTCATCACAAGTTTTCGTGTACTCTGACTGTCCTTGACAACAGCACCGAATGGAATGGCATATGTGTCTAAAGTGATTTCCATGCCTAGACAGGAGCCTTGTAGTACAAATAGAGGCTGGTACAATCCAGCACACTCCAGCATTACTTCCTCAGTAAACTGAGGAATCCTGCACTTGGGTGCAAATATCACCTCAACCTTGATGGTGCCTCCCTTGGGCTCCAGTGTAATAGTGTTGGTGGGAGAGATGGAGATGACCCCAGGTTTCTGCAGGGCTACTGACACTGGAGTTAGGGCCAAATTGAAGGTTATTGGGGCTGGACTGTTGTTTACTATAGGAATATATTTCTTGACTAGATCGTTCACAACTCGTGGACCCAAGTTCAAGATTTTGTGTCTTTGATCAGCGACTTCAATCTGAAATCAAAATCAAACATTTTTAATTTATAGACTGAATAACTAGTGCATAACTGACTGCTTTGCTTTAAAACTGTGCCTTAACTCTGAATCATGATACTCTCAATCTTAAACAGTTTGAAACCAACAGACTTACTCTAGATAACTCATGCAAACCAGTGTTAACTGAAGACTGTAGTGTTACCTTCATCTCTGTTCCACTTCCCATGACTTGTATCGAGTGTTTGGACAAGCCGTTTATTTCAAAGGTCATGGTCTCGTTGTACTTGATTGCCTGTCTTGGGTAGAATGTGATGGTTACATCAACAGACTGGCCAGGCTGGATTACACATGCCTCAAAGTTGTGATGGAGATGGTTGGTTTGGGTATAGAGGCAGTCCACGCTAGAAAGCAATGATAATATTATAGTTGTAGTTGTTAGGGGGTTGAGAGGGTTGGGGGATCTGGATGTTACCAGCTGTAGTCAAGGCTGCTTTCGAGTTACACCTTAGTCCAAACCAGTCAGTATAACTCATAATCTCTACATATAACCTCAGTTTGGTCTGTAGAAGCCACATCAATATGCATTCCATGGAATTATGTGAGGGGCAGGGCCAATAGAAGTCAAACAGACTCAAATTTCCAACATCTTCTCAACACCAAGATATGGTGAAATTAAATGGTCTTCATGGATTAAAAGGTCTTAAGGTATTTTACCAAAATTGTCTAATTGTGATTAATTGTACACTGTGATCACTTGTTCCCCATCACACTATTCACTCACCTAATTTCTTTCTTATCCTTGTTTGTGAGCTTGAGGACCTTATGATGGGCAGGCATTCCTGCACGGTAAATAAAACAACTACCAAAGTTACAAGTCTGGAATGAGAAATGGAGTCCAGGGGTAACGCCTAGTCCTTCCAGTGCCACATGGTAGCTGGGGCCATTTGACACCTGTTAATATATAACACAATCAGGTATAGAAAGATTAAGTAATGTTTAAGACAGTTTATTCAAACCTACAACAAAATACAACAAACATGTTCATCCAGCATTACTGTGAAATGTAAACACCCAGAAGGTATGTCACACTATGATGTAGAAGTGATATATTCCCAATATCACAAATTATCACTATTTTGACTTATAGTGTAGACTACTTACCCGCAGTGTAAGGGAACAATCCTTCAGAGTAGTTTTACACGGAGGACAAAACAGTAGCGTACATTTCTGCTCCTCGCCATGTGCCACGCCTCCAGACATGGGTGATATTGACACCATGTCCCGCTTCTTGCTGCCCGTGTTGAGTTCCCACTGGAAGTCAAAGTTGAATTTTCCCGAATTCATAACAAAGATGTTCCTGATCTGTTGTTCATTCACTTCAACCTAAAAATAGAAAACCAAAATTAACACATGAATGAATAAAAAATTGAAGTATTTATAGATGTTTTTCAGAATCTGAGACGAGATCTGAGTCAGTCTCGATGATTACAGTTACACTCAGACTCAAATGGCTTAATTTTTTGTTGATAAGATTGAAATAATTTTACATGTGATTAGAAATAGTCTTCACTTTGGCTGTCTGTTGCGTCTTACCTCACCAAACTTGATGATGTTACGACTGTCCTGGAAGAACTCCTGCTTGTTACCCTGCGAGTCCTCACACGTAAGAGTGCAGTTCATGGAGTATCCCTCAGCCTTAACATTCAGTGTCACAGGTAATATCTTTTTCTTGATCTTACAAACAACGTTGAAATTGACCTCTTTGTCTGTGGTGGGAGTGAAGTATAGATCCACAGCCAACCTGCAATAACATGTTGACATTTGTCACAACAACAACAAACAATATCATCTCCATACCTATCTTACATTTTGCTGAATACCATCAATGAATTCTATTATCAACTTGTATATATTGATAACTGTTCTGAAGCTGCCTGGGTAGGGGTTTAATTCAATCACCGTTTTTGAAGCTGCCTGGGTAGGGGTTTAATTCAATCATCGTTTTTGAAGCTGCCTGGGTAGGGGTTTAATTCAATCACCGTTTTTGAAGCTGCCTTGGTGGGGAGTTTAATTACTGAAAAGCTCTTGTTTTCTACACTACAAACTTTCTTGCCAGAAGTGTCTGTAAACATTTCACGTCATCAGAGGAGTTTCCTCCTCGAGTACAATCATGTAGATCAAACAATTTCTCAAACTTCGTAACTGAAATGACTTTTGAAAAATGTCAAAATTTGTCATGAATACACAGAACTGTCTTTTTAACATACGAAGTTTGAATTAGTCCAGGAAAATCTGTTTATAAGTCCACTCAGGAGAGCTAAGAAAAATTGCCTTTAAACAAGTATTCAGTTATATCAATTTGGGACTCAAAACCAGTGCCCGTTAAAGTGAGGAGTTTTTTTTATATGCACACAAGGCAGGTTTGACTGTACTCTAGGTGATGTTTTATAGGATGTAGTTTCTGTAACTTACAAGGTGCTAATACTTTGATAAAAATTTGTATATAACAAACTATATATGATTATTCAAAGATTATTCATAAAACTGTTTCATTATATCAAATTAATTTACAAATATGCTCTTGTTCAAATAGTAAGAATCTTTTAATCCTTATGGAAAAATAAGGTTACAAAGCTGTACTTCTGGGTCAGCTGTTCCATTTCTTCATGGAATCTGCACCATTAATATAAACAACACCTAAATCCATTCACCTGATTACATCCCTACCAAACTCAGTTAAAATAAATATCATTGTTCTAGCTACAGAAAAATTAATGATAATTTGATATACCTTGACTTGGCAGGAATGTTGCCAGACATTGGTTCAACATGAAGGTGGTCTGAGTATCCGGCTGAATGACAAGAATCTTCCTCAAAGTTGAAGTGAAATGGTTGATCCTCCTGGTTAATGAGATACACCCTTTCTACAGCTTGGTGACCTGAAATTTGACACTTCCAATTACTATCTGCATTTTTCCACAGAGATACATTTGGAACTTTAACAGCAGGAAACATCTTGTAATTTGATTGTGTCTTCAATTTGACTGGCTAGGCCAAATAGAGGACACACATCGAGCAATGTAATTACATCAGTATAACGACGGAACCAATGAATAGAAGCAGTACGTACCTATGAGGAGAGCTTTAAAGTTCATGTGAGAGCGATCCATGGAGATGTCCGGTTCTCTTGCTTTTCCCACCAACAAGAATGGAACACTGATGTCCTGTTCCGGGATGTGGAACTTCCAAAATGATTCCACTATGTCCACTTGGTGGGAGATATATTCAAATGAAACCTGTTTAAAAATTCGAAAGAATTATGTAGAATTTTTTTTTATATAAATACAATGACCTTTTCAGTTCACAATCGTAAACCTTTATCTAACAAGAGGCCCATGGGCCTTAACGGTCATCTGACATCAAATACAAGATTTCAATTTTGAACTTGAGAAGTAGTCGAAAATGTGTTTTCAAGATGGCGGCCATGTTAGATTTCGGACCAACCTGAAATTAACAAACTTTGGTCAGGATCATGTCACGATCATTTCAGGTAGGTTCCAGCTCAATGAGACATGTAGAGCTTGAGAAGAAGTTGAAAATATTTACAGCCGACGACGGACCACGCCGGACAAAAAGTGATCGCAAAAAGGTCATCAGACTCTTTGGTCAGATGACCTAAAAATCTTGTAAGGTCAATATGTGTTAACATCAATTAAATTAAGTTGCCAAATGGCCTGAACAATCCCCCAAGTTCTGTAGAAAACTATTTAAACAATAAAACAAAATCTATGATGTAGTTGAAAAAGGTATTATATTTAACTTGGGAGATTTCTACTGACACAGTGTGGTGACAAGTCAGCAGGAATGTCTGTAGATATATATATATAGGCCTAAGTACACACACAAATTCAAAATGAGACTTACAACTAAAGTAGCAAAACTAAGAATTTTACACTATTTGGAGTTAATAGGACACTGGGCTTCATCACAAGATGCTTACTTACCACAAGGTACGAAGTTTGAATCCTTTTTTTTTCAATCAATTTAGTTGAATTGATTGCATAGTCATCCATTCTTTCAAACCTATATATAAATCATAGAAGCTAGTCCCGATTTCCTCTTTGAAGCCCTGCCCCTCAACCTCAGATGGGCCTATCAACATCTCTTTAACAATTTAGAACCTCTACCCCATGAAAGTGCTTTAGATCAAATCTGACATGTCACATGATTAGGCTGTTAAGGTTACAGAGAGAAAATTCATCCAATTTGTAAATAGTTTTTTCTGTGAGAAGTTACATGATGATGAGTTATACCTGAAACTTCTTTCCACTTTTGATGAGACCTTTAGGTACAACACAGTTGAAGGATGCAGGTTTCTTGGGATCAGCATCGTCTTCACAAGACCACTCAAAACTGTAGGGTTGGTTGGTGGGGTTCACGATAGCAAAGTTTCTGAATAATACAGACAGTGATCGTTACTACCATGTATATATGTTATAAAAACATAGGCATCATTTTAACTCTGCATCAATATCCTGCTAATGTTTCTGGGAACCATATCTCATAAGTACAGATCTTCATCTTGTCTGTAAGTGACTTGTCTGTGAGTGACTTGTCTGTGAGTTGTGAGTGACTTGTCTGTGAGTGACTTGTCCATGAGTGACTTGTCTATGAGTGACTTGTCTGTGAATAAACTTGTCTGTGAGTGACTTGTCCGTGAGTGACTTGTCCGTGAATGACTTGTCCGTGAGTGACTTGTCCATGAGTGACTTGTCTATGAGTGACTTGTCTGTGAATAAACTTGTCTGTGAGTAACTTGTCTGTGAGTGACTTGTCTGCGAGTGACTAAATACTGTGAGAAACTTACTTAATGCTCTTCACACCAACTCCAATACAGTTGAACTCTATGACCCGTGTGTTAGGATCAAGGGTGGAGCCTGCTGGAGCCCCTCCTGGTCCTCTCATTTCAGGGTTACGCCTAGAGCTGGAGATATAGTCAGAGTCCTCCAGTTCAAAGTGACAGTAGGGCATCAGACTTTTGCCCCGGAGTCCCACTACTGGTCCCTGTTGTGTCTTCTCTAGGTTTGGGATACTGAAAAAAAACATGTAAAACTTTGTCACAAAACTAATTTCTGTAATACTGAGTAACATTTCCATCTTGATTTTTAAATGAAGGTGGGAGTTGTATTAACTCTTAATCTACTTACGAGCAGATAAGTCTGGCATCATATTCATTCATATCTAGAGGTGAGAATCTGACTTTGAAACTAGCTTTCTTTCCAGCCTGTATGGTTCCGTATTCAGGTTCTATGGTAAATGGGACATAACTGCTGTCAGCCAGATCCATGCGTGACTCTGGTCGCTCGGCCTCAGACATGAATGTTACAGCCCGTTGGAAGGCAGGCATGTTCTCCATCACTACTTGCCAGCTGTAATCCATCTGAACAGTACCCTTGTTACTCAGGGTAAAACTGTAATAACAAATCATATCTGAAATATTCTAAATGACTCACATTCAATATTCATCCAATCTTCTTCACAAACTTTCCGTCATTCTTCAACTGACAAATACAGAGCTTCAGAGGAGAACCAATTTTGAACAAATTATTTATTATGACATATTTTTTTTTAGCGGTACAGATGAAAAATTGGCAGTCTATTTATAGAATGGTCATTAAGGAACAATCCTCACTAATTTTTATTACAGATTGAAAACAACATTTAAGTCTGTCAGCCACGCAGCTGTCCAAGTTCAGAAACACCAAGGCTGTAAAATGTTTCATTATAGATCCTTTGATGGATAGAATAAGTTTGCTAAAAATAGATTCCATATGAAAGAGATCCCACAAAGATCTTTGTGTTCTCTAGTGAATGATCTTCAGTGGTTCTATGCAAGAAATAAGACCAAACTACAACTGTTAAAATCCAAGACGACTGCATGTCAGCCATTTGTTTCACTCATCCATTTTTAATAAACATTGAAAAATGAATTAAAACAGAAAAAAATAACAAATAAATAAAACACTGGTTCTTCTTATGCCATGAAACAATTACTAAATCATTTACCCTATAAAATCAACCTTTATTGTATTAAAATTAATATTTATTTATCTTATAAATACTGACAAACAAGTCATTATAACTCTTGTTGGTACAGATGGAAGCACACAAGTGGTATATATGTAGTGTAGGAGGAAATCAGATCACCTGGAGATACGATGCCATGGTGAAAAAGGTTAGTGTGTTACCAATGTACCACTTGACGACCCATATTCATGTGGAATCAAATCGTGGACTTACTCGTAAATCCTTGTCTGGAACATTAGAGTGTCTCTGAAGTTTACAGCCTCTATCTTGCACTTGTATTTACTGAAGTCACACAATGCTGTAACAAGAAGGTCAACGTTGCGGCTGGTATCGGGAACCTCCGTGAACACTGGTTCTGGCTCTGTCTCAATCACCTTTTTCTTGGCAGGTCGTGACGACAGTGGGGCCTTGTTACCTCTAAAATATATATACTACACGTTACAATTGTTACACATTTAAGTACCATCTAAGGCTAAAATACAGATTGTAATAGCACAATAACATTCCCAATAATATTTGGTCAACATTCATCAGTTAACTCTACAGACTTAGTTTATCTCTTGATGACAAGTTGACAAACAGATGTCACTCCCAGGTTTCAAAATTGCTGACTTGACCTTCAGACAGGTCAACTAATAAAAAGGATATTTTTGTTTCCATTGGGTAAAAACAAAGTTAATATTCTTTCCTTATCTGTATGTCAGAATATCATTTCTGTGTAATACACACCCGTCATTGACACTGGAGGGTTGAGGAGACGTAGGAACATCCACCCATTTAACTGTCCTGATCCTATCGTCCCAATCTGCCACTTTGTCTGGTTTCTCAAATGTGATCTTCATCACCTTGCAGTTAACCTTTTCCTCGGTTAAGGTTTTGGGCTGGTCACTTTTGAATGTGATGGTCATATCTTTCGTCGATGATGGATGGAGATGGCCGACATTGGGTGAGAATTTTAATTGTGCATTTTCTGGCCATTGGAAACGGTAAATATCAGTTTTGGAATGGTTGGTCATAGCAAAAGAAAGTGTACGAGGTTCTCCAATGGCACAGTCACCAAACTTGATCAAGTTTGGTTTGGCAGCTTAAAAAAAAACAGAAAGAAAATACATCATGGCAGAATTACTCACAAGTCAAAAATAAGAAAATGTCAGCAAGGTCAACCTGGACCTTGTAACTGTCTCACAGTGAGCATTAAATGGTTCAAGGATACAGATCTTTAGAGATTAAGTCAGGGACACAATAACAATGTATATAACAGACATCACTAACAATAACCCTTTCATGTTCTACAATGATTAACACAAAATTAAGAATATGACCGAGTGTCTGAAGTTCAATCCAAATCTTTCAAGGAATGACGCCCCTAGAGTGCTGACAAGGACCTTTTTTTTCTTTAAATGACAATTTCCATGACCCTACGACCTTGTTACTTAAACTTGTCTGTGATATTACTGTCCTTTACATGAATGTTCAGTTTGTTTCTTTCTGGAATGAAACCACTAATGTACTAATAAAGATTTTCTTAAAAACAGTAGCCTACCATCTTAACACTAAAAATTGTCCAAGAATAAAGCTCTTTGTATCATTGAAATGTTTTATCAAAATCCCTCAAGGAATGAAGCCTTCATTTTAAAGTGGGCAAGTTTGACTTTTAACCTTAAACCTTGACCAATGAACCCTGATATCTAACCAAGTGTAAAACTTACTAGTATGTAGATGTTGTCATGAGAGGCAGTACTGAATCTGTTGAGGGATTTGTGAGACATGTGGAACATAAGGCTTCACAGGCGGACATATTTATAGGTATAATGAAAACTACATATAACAATAGATAAGTCAAGAATGACATAAGACTAAACAACTTACCTCCTACATCATCCTCTGCCATATTGCCTTCCTCATTTTCTGGTTCTACTGGAACCTCAACACTCATTATGTTATCAAGAGTTACCTCCTCCTCATAGCCCTCTCCTACCAGCTGGATGACAGAATCTTCATACTGGTTGTCAATCACAGTTAAGCGAATGTGAGCCTGGGACCTTTGCACAGCAATAGGTTTGAAGATGACATCAAAGGAGGCTGCCTCGTTGACATTGACAATAACAGAGGCAGTGTGTGGGCGCTTGGTGACCTCTGTAGGGAAGAAATATTGTGTGTTTGATAGACAATATCCAGTAGTGGTACAATAAACAATCCTTATTCAAACAAATCTCAAGTTTAGTAGATATTCTAAAACAACAACACTTTTCATTTGAGTTTCTCAACTTTCCATTAAAAGAATTCAGCTAAATGTACCAGCTGAACTGGAGAAGTAAAAAAGTATTAATAATGGTTCTCAGACCAATCTCAGTAAATAACAAAACGGCTCGAAGGTAGAACTTAAAAAGATGAAAACGTGAAAAGCTAAGAGCAGACTGGGGAGAACACAAAATACTAACAAATTTTTCAACAGCTTCAAATAAATTTATATGGAAAGAATACAACGCCGTTAAACAGTAAAGTTGGAACGACTGCATCCAACTGGAATGGCCGGATCCCACTGGAACCTAAACTAAAATGAAAAACATGACGAAATATTCATCCCTTTTCTGTTTGCTTCCTACTTCTTTATTGAAAAACTGCTGGTTATAAATGCCCATTTTAAGAATTTTTTCTTCCAAGATAGGACACATATAAAAATAAATATAACTGTGATCGTTACTCATTTCTCAGTGAATAAGTAAAGGTAATTTGAATATAAATAATAGTCGAGCACATCCATCACAACCCCAATGGACAGGCTTGGACAGGTGAACTTAGACAATGGAACTGATATCATTACCTCCAAAGTCGTCCTCCATGACTGCCTGTGTGGATCCCCTTGGTCTCAGCTGGAAGGCCTTGTCTGGATCTATAAGGTCAATATCTACCTTGCTAGGCAGAGTTCCATCGTTGACGAGGATCAGTGGCATCACATCGCTTCTTCCTAATAATATCCGTTTAAACAGAACCAAAGGTTGTCCCCTCTTGTTCCTCACAGTAGGTTTCTGTATACTGATACGAGGCAGGTTGCCTTCACCTGAGATGTCAAAGGTCAAAGTTCGCCCCTTGGCTTGGTTGGATGGCACGCCTTCAATGCTGGCCTCAAACGTTGCTGAAAATGTCTGCATAGATGGAGGGGTGAAGGTGACTGTAGCATACACATGACTGTGGTTCGGGATTAAAGCCTTCGCTGGCTCAATCTCAAACACATCCAGGTGTTTGGTCATTCCCTTTACAAGGATGGGCTTCAGTGACATCACCACATCACAGGGAACTTTATTCACGTTAGCAATCTTGAATCGGGCTGTTGCTTTGTGACCAACTATCACGTTATTGAACACAAACTTCTTCTCATCTTCTCCATACACTCCACCTTCATTTTCCATCTGTAGCTGTTAAATAAGAGAAAAAAACATGAAAAGTAACTAAATCGCTCACATATCATTAAAACATTAATTTGTCTTGTATCAAATTGTATACCGATTGTTAACAATATACCAAAATGTTGTTTGTGTTTACCTGGTTGTTATGTGTGTATCTGTGTACCTGTGTGTACAGACATTACCTGGTTGTTATGTGTGTACCTGTGTGTACCTGTTTTTATCTGTGTACTTGTGTGTACAGACATTACGTGGTTGTTATGTGTGTACCTGTGTGTACCTGTGTGTACAGACATTACCTGGTTGTTATGTGTGTATCTGTGTGTACCTGTGTGTACAGACATTACATGGTTGTTATGTGTGTACCTGTGTATATCTGTGTACTTGTGTGTACAGACATTACCTGGTTGTTATGTGTGTACCTGTGTGTACCTGTGTGTACAGACATTACCTGGTTGTTATGTGTGTACCTGTGTGTACCTGTGTATATCTGTGTACTTGTGTGTACAGATATTACCTGGTTGTTATGTGTGTACCTGTGTGTACCTGTGTGTACCTGTGTGTACAGACATTACCTGGTTGTTATGTGTGTACCTGTGTGTACCTGTGTGTACAGACATTACCTAGTTGTTATGTGTGTACCTGTGTGTACAGACATTACCTAGTTGTTATGTGTGTACCTGTGTGTACAGACATTACCTAGTTGTTATGTGTGTACCTGTGTGTACCTGTGTGTACAGACATTACCTGGTTGTTATGTGTGTACCTGTGTGTACCTGTGTGTACCTGTGTATATCTGTGTACTTGTGTGTACAGATATTACCTGGTTGTTATGTGTGTACCTGTGTGTACCTGTGTGTACAGACATTACCTGGTTGTTATGTGTGTACCTGTGTGTACCTGTGTGTACAGACATTACCTAGTTGTTATGTGTGTACCTGTGTGTACAGACATTACCTAGTTGTTATGTGTGTACCTGTGTGTACAGACATTACCTGGTTATGTGTGTACCTGTGTGTACAGACATTACCTAGTTGTTATGTGTGTACCTGTGTGTACAGACATTACCTAGTTGTTATGTGTGTACCTGTGTGTACAGACATTACCAAGTTGTTATGTGTGTACCTGTGTGTACCTGTGTGTACAGACATTACCTAGTTGTTATGTGTGTACCTGTGTGTACAGACATTACCTGGTTGTTATGTGTGTACCTGTGTGTACAGACATTACCTAGTTGTTATGTGTGTACCTGTGTGTACCTGTGTGTACAGACATTACCTAGTTGTTATGTGTGTACCTGTGTGTACTTGTGTATATCTGTGTACTTGTGTGTACAGATATTACCTGGTTGTTATGTGTGTACCTGTGTGTACCTGTGTGTACCTGTGTGTACAGACATTACCTGGTTGTTATGTGTGTACCTGTGTGTACAGACATTACCTAGTTGTTATGTGTGTACCTGTGTGTACAGACATTACCTGGTTGTTATGTGTGTACCTGTGTGTACCTGTGTGTACGAACATTACCTGGTTGTTATGTGTGTACCTGTGTGTACAGACATTACCTAGTTGTTATGTGTGTACCTGTGTGTACAGACATTACCTGGTTGTTATGTGTGTACCTGTGTGTACAGACATTACCTAGTTGTTATGTGTGTACCTGTGTGTACAGACATTACCTGGTTGTTATGTGTGTACCTGTGTGTACCTGTGTGTACAGACATTACCTAGTTGTTATGTGTGTACCTGTGTGTACAGACATTACCTGGTTGTTATGTGTGTACCTGTGTGTACCTGTGTGTACAGACATTACCTAGTTGTTATGTGTGTACCTGTGTGTACAGACATTACCTGGTTGTTATGTGTGTACCTGTGTGTACCTGTGTGTACAGACATTACCTAGTTGTTATGTGTGTACCTGTGTGTACAGACATTACCTGGTTGTTATGCTGCCAAATGCTCAAGTTCTTGCAGACTCTGTGTTCCTCAAAGATTGAGCCAATGTCATCTACATTGATGGAGGGAATGCATGCTTCTGCGATGAGTTTGTACGGGATACCACCAGGATGGTCATTAGGATCTCGGTCAGATATATCTATAGCCAACTCCTGTATGAAAATATTATTTCATCAGAGTTTGGAGGCCAACAAGTCATAGAATGGTTCATTGTATAACAGAGTTATTAGATGTCTACATGCCTTAAGAATAGAAAAACAATCCAGACTTTGAAAAACAAGAATGGCTTCATAATATTGAAACAGAATTTTATTTATTTTTTGAATTCTTAAATCAAGACTTACTGTTACCTACCAGTCAACAGAAAATAAATGTATCCTTTGAGAGATACAGGGGTGTATGGGTTATATAGCAACTATAAGACAATGTAGACTGTTAAAGAAGTTTAAAAGGTGATAAAGTAAATTATGTGGTATGTGCATCACCTCCTCACAGCTGCCTGGGGTCTCAGCTATACACTCCACGTTGATCACCTGGCTGTTATTACAGGAGATCATTCCAATGGCTGGTGATACTACAAACATCTGTAGAGGCAGGCGGGACTGAGTCACACCCTCCTGTCTGTAACCAACATCGTCACGTTTAAGTCAGAGGTCTACAACATCACTTGTTACTAACTGATAGGTGACACTGGGATCTTAATTACTAGCACTTTTCACAATAACTGGTTTTTATCAAGGATAACAACTCTTCCATATATAGACTTCTATGTGTAGATGTTGAAATCAGTTAGACCAATAGGGAAAGTATTACAAAACTTAACTATACTTCAATTCTCCAGGTTTAGAAACTCAAAAGATGCCTTTAGGTAATTACAATTAAAAAACAATTAAAAAACAATTAAAAAATCGAAGAAAGACAGATACATAACCATGCTAACACCATAAAAAGTGTTGTTTATTTAAAAGTGACACTTTAATTTTTGTTGACATCAGCTTGGTGGATTATTAGACAATGAAAACAAAACCATACAATATGAGGTTGTGATGTCACATTGCTAGGAGAACCAATACCACTGCTTTTATCCAGCTGACTGACAACATTTATTTCTGTATAATTTCCATTTAACCTTATTGTCTTATCCCTGAAGCAAGAGATCTCACAGAGGGATATTGGTTCTCACAGAGGGATATTGGTTCTCACAGAGGGATATTGGTTCTCACAATCTTTTGATCTTAACTTCTTAAATGTTTCATCTTTTCTCCTTCTTCTGTGTTCTTGGCTCTTTGCTTATTTTACACCAGTAATTATCAAGTAGCACAATAAGTTATGTAAAGAAGATTTCTTCTTGTCATTTAATTGCCAACTAGATAACTTGGAGATGGAAATCACCTCTAAGGACCTCGATGTCACTAAATATAGTCAATATATACAGAACCTGTTTGAGTAAAAAAATTATCATTAGGTCTAAATTGTTATAAGATGGGACATTCATGAGAATACCATTATGATATAGAAAATAGCATGTTGATAAAAAGACCTGATCATATTAAGGACTACATCTGCTTTACTTTCCATTCCACTACAATGTCAATTACATTTCTTTCAAAATTTAGAATTACTGAATTTCAGGCACTTAAATCTTTTGGCTGTAGTTTTCTTTGCCTATTTACAGCAACAAATTTACTTATACAAGTATGTCTAGTTATAGAATTTGCAAAATTTCCTTTTTTGGGCCTTCCACTCACATCTATAGAGGCCAGGTTCCATTGTTTATACAAAATTGTTTTCCCTTTCCCAAAAGGATGCTCCAGACCAATTTTGGTCAAAACCTGCTCAGATCTTCATTACAAGGAGTGATATTTGGTAAAAAAAAAAAAAATACAAACGGAAAGCCTTGCCATTGGCCTAAACTCACCAGTCCTTTGGACCTTGTGAACTAAAAACTGTAACGCAATTCTGTCAATCAACCAATGTCAACATTTGTTAACAAATATAACAAGTAAACACAATTTTAAGAAAAACCATCAAAAATTAAAAAAAAAACAAAAAACAAAAAAAAACTCAACAAATATTGACGGAAAGGTAAGCAGTCCAGACCAACAGAATGTTTGTCTTACTAGATGTCATAGCCACAGTGTTATGATACTTAAGCTATGCTGGCTAGAGCAGTCAATCAATATAGGCATGATACATGATGACTGTTTAACATATCTAAAACAAAGTTTGTATACTTCCTTGGCAGTGACAACCATTCTGCAGAAAAATCTAGGTATCCTTTAAATGTGTAAATGTTAACCTAGATATTTTGACCTTCAGACCTAATGTTATCAACAACACTATTGATCAGGAGGCACTTACTGTTATACATTTTAACTCAGATAAATTATTTTTTAGGTATGACTGACCATACAGTGGACTCATGGGTACAAACTTTAACTCTATCTCCGTCTTGAGGAAATTTTTATTTTTACATTTGTTAAATAAACATCTTAAAGACAACAGTCCTGTTATTGGTCTAGATTGCTATTTGGGTTAATACATGCAACACACTGACAGCAGATCGAGAGGTTTAAAAGCAAGCTTTCTACAGGCATTTTCTTAGGTAATAAGTTATCTGGATTAATGTCTAACCCCAGACTGATCTAACCTTCATCCCTCGGGGTTTTATAAGACATCGTCCCTTCAGTAATTTTTCCTTTGTACATAATCTATGTATATATAGTTTATTCTCATGTCCTTCCTCATCCCCCCCCCCCCCCCCCCACACACACACACACACACATTTAAACATTTAATAGCTTGGACAGCCCCTCAGTCTGGCCTTGTCTACCAACCATCCGCCCTATTAGTCCTTCCTCATCTCCGCCACATTTAATACCTTGGACAGCCCCTCAGTCTGGCCTTGTCTACCAACCATCCTCCCTATTAGTCCTTCCTCATCTCCGCCACATTTAATACCTTGGACAGCCCCTCAGTCTGGCCTTGTCTACCAACCATCCTCCCTATTAGTCCTTCCTCATCTCCGCCACATTTAATACCTTGGACAGCCCCTCAGTCTGGCCTTGTCTACTAACCATCCTCCCTATTAGTCCTTCCTCATCTCCCCTACATTTAATACCTTGGACAGCCCCTCAGTCTGGCCTTGTCTACCAACCATCCTCCCTATTAGTCCTCCTCCATCTCCCCCACATATATTACCTTGGACAGCCCCTCAGTCTGGCCTTGTCTACCAACCATTTTCCCTATTAGTCCTCCTCCATCTCACCCACAGTTAAATCCTTGAGCAGCCCCTCAGTCTGGTTCTGTCTACCACTCTTCTCAACTCCCTACTCTAAGTGTCTTGTTACAGTGCCCCTCAATCTGCCCTTGTCTACAGATTTACCCTCCCTTCCAGTATCTACATGCTAATTGCCTTCTGTGCCCCTCAATCTGCCCTTGTCTACAGATTTATACTCCATTTCAGTCCCTCCACCCTAATTGCCTTCTGTGCCCCTCAGTCTGCCCTTGTCAATGACATGAATGCAGTCATACTGTTACCTGTTGCTATTGTGCAAGCGCCTATTAACGACTACATTGTTGATGCGAGACACACCACTGGTAAGCTGAATCTGACTGTGGGTAGTGCTGTATTCACTGTGGTCAGGCAGATTGATAAAGCACACTCAAGTTTAGCACACAATGTAAGCTTTTCAAAGTAGATCAGAACTATACTAAAAGCTCTCTAAGGTCATTTAAACATTTGTTTCCAAATTTACAATTTTGAAAATTTTATTCATCTCACATTTTTTATTTGACAATATCTTTATTTTCCTTTGAGAGCTTTCTGATATTTCTGATGAGATTTTGTTTGATCTCTAATACTTTACATAAGCAATGCATGCATTTAAGAGGTGAGGTACCATTACAACTATCATCAAAGCAGAAAAAGAGTGAAAAAGTCAAAAGTGAAGAGGTAAAGCAATAGCTGTATCACATCTACTAAAAGACAACCAAGTGAATACTGTACAAACAGCAAGAGTGAGACGTACACTACACTGTAGGGGTCAGCAGTACACAAGTCTGGGGTCACACACACTACACTGTAGGGGTAAGATGTACACAAGTCTGGGGTCACACACACTACACTGTAGGGGTCAGAAGTACACAAGTCAGGGGTCACACACACTACACTGTAGGGGTCAGATGTACACATCATATTAGGGGTCACACACACTACACTGTAGGGGTCAGATGTACACAAGTCAGGGGTCACACACACTACACTGTAGGGGTCAGATATACACAAGTCTGGGGTCACACACACTACACTGTAGGGGTCAGAAGTACACAAGTCAGGGGTCACACACACTACACTGTAGGGGTCAGATGTACACAAGTCAGGGGTCACACACACTACACTGTAGGGGTCAGCAGTACACAAGTCAGGGGTCACACACACTACACTGTAGGGGTCAGCAGTACACAAGTCAGGGGTCACACACACTACACTGTAGGGGTCAGATGTACACAAGTCAGGGGTCACACACACTACACTGTAGGGGTCAGATGTACACAAGTCAGGGGTCACACACACTACACTGTAGGGGTCAGATGTACACAAGTCAGGGGTCACACACACTACACTGTAGGGGTCAGATATACACAAGTCAGGGGTCACACACACTACACTGTAGGGGTCAGAAGTACACAAGTCAGGGGTCACACACACTACACTGTAGGGGTAAGATGTACACCAGTCAGGGGTCACACACACTACACCGTAGAGGTCAGATGTACACATCATGTTAGGGGTCACACACACTACACTGTAGGGGTCAGAAGTACACAAGTCAGGGGTCACACACACTACACTGTAGGGGTCAGATGTACACATCAATTTAGGGGTCACACACACTACACTGTAGGGGTCAGATGTACATAACTCAACAGAGGTCAGACATACGCGACAAGTCTGGGGTCAGACATAGATTACAAAGCAAGAGTCAGACAAACACTACACAGCAATGGTCACATGTACACTACACAGCAATGGTCACATGTACACTACACAGCAATGGTCACATGTACACTACACAGCAATGGTCACATGTACACTACACAGGTGACAAAGGCATGTGTCAGTGCTGACCAGGGAGACACAAAAGTCAAGTGAGGCACCTACCTCACGGAGTCGGCCTTCTTTGGTCTGGCGACTGACCGCCCGGAGCTAGAGCCGTCCCGTGACTTGCTCCGTTTATTGTCCTTAATAGGGCTGATGGTGATAGAGGTATAAATAAGTCAGTGCAGCAGCAGATGTGGCAGACAGATGTGTAGGGATCATTCCTCACACACCAATTACAATGTTAAACAAAGGATCATGATATCTAATGAGCAGAATTGCTAACCTCATGTGTCTGATTTTTCTGTGACATTGATACTGACTGATAACAAACAAATGAATTTTTGAAGCAACAAGAGATACCAGAGGTAGCTGAGTCTCCATTAATGTATTTTCTTTATGACTTAAATGCGAGATCTTTTCCCTTTCCTCATCTGTGTTGAAAGGTGACTTAATTAAATGGCAATATCAATAAACAGTACTTGATGATACCATTACTAGAATACTGACATCAGAAATATATCAGTATACTGATGTCAGAAAGGGCCCTGTATACTGACATCAGAAAGGGCCCTGTTACTGATGTCAGAAAGGGTCCTGCAGACTGATGTCAGAAAGGGCCCTGTATACTGACATCAGAAAGGGCCCTGTATACTGACATCAGAAAGGGCCCTGCAGACTAATGTAAGAAAGGGCCCTGCAGACCAATGTCAGAAAGGGCCCTACATTCTGTCATCAGAAAGGGCTCTTTATACTGACATCAGAAAGGGCCCTGCAGACTGATGTCAAAAAGGGCCCTACATTCTGTCATTAGAAAGGGCCCTACATTCTGTCATCAGAAAAGGCCCTACATTCTGTACTCAGAAAGGGCGCTACATTCTGTCATCAGAAAGGGCGTTACATTCTGTCATCAGAAAGGGCGCTACATTCTGTACTCAGAAAGGGCCCTACAATGTGTTGGATCCAGCCAAGCTAGAAGGTTAATACTGATAACAAAGTTACTGTTTGTTTACACCAAACACAAACTATATGTTGCTTTAATATCTCACTGAAACAAAAGTATTTACTAGTTAGATACAGGATGTCTTACATCAAACTTATCATGTACTTATATATGTATATGTTTTATTTTGATCATCTTGGTTCAAAGGAGAAACCAGTAAAGTATTTGAATGTGACCTTGACTTTGAACCAATTGACATTTCCTTATTTGGTTGTGGTTTGCCTGGTAATGTTATAACAGAAAATATTCAAACATGACCATGTCCTTCAACATTTCAGACAAGTCATTAAAAAGTAATCCTTTAACATTTCAGACAAGCCATTAAAAAGTAATCCTTTAACATTTCAGACAAGTCATTAAAAAGTAATCCTTTAACATTTCAGACAAGTCATTAAAAAGTAATCCTTTAACATTTCAGACAAGTCATCAAAAAGTAATCCTTTAACATTTCAGACAAGTCATTAAAAAGTAATCCTTCAACATTTCAGACACGCCATTAAAAAGTAACAATCAGAGGTAAAAATTACTTTTTTTTTGTATCTGTCTACACATCTGCCATTGTAGAGCTACACAAGATTTTAATAAAGATGAAGAAAAGTTATTCTTTATAAAAATTAGACTATTCATTTGAATATATGAGAAAGGCTACATATCATGTTAAAATCAGCACAAACTTCAGTGTATTACTTTAACTGGCGTTTTGTCAGTGAGTACTTAGTGAATCTGTTACTGTAACACGATGGGTGAATCTGTTATCAGTTACTGTAACACGATGAGTGAATCTGTTATCAGTTACTGTAACACGATGAGTGAATCAGTTATCAGTTACTGTAACATGATGGGTGAATCAGTTATCAGTTACTGTAACACGATGAGTGAATCAGTTATCAGTTACTGTAACATGATGGGTGAATCAGTTATCAGTTACTGTTACACGATGGGTGAATCAGTTATTACCTGTTAATGGTCAACAAGACTGAGGATATCAGACTTTTATTTCAACACATGAAGTTTGTGCTGTTTAAAACAAGCTTAAGCTGCTGCACACATGTAAAGGTATACTGTCACAATGTTAATGATTCACCCTGTGGACAGATGGACTCCTCATCATAATAATCACAATAAATAGTCACTTTGTCTGATAAAACCACGACTGACAGGAGTTAGTGGCCATCAATACATTTGATATAGTTGTAGAAGACCTCTGTTCTTGTGGCCAATCACACTTTGAAGCCCTATTACAACCAATGGATATTCCAGCAGTTTCAAAGAAGCCTTTTGATGTGACAGTAACTGAGTTCTTCAAACAAAGTGAGCTAAATCTTTTTACTACTTTTTCATGATTACAGGAAGCCATCTATTCCAAAGGATGTATTTTTTTCATCATGATCATTTAAGAAGTTTAAAAACATCATTTAGCTTTTTTTCTTTCCTCACTTATCAATAATTAATACATTTCACATAACTTCTGCAAAAAATAAACAGGATTATGTAAGGAGCATAGAAGCTGAAAAATCAAGAAAAATATTCAAAAATATTCACTATAAGGAAAAGTGTATAAAAAGCACTGCTCTTAAGTGTCCCATAACACCTCATAGACTGTCAGAAAGGGGACTTGTAAACAGATAACATGTTATGGATGTACTTACGGACGAGCATGACGAGTCTGTGACTGCTGTGTCTCCTTAATCATCTTAACTATGGTGTATTTCATGTCAAACTCGCCCTTGTTTTGGATAACAAACTGACGAGTCTTCTTGCTATTGACTATCATTGAACCAAAGTTGATGTCATTCATGGGTAATATGTTGTATTTATTAAATCCGGCCTTGACTGTGACTTTGACAGGAATGCTTGCTATGATCTCCCCTCCTTCAGCCACATTTGGCTCGATTACAAGACATTTGAGGATGGCCTGGTCCTTGATATGGACTTCCTTCATGGACTTAAACAAGACGGTAACCTGGGTCGGCCTGTCTAGGGGACTCAAACTACCCTTCTGTGGGATAATGGTGAACAGTTTTGATGCATTTGGATTGTCAAGATCACAGTCCTCAAGGTCAAACCTGTAAATTGGTTTAAAAAGGTCATGTAATCAAAAACCTTTATAATATACAAATGAATAAACAGTAACACAGATTTACAGCCACTAAACAGTAACACAGATTTACAGCTACTAAACAGTAACACAGATTTACAGCTACTAAACAGTAACACAGATTTACAGCCACTAAACAGTAACACAGATTTATAGCTACTAAACAATAACACAGATTTACAGCCACTAAACAGTAACACAGATTTATAGCTACTAAACAATAACACAGATTTACCTCCACTAAACAGTAACACAGATTTACCACCACTAAACAGTAACACAGATTTACAGCTACTAAACAGTAACACAGATTTACAGCTACTAAACAGTAACACAGATTTACAGCTACTAAACAGTAACACAGATTTACCACCACTAAACAGTAACACAGATTTACCACCACTAAACAGAAACACAGATTTACAGCCACTAAACAGTAACACAGATTTACCATCACTTAACAGTAACACAGATTTAACACCACTAAACAGTAACACAGATTTACAGCTACTAAACAGTAACACAGATTTACCATCACTTAACAGTAACACAGATTTACCATCACTTAACAGTAACACAGATTTACCATCACTTAACAGTAACACAGATTTACCACCACTAAACAGTAACACAGATTTACAGCTACTAAACAGTAACACAGATTTACCACCACTAAACAGTAACACAGATTTACCATCACTACACAGTAACACAGATTTACCATTACTAGACCGACTTTCTATATAACCTTTGTCTAGAATCTGGTATCCACTTTCATAAGAACTGAAGCCAGATTAGACTTCCTACTTACTGATATTGTATTTCATATTTTCCTCTGTTTTTCAGTGTACATTGTTGTTTCTGTTCTTCTCCAACCCTGATTGTTCCAAAATCTAAACCACCGTCAGCCCCTGTAGATACAGAATCATTTTTACAACATACTGTTTTGGTTATAAAACAAAGTATAGTCATATACTACCAAACCAAAAGTTCTAAAAAATGCACCGAATTGTATAGAACTGTCTTAAAAGTCAAATTTCCTTTCGTATTTCATATTGTGTTTGACAAAAAAAAATCTTACATCACCTTAGATCATAGAAGTTTGAGTGGTGCTTACTACTGGTGTCTACTACAAGGAAATCTCTGATCAAACACAGAACAAGTAGAAGTTTAAACCGGTAAACACAGGCCGATACCTACCTTTGGGAAAACTCATGTCCAGAGCTATATCATAGGCCTCAGCAGTCACCGTAATGTTCTCTGTGCTGAACATGCCAAATATCTCATCCACGTCGTAGATCTTAAACACAAACAAATTAGTCACAACATTTAATTCAGTAACAGTATATATATGGACCAGTGTTATATGCTGTCATCAGTGTACTTTCAGGTACAACTAATGAAAACCATAACAAAAGGCCCTCAAGGCCTGTATTGGTCACTGGTTTCAAAACACTAATTAATAGTCACATAGTCACAAAATTGATTATTTTCAGTTACATTTCGTTTTCCAGTCTGCAAAGTGGTTCTGTGTCTGATCAGTCTCTGACCTTCGAGGAATAGAAAAAGTTTGATAAAGTTGTATGAAGCAATTATGTTCATTTTAACATACAAATACAGTTAAGTGGAACCCTGGCATCAGACACATTCCAGGGATGCTGAGAGTAATCGTAACCCCTGGAGTATCGAGGATGTAGTGATCCTAACCCCTGGAGTATCGAGGATGTAGTAATCGTAACCCCTGGAGTATCGAGGATGTAGTGATCGTAACCCCTGGAGTATTGAGGATGTAGGGATCGTAACCCCTGGAGAATCGAGGATGTAGTGATCGTAACCCCTGGAGTATCAAGGATGTAGTGATCGTAACCCCTGGAGTATCGAGGATGTAGTAATTGTAACCCCTGGAGTATCGAGGATGTAGTAATTGTAACCCCTGGAGTATCGAGGATGTAGGGATCGTAACCCCTGGAGAATCGAGGATGTAGTGATCGTAACCCCTGGAGTATCAAGGATGTAGTGATCGTAACCCCTGGAGTATCGAGGATGTAGTGATTGTAATACCTGTAGTATCGAGGATGTAATGTTTGTAACCCCTGGAGTATTGAAGATGTAGTGATCGTAACCCCTGGTGAATCGAGGATGTAGAGATTGTAACCCCTGGAGTATCGAGGATGTAGGGATCATAACCCCTGTGTCAATAATACGGGTAAAGTCATTCCTAGAAACTAAAAGTCGCTGGGAAACTCACCTCCAATCTTATCATCTTGCGAGCACTTTGTACAGGTTTCATGGCTCTAAAATAAAAATGGAGTGGGTATTCAGATCGAGGTTCTACCACTCCGTTGTCAGCAGCCACTGTGAAATCATCACCAAGGTTTTCCAGCAGGCTGAGTTTCCATCGTACGGGTAACATAGTGCTGTTCCTCAAATAGATTGTCTTTGTATCTTTCCTGTGGACAGTAGAGACAGCAATACGTAACAACACAAGAAATATCCATTCAGACTATTAAAAAAATCTGAGAGAACATTTGTAAGGCTAATTAAAGTCTTCTCTAAACATGATATATCTGTCTGTGGGATGAAACACGATTATGTAAATATCTACCTGTGTAGAAGCACTTTCTCAAAGTGCAGTGCTTTTTTGTCCAACTCCAGTTCAGCCTTCACTCCAACACAGGTAACTTTAAAGACGACAGGTTCTGGATTTTCTCTTATACAACAAACAATCGCATCTTCATATACCTCCGGAGAGCGTGGGTAAGCCCAAATGGTGAGTGTTTGAGTATCACCGGGTTTTAGTGTCATGTTAGGTGGATCTAGCAGGAATGTCTCCCCCTTACTGTCATGCTGGAAACAAAAGCTGATATCTGCCTCTAATGGCGAGGTATTGTTTACCACTAATTTCTCCATGTTCTCCGGATAACGGCCCTCCTTGTACCTGGAAAATTGAAATTGTATATAGTGGCAACACAATTTTATAATAAGTAAGACATGGTATAAACATATACTATCAGATAGGCTTTCTTCACCAGTGTTTTAAGTTTTGCCAGTCTTTGCCAGGAGACTTCACGGTAAACTGAATTCAGTTGTATTCACAGTCTTTGCCTGGAGACTGCACGGTAAACTGAATTCAGTTGAGAATTGTTGTATTCACAGTCTTTTCCAGAAGACTGCATGGTAAACTGAATTCAGTTGTATTCACAGTGTTTGCCAGGAGACTTCACGGTAAACTGAATTCAGTTGTATTCACAGTCTTTGCCTGGAGACTGCACGGTAAATTGAATTCAGTTGTATTCACAGTCTTTGCCTGGAGACTGCACGGTAAACTGAATTCAGTTGAGAATTGTTGTATTCACAGTCTTTTCCAGAAGACTGCATGGTAAACTGAATTCAGTTGTATTCACAGTGTTTGCCAGGAGACTTCACGGTAAACTGAATTCAGTTGTATTCACAGTCTTTGCCTGGAGACTGCACGGTAAACTGAATTCAGTTGAGAATTGTTGTATTCACAGTCTTTTCCAGAAGACTGCATGGTAAACTGAATTCAGTTGTATTCACAGTGTTTGCCAGGAGACTTCACGGTAAACTGAATTCAGTTGTATTCACAGTCTTTGCCAGGAGACTGCACGGTAAACTGAATTCAGATGTATTCACAGTCTTTGCCAGGAGACTTCACGGTAAACTGAATTCATTTGTATTCACAGTCTTTGCCAGGAGACTGCACGGTAAACTGAATTCATTTGTATTCACAGTCTTTGGTTCCAGCTTTTTACTTTTGACAACAACCAAACTACTGTGATTCTTACAGAATGAGCATTAAATACGACCACAACAAAATTTCTCAAGGAAAAGGATAATTTCCAAATGAGATGATGGTGGTGACCATGAAATTCCCTTTTACTGAAACATAAGAATGACAATGACTGTAACCACGTCACATCCCCTATACCTTCACAATGTGATTTAAAACAAACATTACAACAGTCCACTACTCTATTAAGAGAAAAGTTAACACATAGTTCTCATGGTAGAACAGTCAACTCTGTAATGATTTAAGACCAAAACTTAAATCTCTGAATCAGATATAAATTTTGACATATTATGTTGTTTGTGTGATACTGAGGTACATAAAAGACACCAAATATTACCTTTCTCTAGATTTCATGATAAGCAGAGGACCAAACTCGAAGGTGTCTGAAGACAGGATATACTTCTTATGTACGATTTCATCGGACTTCTTGCTCTTCTTACGACTTGGGAACACAATTCTGCAAAACAAAAACAAAATGAGCTTTGTGTCTCTCATCCCCAACCCTATACAAGTAATCTATTGATCTAGACAAAAAACAGACACTATATCTACCTTGGTTCTCTACTGATGGAGGAAAACACAGACACTATACCTACCTTGGTTCTCTGCTAATGGAAGGAAAAGCACATATTCCACGGCAGTACAGTTGGTATCTTCGTCGAGTTCCGACAATTTCAAAGTTAAGTGTCTGGTCAAATTGGCCAAGCTCTTCTGACTGGAATCGCAGACGCAGAGTTACTTCCCCATTGGCTGGGACAATCCATCGAAAGATTGACAGTCTGGTTAAATTACAAACAACATTTGACAGAGGAACCAATTAAAACGTAAAACATACACATAACATTCTCCAACATAATCATCTCAAGTACTTGTTATTTCTGTCAGACTGTTTCTTACTTAAAGTACTAGATTCAGAACAATATTTTGAGGTCCTCAGTCTACACAGTCGATCACATAGAATAACATGTATTTTTATTGTGACATATATATAACAAGAATGTCACAGTAAACTTGACAATAACTGATTAATGTTCAACTGATATTCAGTCTTCTGCTTTCCAAACCATCTAAGATATGTTGGCTCCCATTTATATGTAAATGAGTATGTCTACTCCCACTTATATGTAAATGAGTATGTCTACTCCCACTTATATGTAAATGAGTATGTCTACTCCCACTTATATGTAAATGAGTATGTCTACTCCCACTTATATGTAAATGAGTATGTCTACTCCCACTTATATGTAAATGAGTATGTCAACTCCAGCTTATATGCATGTGAGTATGTTTACTGCTCCATGTACAGGAATACTGGGTTACCTGAGCCCTGAGGTAAACTGGTTACCTGAGCCCTGATATAAATATAGTTGTTTTTATTGCTAACTGTTGTCTGATAATAATATTAATCAAGTTAGAATTATCTTTTATATCAAAACAAAAATACCCCTAAGTCTTATTTTCCTTTATAAACTACAGCAAATTTTACCCCCTCCCTTGAAGACAATTGAGTATTTTGGTTTCACAAAATTTTGAAAACATCCTAGCATATTTCCATCCATGGAAAGTTTTATTTGTCAATTTTGCAGGATCTGAATCTGGAAAAGAAGATTTCTGAAACATAAGCAAATTTCCTACTTTAATGTCCCCTTTCATTCAAGCCCTACTTTTAAGATTTCTCATGAACTACTGATGAGAAAAGGTCGCCTGAAACATCAAGTTATCTAATAAACTAAAATGATATTATTTGTGTGGTTAACATGTGACTAAAAACTTGGGTTAAGTTGTTAATTCTGCCAGAAATTGTGCAACATCCCCTCACAGAAAATTAATTTTTTTTTTCCCTTTGAAATTTCTCATCACTGATACATTCAGCTTTCAGAAATTTTTTTATTCAATACCACTAACCATGGTGTGAGGACAAATTGCATGTTTCTAGCATACTGTGTTATTAATTATAAAAATGTTAAAACACTCAGTTCCAGTTAGTAGGAAACTACCATCTGTGTGCATGAAGCGAAGGCCAGCAGTGAAAGGCCAGCAATAAGATACATCATTAGCATGGAAATCTGTCCAAAGACAAAGGGAAAACAACATGGTATCATAGCATCCACCATCAAAAGTCAAGAGAATACTTGCACTCCAACAAAAAAAAATTAAAAAGATACATAGTGTTCTCAGTATTACCCTGATACATGTCGAGTATCCTAATAAAGTCATGTCTGTTGTAATCAATGAAGCTTAGACAAACTGACCTTCTCTGAGATCAACAGACACTACAAGTGTGCAGTGTATAAAAATCATACCATGGTTATAATATACATTTACTGTTTTCTTAAACAAAGATGTCAAAGTGACCTTGCAGAATCTGACCTCTAACCTTATTACCTTGACCACATAGTTAATATATATGGTTTAAATCAGTGTTAAGTATATAGATAATGAGCGTACATAAGGTCAGTCTCGATATTGTGTGAAATATACTTATCAACTTACAAACACGTTGTGACCTCCGTCACTGACCTTGACCTTGCAGTACCAGTACATGTAATACTATGTGATGTTTACCACCGACCTTGAATCACCTGGTGAATACATGTGACTTCTAGCTTGTATTACATATGTTGACATATAAGTATAAACTAGCTAATCTTACACAGTGACATCATCTTTTTCAAAAAAAGTTGAATTGAAATGCCTATCAGGAAAAAAACACAACTTCATAAGTTCATAAGTTTGGAAATGATCGCCTGATTAGAAAAGGATGGACAGACACTGCCAAACCAAAATATGTCCTTGTTATGATTTGTAACAGACATATTTATAAAATTCTACAATTTAATTTGTTTTGAAAATAATTGTGAGGAAAACAGTGTCATAAATAAATAATAACTCCATTTTCTGAGCGTCTGTTTAGATACTGAAGTGAAAATGGAATCACTTTGTTTATCGCTATTTCCTCACGAGATGATATTTACGGTAAGGGGACCATTCCGAGTACTTGGAGTTGTAGTTGTCTGGTAATGTTGCTGGAGTTTTCATTCCTATCCAGACTCTTCAAATGTCGCTCTTTAAGCATCGTTAACTTCAGGCTTCCTGATGTTTCAGACAAACTTTGTGACTTTTGCGATGTCACTGACCCTTGCAGCGTCACTGTCTTTTGTGACGTCACAGATCTTTGTGACATCACTGACACGTTTTGTGATGTCACAGTTCTTTGTGATGTCACAGTTTTTTGTGATGTCAAAGATTTTTGTGATGTCACAGATCTTTGTGATGCAAGAGATGAAACAGACTTATTTCTACTCTGATTGGTCAACTTGCAACGAAAATATCAATATCTTAACAAAATGTTTTAATTTGAATTTTTCAGAAAAAAAATATGCAAAAACAAGACGTTGACCAAAACTGTAGTGCAAACATGCGTTTTCAACAACATTAAAAGTGGGACAACATCAAATTTACTTACTCTTGATTGAAAGTAAACAAAGCCAAATAATTTTTAAGAAATGCAATGACCTTCGAGGTAAACACTACAGACAGCATGCTCTACTTCTATTTCCTGGTGAAAATATCATAAATACTGGTATATGATGACAACTGAGCCAGCTATTTACAATGTGTAGGTGACCCGACCCATAAGTTATATTTCTGTATTAGTTAAACCTAAAAACAAATGAAAACACAGATGTAAAACAAGGTAACTTAAATGGATGATCGTGTTTTGCATCAATTAGAACTTTCAACACATCAGGAAGAATCTCACACTGTGTCTAAATCGAAAGCTGGACACAAACATGTCAGAAAGAGCTGTGCCATGTGTTTGACTCTAAACCTGAGTTATAACACCACTCAGAGAGAGCTGTGTCATGTGTTTGACTCTAAACCTGAGTTATAACACTACTCAGAAAGAGCTGTGCCATGTGTTTGACTCTAAACCTGAGTTATAACACAACTCAGAAAGAGCCCTGCCATGTGTCTGACTCTAAACCTGAGTTATAACACAACTCAGAAAGAGCCCGCCATGTGTCTGACTCTAAACCTGAGTTATAACACCACTCAGAAAGAGCTGTGTCATGTGTCTGACTCTAAACCTGAGTTATAACACCACTCAGAAAGAGCTGTGTCATGTGTCTGACTCTAAACCTGAGTTATAACACCACTCAGAAAGAGCTGTGTCATGTGTCTGACTCTAAACCTGAGTTATAACACCACTCAGAGAGAGCTGTGTCATGTGTTTGACTCTAAACCTGAGTTATAACACTACTCAGAAAGAGCCCTGCCATGTGTCTGACTCTAAACCTGAGTTATAGCACAACTCAGAAAGAGCCCTGCCATGTGTCTGACTCTAAACCTGAGTTATAACACAACCCAGAAAGAGCCCTGCCATGTGTCTGACTCTAAACCTGAGTTATAACACTACTCAGAAAGAGCCCTGCCATGTGTCTGACTCTAAACCTGAGTTATAGCACAACTCAGAAAGAGCCCTGCCATGTGTCTGACTCTAAACCTGAGTTATAACACAACCCAGAAAGAGCCCTGCCATGTGTTTGACTCTAAACCTGAGTTATAACACCACTCAGAGAGAGCTGTGTCATGTGTCTGACTCTAAACCTGAGTTATAACACAACTCAGAAAGAGCCCTGCCATGTGTCTGACTCTAAACCTGAGTTATAGCACAACTCAGAAAGAGCCCTGCCATGTGTCTGACTCTAAACCTGAGTTATAACACAACCCAGAAAGAGCCCGCCATGTGTCTGACTCTAAACCTGAGTTATAACACCACTCAGAAAGAGCTGTGTCATGTGTCTGACTCTAAACCTGAGTTATAACACCACTCAGAAAGAGCTGTGTCATGTGTCTGACTCTAAACCTGAGTTATAACACCACTCAGAAAGAGCTGTGTCATGTGTCTGACTCTAAACCTGAGTTATAACACCACTCAGAGAGAGCTGTGTCATGTGTTTGACTCTAAACCTGAGTTATAACACTACTCAGAAAGAGCCCTGCCATGTGTCTGACTCTAAACCTGAGTTATAGCACAACTCAGAAAGAGCCCTGCCATGTGTCTGACTCTAAACCTGAGTTATAACACAACCCAGAAAGAGCCCTGCCATGTGTCTGACTCTAAACCTGAGTTATAACACTACTCAGAAAGAGCCCTGCCATGTGTCTGACTCTAAACCTGAGTTATAGCACAACTCAGAAAGAGCCCTGCCATGTGTCTGACTCTAAACCTGAGTTATAACACAACCCAGAAAGAGCCCTGCCATGTGTCTGACTCTAAACCTGAGTTATAACACAACTCAAACAAAAATTGCACTTTTGATTTTAACCCTGAGGTGAAAGTCACAGTGATTTAGTTCAAGTTCACTGCATACTGCCTGTGAGTGACGCATGATTAATCCAACTTTCTTTTAGATAACTCTAAGGGTTCAAAAGTTACAAGACAAAAATTAGAAGAATAAAAAAACAATGGGAAGACCCAGAACTTGTACTAAAATGTGTCCATATAATTGGAAGTACGACTCAATAAAAATAGGATGCTTACAAATGATATTTGTCAAAAAAAAAAAAAAAAAAAACTCTGAAATGAAATTACTTGGATTTGAAAGACTGCAAATGTAGGTCTGTGGAGGTAATTGTAATATCTCAGGCACAAGAATTGTGAAATATGTTACAAATTAAACTGAGGATAAAGTGCAAGAAATATTTATGCTTTGAATAACTGAGAAGGCAAGTATGGGAATTTGGCTATAACAAAGCCTACAGCAGAATATGTAGCCTGGCTGGTGCCATTGCTGTGCTGAGTGTAGGAAAATAGTTGTGAGCCATGATCTGATGCTGATGGTACTTACTTAGGTGTTTTGGCATCAGCTACACCAAACCCTTCCCCGGTAGTGCTGGAATCAACGAGACGGGAAGCTTGTCATGCATTGCTACACAGATATAATGGTGCTATAGGAGCCTTCAACAACAAAACATTGGTGACTGTTCTGCTGAAGGAGACAGTGGATTACAAATATAAACCTTGTGATCAGTGGGGGTAAATAGAGACAAAACAAAGGGATCTCTATATGGACAAGGCAGTGAATGGTGAACAAGATAGTAAAGGGGTGAACAAGACAGTGAATGGTGAACAAGATAGTGAATGGTGAACAAGACAGTGAATGGTGAACAAGACAGTGAAGGATGAAAGGTAAATGATATATGTTTATAGTTAGGGTGAACAGAACAACGAAGGATGGAAGCGCAAAGAACATGCGTATTCAAAAGATGCTGAAAAATATAAACAAGATATTGATCAAAATTTGAACAGGGGAGGTAATGATCATGATGTCACTTCAGATGTGAAGTTTGATCAGTGAGAAAATGAATAAAAAATGAATTGAAATATAAGTATGATCAAGGGAGATAATGAAAGTGACATCAATTAAATCATAAGTTTAATCAAGGGAGATAATGAACATGACATCAATTAAAATATAACTATGATCAAGGGAGATAATGAAAGTGACATCAATTAAAATATAAGTATGATCAAGGGAGATAATGAAAGTGACATCAATTAAATCATAAGTTTAATCAAGGGAGATAATGAACATGATATCAATTAAAATATAAGTATGATCAAGGGAGATAATGAAAGTGACATCAATTAAATCATAAGTTTAATCAAGGGAGATAATGAACATGACATCAATTAAACTATAAGTATGATCAAGGGAGATAATGAAAGTGACATCAATTAAAATATAACTATGATCAAGGGAGATAATGAACACATCATTCATTTAATCTTCCACTATAAACATTTCCTGTTTCATACCCGTGGTTTTCAACTTCTATATTTTTGTCTGCACTGGAATTCTCTCAAAATTTATTTGTCAAACTAATTTTATACCTATCACTGAATTTAGCTGTGAAGTTTTTCCCCAGATTTTACAAAAGAAATCAGAAATGATTGGATTATGACGATGGATAAATATCACGATAGAAATGAAACAAGAATTGTATAATCAAAAAGTATCGGAGAAATTAAAACTTTACGTCATTATGGTAAAACCAAAAGTTTTTAAAAATATGCTTGATAATGATGGAGAGAGAGAGAGAGCATCTTTCAACAAAGCAAAAAGCAAAGGGCAATAACTCTTCCAAAACTTGTTGAGTCAAAATGCTGCAGGAGAAACGGTATTATTATATGTTTGAATGTTCAAGTATACCAAGTTTCAAAAAGATGAAAACTGGGGAAAAGGGTTTGGACAAAATAAGATTAAAATGCTGATGATAAGAGCATTAAATCCTCTTAAAATCATTGACTCTAACTGTTGTTCAGTAACAACATGAGATATATGCCTGCCAAGTTTGAAAAGAGATCAGTCAAAACAGTGGGAGAAGATTTCAGGAGAAAATTAACTGAAAGTTCCCAACAGATACCATATATCCATCCCATTTCCAGCAAAAACTGACCATCAACTTGTAGCCTCTTTCATCAGTATTTCAAATTATTTCCTATACAGTACCTGTTTAAAATGATCTGTGATATATACCCACTAAATTCCTCTACACATGGTTTACTACCCTGTCATAGCATGCTTGTAAACTGTACTGGAAAGATGACAAGGACAGGAGCTAGCACACAGGTCAAATGTCACTGATTAGATATGGAAGATGACATTGGAAGGAAAAGAACTAGCACACAGGTCAAATATTAGATATGAAAGCAAGTCCATGCTGATTATTTAAAAAAGATAAAAAAAACACAATCACTGCATAAAAGATATTAATAAACACACTATATATATACACAGAGGTTATCAAAACTTAAGTTACATGTACTACAACAAAACACAGCTGGTCAATCAAAGTTTTAAGTAAAAAATCAATTTTCTGATCAAAAGATAAATAAATAAAAAATATCACAGAGCCAAACAATACACCCTCATGTCATGATAAAGAGAATTTTTTCATTAAATCAAAATGGACACCAATGTAGGAATGAAACAATAATCGTATAATCTAAACAACTGCGGACATTTTCTGTCTGGATAGCCGTGTCAAGTTTAAAGGGTTTATAAAATGAGGGACTTATACAACTTGTACCACATCTGAATGATTCTTTACAATTTCGTTACAAAAAGTGCCACCGAATTGGATAAAATCTGAGGTAGGAAATCTCTCGACAAAATTGAATGCTGTAAAAAGGATAATAACTCCCCTAAAAGTAGTTGAACCCAAATACTATTTACAAAACAGAATCTTTGTCCTGGTAATAAAGCCTACTAAAGAAGAGATCTATTGAAAACTGGGAATGGAGATCTGTAAACACACAGACTGATATGGATGGACGGATGTGTAGATGGATAACACCTTATCATATTATGTCCTGTCAAAATTTTTGATTGGAGAATAAAAAAACGTGAGGAGTAATTAAGTTGTGATATAATGTATAGATAATTCACCTGTCCAAGTCAGATACTGGAGTGGCAGCTCCGGGGGGAGGCGATGGAACCTGCATTGAATTGCGTCGAGATGTTGTCTTGGATGTTTGTTTCCTCTCTGCACTCTTCTTCCTCTCGCCTTTCTTGTCCTCCCTGCCTCCAGACTTGTCGGTCTTGCCTGACTTGCCTTTGGTTGGAGTTGTGAGATCTTTGTCAGGAGTAACTGACTTCTCTTCCTCTGGTTCAGGATCCTTAGAATCCAAGATACCAACATTGCTGTAAAAACAAACCCAAAACGTAATTTCTCTTTGTAAACAAATAAAATCCCTAAAACTATCCTCACAGTTGTGAGTCATGATTTTAGGAAATGTTGACTGTTAAATGAGGAAACACAATGTCGTTGTGTGGGTTATATCATAATACACTGAGTGCATACATGTTAATTGAAATTTGACAGCATCTGAATCTTGGATAATGAGCGACCAGTATATGAAATGAAGAAAGAAGTGTTATAGTTGTGCTGGCTATGTCACAATTTAGCATTGTTAAATGGCACTGCCACAGTGTAACCTTATATAAGTATACTGTAGGTATACTGAAATACTTACGGATCATCTGGGGATGAAGCAACAAATATGTAACGTCCACCAAACTCAGATACAGGAGGAGCTTTCCTTTTCACAGGGTAGGGCACAACAGCAAATGTGGCTGAAGGTGGAATTGGTGGACCTTTGGGGCCAAGTCCAATTCCATCAAGGACCTGCACATAAGCAATACCTTGTAAATATTCAAAGTTGTGTCTATTTCATCATAAAAGTTACAAATCTACTAATACATATACCTGTATGTGATTGGAAGTTTGTGTAAATTACTTCTTAGTTCTGTCCTAAATTTAGCCAAGGTACTCTTTTACTTTTGTCCTAATATGACTATGTTAATTATTTTAGTCCTGAATACAACTGAGCCTATTCTCTTGGTTTTAAATACAGCTGAGTCTGTGACTGTATCTCTGTCCTAAATACAGCTGAGTCTAAATACAGCTGAACATGTTATTGTATCTCTGTCCTAAATACAGCTGAACATGTTATTGTATCTCTGTCCTAAATACAGCTGAGCCTGTGACTATATCTCTGTCCTAAATACAGCTGAGCCTGTGACTGTATCTCTGTCCTAAATACAGCTGAACATGTTATTGTATCTCTGTCCTAAATACACCTGAGTCTGTGACTGTATCTCTGTCCTAAATACAGCTGAGTCTATTCTCTTAGTTTTAAATACAGCTGAGTCTGTGACTGTATCTCTGTCCTAAATACAGCTGAGTCTGTGACTGTATCTCTGTCCTTAATACAGCTGAGTCTGTGACTGTATCTCTGTCCTAAATACAGCTGAGTCTGTGACTGTATCTCTGTCCTAAATACAGCTGTGCCTGTGACTATATCTCTGTCCTAAATACAGCTGAACATGTTATTGTATCTCTGTCCTAAATACAGCTGAGCCTGTGACTGTATCTCTGTCCTTAATACAGCTGAGCCTGTGACTGTATCTCTGTCCTTAATACAGCTGAACATGTTATTGTATCTCTGTCCTAAATACAGCTGAGCCTGTGACTGTATCTCTGTCCTAAATACAGCTGAGCCTGTGACTATATCTCTGTCCTAAATACAGCTGAGCCTGTGACTGTATCTCTGTCCTAAATACAGCTGAACATGTTATTGTATCTCTGTCCTAAATACAGCTGAGCCTGTGACTATATCTCTGTCCTAAATACAGCTGAGCCTGTGACTGTATCTCTGTCCTAAATACAGTTGTACCTATAACTGAACCTAGGTGTTAACTTAAAGCTGAGTCTTACCTCATTCATACTTGGCAGTTTCTGTAAAGCCATGAGTTTGTCAAAGGGTGTAATAGCTTTATCTGAGCAGTCTATCTGAAGGTGGGGGATACCAGATCCATCCTCCTCCTTGGTAGCTTCCTCAGCAACTTCTCCATCTGCTGGTTCTCCCTGCTGTGTAGCTGCTGCTGCCTACAATGTAATTTCCTCTCTCGTCAGAAAACTGTATCATAACTTTATATAACAAAATACACAAGTGGTCACCAGGGCAGATTTGACCACTTGTTCCTGGTATCTTTCATTTATTTTATAAACAAGAGATAGTAAAGGGATCTTTTTCCTTTCTTTTTTCATATGCTGGGGTCAGTCCTCTAACAGAATATGATCTAGCACAGGTCTCTCATCTCACACTCAATGCTTTCATTCCTTTCTCTCTTGGAATCTTTGTACCCACTACTGATAAGTTTTATCTTTTTTTCTCTTCATGCCCAACTAGAGATAAAAAAAAAAATTATCCATCTAGCACTCCTCAAGAAACTTAAATACTTTCTACCTGATGATGCTTCAGACAAAATTTGGTCAAAATCTTGTCATCCCTGCATATGGAGATGAATTTCAAAGAGCTTCCTCAATTCCTCAAATCGAGCTCAATCTCTCTTAACCCCAAGATGCACACAATGTGGACACAATTCTCACATTCCTATAGAAGGAGTGCGATCTGGATTGTCTAAATTTGCCCCATAGAGCTTAATGGAGGTCCAGACCCACCGTTTATACAAAACTGTTTCCTTTTTCTAATATTTTTAACCCCTAGTATAAACAAAATTGAATGCCTCTTCAAAAGATGCATCAGATAAAAGTTAAGCAAAATCCTGTTGTTTCTACAAAAGAGGGATTGGCTGTATTTTCTGTATTGGACTCTCCTTATCAACTTATTCAATGGTTTATAACAAGGACTGATTTAAAATGAGAATTTAACTGATGGACAAAGGGTAACAGTAGATGCCAGTCAAAAGAGATAATGTCAGTTGAGATCATTAGGGATGCTTGTTTAGCTAAACGTAGACTGCTGGAGATCCCTCGTAATCCTTAATACACACCTCTTTGGCAGCTCTTTCAGCGTTTTCTTTTTCGATCTGTTTCTGTCTTTCCTTTTCCTTCTCTTTCTCTTGTTTGTCATGTTTATCTGTGAACAGAATGACTCTAATATTACTGTAATTGTTAGGTAGTTCATCAATATATATACATGTAAGTATGTGTTTTTTCAGAACAATATTCTATATCTGTATATCTCAATCATGACCAATAATTTCAGGAAAAATGCAAATTAACTGTTATGTACATACCTTTTCCTTTGGCTTTCTTGCCAGATGGTGGGTGATGTTGTCCATCTTCTTCAGACTTTTCCGATGGTGTAGGTGGTCGTTTGATGCCAAGTGTTGTTCTGTCCCAGAATTCTATGAGGTCACCTATCTCCTTGCTGGCATGTTCAACTGTACGGAATCGTTGCATGAGCAAGATTTCAGATTCTTTGAGAGGATCACACAAAACTTCTGGTTCGCTTTCTCCTTTCTCCTTGTCCGACTTTTCCTTTCCATCACCAGGTTTCTTGCCATCCTTGCCTTTCTTACCTTTCCTATAAAGAATGTAGACTTTAGCCATCACCATACCCAGATGTACACAAACTTTAAACATTCATGTATATCACTTTAATGTTTTAACTGTTAGTGGTATCTCAGTCTGTGTTTCCATTTCAGTTAAAAACAGTCATCATGTTTTTAAGATATTCAAATAGAGTCTAACCTGCATTAAACGGCCAATGCGGGGAAATTATGAAAGTGGCCTTTATAGAGAGGTGGCCTCTTAATTGAAGTTCCTTATTTTCGAACCCAAGTTGCGGCAATTTGCACATTGATATTTGAATACAGTTTAATAATCAGGATTGTCATTGTCGTTTAAACGAGTTTTGATAGTGAGTTTGGGGACAAAAAGAGTGGCCGTTAAATTAGGTATCATTAATGAGCAAAAACGATTGGGAGGGTCTGAAAACGGCCGTTATAAGCAGGTGTCCATCTAACTAAAGCGGCAGTTATGACAGGTTAGACTGTCCTTGTAGAGTATAAAGTCTTTGCTACAATATTATTTAACATCAACAGCAAAAGACGTACCATTGAGTGGAACAATATATATCCGTCCAATGATGAAGAAATATTTCAGATTTATCATCAAAATGAATACAGATATGAAAATGGCAATACTGAGTTTAAAAAGATAGCCTTGGTAGACTTACTTCCCATCGTCCAGTACTGTGTCACTCTTCTCTGTTTGATGGGACTCAGGCCGATCAGTAACACTGGATCCAGCCTTGCTGACTGGGTGGTCACTGTCGTGGGGTTTGGGACCTCCCTGAGATTTCTGTACACGGTCTGTACTGCCTGTTTTACCTGTAGCAGCCACACTTTTTTTACCATCCTTGGCTGGCTCTTCCTTAGGTTTCTCAGGACCTTTTTTACCCTTCTTCTTGGGCCTGAAATAAATAAAGATAAAAAGACGTTTTAACTGGTAGGAAATAATACCATGTAAGATCAACGTTATTACAAGGAGTGATTTAATTACATGTCCAAGGATGCATTTCATCATTCTGACTCCTGGGGACACAGTTTATCATTCTGACTCCTGGGGACACAGTTTATCATTCTGACTCCTGGGGACACAGTTTATCATTCTGACTCCTGGGGACACAGTTTATCATTCTGACTCCTGGGGACACAGTATATCATTCTGACTCCCGGGGACACAGTTTATCATTCTGGCTCCCGGGGACACAGTTTATCATTCTGACTCCTGGGGACACAGTATATCATTCTGACTCCCGGGGACACAGTTTATCATTCTGGCTCCCGGGGACACAGTTTATCATTCTGACTCCTGGGGACACAGTTTATCATTCTGACTCCTGGGGACACAGTTTATCATTCTGACTCCTGGGGACACAGTTTATCATTCTGACTCCTGGGGACACAGTTTATCATTCTGACTCCTGGGGACACAGTTTATCATTCTGACTTCTGGGGACACAGTTTATCATTCTGACTCCTGGAGACACAGTTTACTATCAAGAGACAGACAGCAGATGATAAAGATTGTGATGTCACATCTCCTAGTTATCATCTGGTAATCAATAAAGAGCTAACAAATGTTTGAAATATTTTCAGAAATGAAATCGAGTTTAAAATCTATCTTATTTGGTATATCCTATCAAAGGTTATATTATAAGATTGTCCGCCATGAAATCCTATCAAAGGTTATATTATAAGATTGTCCGCCGTGAAATCCTATCAAAGGTTATATTATAAGATTGTCCGCCGTGAAATCCTATCAAAGGTTATATTATAAGATTGTCCGCCATGAAATCCTATCAAAGTTGATTGTCCGCCGTGAAATCCTATCAAAGGTTATATTATAAGATTGTCCGCCGTGAAATCCTATCAAAGGTTATATTATAAGATTGTCCGCCGTGAAATCCTATCAAAGTTGATTGTCCGCCGTGAAATCCTATCAAAGGTTATATTATAAGATTGTCCGCCGTGAAATCCTAAAAGGTTATATTATAAGATTGTCCGCCGGAAATCCTATCAAAGGTTATATTAAATGTTTGCCGTATTTTCAGAAATCCTATCAAAGGTTATATTATAAGATTTTGGTGAAATCCTATCAAAGGTTATATTATAAGATTGTCCGCCGTGAAATCCTATCAAAGGTTATATTATAAGATTGTCCGCCGTGCTTTGCATTCCAGTTTATTCCAGGACAATAATTAAAGACAGGAAAAAGAAGGTCATAATTAAAGTATTACTTTTCTTCTTCAAGTCTCCGTGCCTCTGCTTCAGCAGCTTCTCGCTCCAAACGATCACGTTCCATACGTTCTTCATTCTCCCTGTAACACATCAGGTATATATAACATGTAGGACTATAACATATTGATCCTTCAGATCAAATCATCTCAGAAAAATAAACGGATAGCAATGTTAGCATATTTCACTAAACCTAATGTCAACAAATTTAAGTAAACATGATGTCAACTTTTCTCAGTCAACCAGAAGTCAACATGTTTCAGTTAACATATTTCTGTTATCATGATGTCAACATATTTCATTTCAGCCAATGTCAACATATTTCAGTTAACACAATGTCAACATATTTCAGTTATCATGATGTCAACATATTTCAGTTCACCCAATGTCAACATATTTCAGTTCACCCAATGTCAACATATTTCAGTTAACACAACGTCAACATTAATATATCAGTTAACCAAATATTATTTGTTACCAAGATGTACGAGTACTACCGAGGGTCTTAATGCTCAGAGGAAACCAGGGTACCTGGTCATGAAATATTAACCATACCACACGCCTGATCAGGGAGATAAAACCTGGTGAAGTAAGTGTCACACTCCACCACCAAACACTTACTTCCTGATTCTCTCCTTCTTCATGTCCAGTCTTTTCATGTCAACAGCAGCTTTCTCCTTCTCAGGTAGAGCATCATACTCATCCTCTGACATCTCTTCAAGTCTCATTCTGTCTTTTCCTTCCTCTTCTTTAGCCAAACGATCTGTAAAAGTTCCATATTTAGCCATGTGAGATATCTACCATCAGTATGTAAAGATCTACCATCAGTGTGTTATAGAGATTTAACAGTGGTGTAATAGACTCATACAGATATACTGTATTGTACTATAACATACCATTCTCCTCCTGGGCTTTCTTTTCCTGCTCTTTAAGGACACTGTAGTCAAGTTTAAGTGTGATGAAGTATATGAAACGTCTATTGTTCAGAGCCTTCAAGATAACATTGGCAGCAGTTTGGATATTCTGAGCGAACAAAGTTTCAAGGCCATCCAGTACAACTCCACGATGGCAGTCATTTAGCTATAAATGCAAAAAAAAAAAAAAAAAATCAGTAAACCATTGAAATACACAAGTGTTATAATACAACAATATGTAAAAAATACTTCACAAGCTTTGATTGGTTGCTATTTAATTGGTTGCTCTTTGATTGGTTGCTATTTGACTGGTTGCTTCTTGATTGGTTGCTATTTGATTGGTTGCTATTTGATTGGTTGCTTTTTTATTGGTTGCTATTTGATTGGTTGCTATTTGATTGGTTGCTATTTGACTGGTTGCTCTTTAATTGGTTGCTCTTTGAATGAAGGTTTTGGATTTCCCTGAGTAATAAGTATTACAAATTCACTTACATGAAGGACAATCGACAATTTCATCAACATTTGGACTAACAATAACTATACTAAGCATCACCAACAGACATTTGCAATCTTAACCTTAGATCGGTAACTGTTTGTCAAATGACTTAATGTGATAAGAACATGTAAATGACCTGTAATCTCTCCGAGATGATGTCTACCAAGAGATCCTCAGGTAGGACGCAGCTCATCAAACCCTCTTCACCGGCTACACTGGCACTAACACTCAAGCGACGCGCAATGGGTGCAGCTAAAGGAAGCGGGGAGCTTGGCACCTATAACAATAAAAATTCTACAATTATGTTCAACCACAGAAAGTTATAATTGTAAAAGAACACTATATATGCATTTTACGATGAGTGCTTCTGATATTGTTCTGACAATACATAATGTTTATGACTGAAGTGTGAAGCTCTTAATTATTTGAACAGTGTCAAAATGCTTTATGTATAAAGCTTGCATCCCCCCTGTTCAACAACTCAGTGCAATCAATGATGGTCATTTCACCAGCAGCAGCTACAACAAAATACATAATCAGTATATTTGCTAAATAGGAGGGGTAAGCATTACATTTAAGTATACTCACCAAAACAATTGTTCGAAAGTAAAAAAAAAATCAAATTTTTACAAAAAAAGCAAATAAAAGAAAAATTGCAGTAAGTTCACATCCCTACTAACAACACAATACAGAATTAGCTGGGTTTTTTTTTTCTATCTACAGTTTTTTATCACACATCCTATGTTTAAACAAGAGATCCGGGTTGATCTTGGCACCAATTATCATACCTGTATGATCTTTATTTGTTCTATAAAAAATGGAACTTTCCCTTTTTCCCCTCTTCTTTCCTTTAATTTGCTTTAAACTAATCATTGTATTGACATGTGAGCATTTTGACATGAGTGAAACTGACATAAAAATTGAGAAAATTGTTTGATCTCCATTTGTTCTCTGAAATGTTTTTTTTTCTTCTTCTTTTCTCTTATTTGCTCTTAATCATTTGAGATTTGAGAATCCCTCTAATAAATAGCAATAATAAACTTTAACTCTTGACTTCTCAAAGACGGTTGCCTTTCAGCAATTTTGTCTTTCTCATCTATCTGAACATCAAAAGGCACAAATACATACTGCTGGGAATCTGAAGAGATCCATCCAGTATTTCTACAGAAGTAGCTATAACAAACTTTCATAGAAAAAATCAAAAAGATGGCTGCCTTCAGTCTATTTGTTTTTCTTATCACTCCAAAGATAAAAAAAAAAAGCAGTATTAGGGACCAAGGGGAACTTACATATGAAATTTGAGAAAGATCCATCCACTATTTCAAGAAATAGTGATAACAACTTTATTGTCAAAATCCAAGATGGCCACCTGTAAGCCATTTTGCTTTCTCATCATTCTGAAACTCAAAAGAGTTCAACCAGGGACCAAGGGAAATATTCATATGAAATCTGAGAAGGACCAATCCAAGCGAGAACAAGAACCGATTGACCTCAGACCATAGATAACAGTCCAGGAACGTAGAGCGATTTGAATAGCCCACCATCCGATGATGATGTGCTAAAAAAATGTCTTTTTTTATCAACACAAACACACTGAAATGGTTTGAAAACCATTCTGAAATCTACCATCACCATTGAAACTGTTAATTTGAAGCCAATTCAAACCTCAGTACAAAATCAACCAATTATACATTTGAGAATTAATTCCTAAATCATTATACAACATGTTAGTCAACTTTACCACTGATCCATTAATTAGGCTGCTATATACACAAATAAAAGGCAGGACCAGCAAAATCATGTATCTTATGTATCAAACTGGTTTTTTAAGTTAATTTGAAAAGAAAGTTTGCAGTAAGCATGAAAATAATTTCATTGTGATGCTGTCTGGTATTGTCTGTCAGATTGAATGTTACATAAATTTCACACATTCTGTTTATCTTTTGTGATGAATGTTTTTTATACCAGGAATCTACTGAATATATTGCTTATCATTTCTAAGTATTTGTCTCTGTAGTAATACATTCAATACATTCCATGCAGAAAATATGATAAGAACTGAACAGGTAGTCTAAAGAAGTTCGTTTCTGCCTTTGGTGTTTTCACAATTCAGTTATAAAACCATGAACAGCTGTATAAAACCTGAGAAATACATGTTGTAATGAATTGTGTTTGGTCAACATCACAACGTCCATGCCACACGTTTACTATATGTTACGATAATACAGTTCACACTCCTTTATACCTGCTTCGGTTTTTTGAGCGACTGTAGCTGAGATTTTTCCTGAACTAAAAACACAGAATCCTAAAGAAATGAAGAAAACACATCAAGTCTGACATTAAATTTACGGTTAGAATTCCACATGATGATAAGTCTGTGTTCATTAATGTATGGATTTAGTTTGGATGTAAAGTGTGTGTTATCAACAATATCTCCAAACCAATCTTGGAATCAACAGTATGGTTAACACAATTTGGAAAACTTTAGAAATGGAGGTTATTTTACCAGGAAAAGTTTCTATTTACTAAAGATATACCAATGATACTGCACAAACGAGGAATTAGGGGAAACAACAATGTGTCAAATATTTGATAAAGTTTTTTTTTCAGTTCAGTCTGAAATATGTTGTTTAAACTACTATATGACTACACTAAGGTACTTTTCCATTGTGGATGTAGAAACTGAACAAAATTTCCTTAACCTAGTCACAAGCCTCCAAAATCTTGTGATATATATAATTTTTTTTTAACTCCAGCACAGGAGATTACAAAAAAGGGACATAAATCCTCCCCAATCACAATAACTCCTATTAATATCAACATGGCACAGAGAACACAAAATATGTCATGCAAAATAAGAATTTTTGTGCAGCACAGACAGAAACAAAACACAATTCTACCACAAAAACAATCAAAACATGAACAAGTTAGAAATCAACCATGGGCTGAATTCTGTGTACAATGAAACAGTTCCCACTGTAGTGGTAGGGGACTAGATTATATAACAGTTCCCACTGTAGTGGTAGGGGGACTAGTTCCCACTGTAGTGGTAGGGGACTAGATTATATAACAGTTCCCACTGTAGTGGTAGGGGACTAGACTATATAACAGGTCCCATTGTAGTGGTAGGGGACTAGACTATATAACAGTTCCCACTGTAGTGGTAGGGGACTAGAGACTATATAACAGTTCCCACTGTAGTGGTAGGGGACTAGATTATATAACAGTTCCCACTGTAGTGGTAGGGGACTAGACTATATAACAGTTCCCACTGTAGTGGTAGGGGGACTAGAGACTATACTGTAGTGGTAGGGGACTAGATTATATAACAGTTCCCACTGTAGTGGTAGGGGACTAGACTATATAACAGTTCCCACTGTAGTGGTAGGGGACTAGATTATATAACAGTTCCCACTGTAGTGGTAGGGGACTAGAGACTATATAACAGTTCCCACTGTAGTGGTAGGGGACTAGAGACTATATATAACAGTTCCCACTGTAGTCTAGACCACTGTAGTGGTAGGGGACTAGACTATATAACAGTTCCCACTGTAGTGATAGGGGACTAGATTATATAACAGTTTCCAATGTAGTGGTAGGGGACTAGAGACTATATAACAGTTCCCACTGTAGTGGTAGGGGACTAGATTATATAACAGTTCCCACTGTAGTGATAGGGGACTAGATTATATAACAGTTTCCAATGTAGTGGTAGGGGACTAGAGACTATATAACAGTTCCCACTGTAGTGGTAGGGGGACTAGAGACTATATAACAGTTCCCACTGTAGTGGTAGGGGACTAGAGACTATATATAACAGTTCCCACTGTAGTGGTAGGGGACTAGAGACTATATAACAGTTCCCACTGTAGTGGTAGGGGACTAGATTATATAACAGTTCCCACTGTAGTGGTAGGGGACTAGACTATATAACAGTTCCCACTGTAGTGTTAGGGGGACTAGAGACTATATAACAGTTCCCACTGTAGTGGTAGGGGACTAGAGACTATATAACAGTTCCCACTGTAGTGGTAGGGGACTAGAGACTATATAACAGTTCCCACTGTAGTGGTAGGGGACTAGAGACTATATAACAGTTCCCACTGTAGTGTTAGGGGGACTAGAGACTATATAACAGTTTCCACTGTAGTGTTAGGGGGACTAGAGACTATATAACAGTTCCCACTGTAGTGTTAGGGGGACTAGAGACTATATAACAGTTCCCACTGTAGTGGTAGGGGACTAGAGACTATATAACAGTTCCCACTGTAGTGGTAGGGGACTAGAGACTATATAATAGTTCCCACTGTAGTGGTAGGGGGACTAGAGACTATATAACAGTTTCCACTGTAGTGTTAGGGGGACTAGAGACTATATACCAGTTCCCACTGTAGTGGTAGGGGACTAGAGACTATATATAACAGTTCCCACTGTAGTGGTAGGGGACTAGAGACTATATAACAGTTCCCACTGTAGTGGTAGGGGACTAGAGACTATATAACAGTTCCCACTGTAGTGGTAGGGAAACTAAAAGTCCTTTTACTAAAATACATTGGCATGCTACAACTGAACAAGAAACAAAAAATAAACAAAAAATAAAAAAACACCATATTTGATTGTGACAGACATTATTCTGAGAGATACATAATTTCTACCTTATTTTAATGTACAGCAGAAAGCTGTATTAATCACATCTCATTTCAATGTCATCGCAATCAAATATGGTACAATTTAAAAATTAAATAAAGGCACAAGATTGAAAAGAGCAGAAAGATAACAGAGGGGACAATATTGATATATATAACCTTATCTGAGTTAGGGATTGGGGGTTCCCCGTGCTTGGCTCGCACTGTACCATGGCCTCCCTGAGTAACCTGTTGAAAGGTATTAGTACTGACATAGACTTTTGTTAATGGTTAAGAGTTGTTCAAAAGTTCTTACAAAATCACTAACCACTTAAAAATGGTCAGTAAATCATGAAAGATAAAAATTGAGAAAAATCATTTCCCTTCACAGTCTTCTATGAATATAAGCCATATCGTTTTTAAGTGGATATGATGTTAACTTACGTCGTCTACAAATTTCTACAACAATCTGTCTGAAGTGATAAGGGATGATAAATCATATATATTATGGAAGAACATCTCTCACTACAACTTTGTACTTTTTCCTACTTTTTCAGCACTTTGGGCAATTTAACTTCTTGGAATGATGATGTGATACCCCAGTAAGTTACATTTTTTTAGATGTCCAGAAGATGGTGCCATCACTGAAGATTACCAACAATATCCAAATTCTACCTCTAATATCAACTTCTACCACCAATATCAACTTCTACCATCAATATCAACTTCTACCACCAATATCAACTTCTACCATCAATATCAACTTCTACCAATTTCTACCACCAATATCAACTTCTACCACCAATATCAATTTCTACCATCAATATCAACTTCTACCACCAATATCAACTTCTACCACCAATATCAACTTCTACCACCAATATTAACTTCTATTACCAATATCAAATTCTCAACTTCTACCACCAATATCAATTTCTACCACCAATATCAACTTCTACCACCAATATTAACTTCTATTACCAATATCAAATTCTCAAATTCTACCACCAATATCAAATTCTACCATCCATATCAACTTCTACCACCAATATCAGCTTCTACCAATTTCTACCACCAATATCAACTTCTACCACCAATATCAACTTCTACTACCAATATCAAATTCTCAAATTCTACTATCAACTTCTACCACCAATATCAGCTTCTACCACCAGTATCGAAATTCTACCTCTTATGTCAACTTCTTTAGCCAATATCAACTTCTATCTTCAATAACAAATTATGTGTGTGTGGGACAAATTCTACCTGTCTGTATTATGTGTGTGGGACATCTGATATGTCACCCTGTCTATATAATGTGTGTGGGACACCTGAACTTTTGATGTCATCCTGTCTGTATTTTGTGCTTGGGACATCTGTACTTTTGATGTCATCCTGTCTGTATTATATGTGTGGGACACCTGTACTTTTGATGTCATCCTGTCTGTATTATGTGTGTGGGACACCTGTACTTTTGATGTCACCCTGTCTGTATTATGTGTGTGGGACACCTGTACTTTTGATGTCACCCTGTCTGTATTATGTGTGTGGGACACCTGTACTTTTGATGTCACCCTGTCTGTATTATGTGTGTGGGACACCTGTACTTTTGATGACTAAAGTTTGTGCTTTTCTAGTCATTACAAAATAAATTGCTGTATACTCCAAAAAAGGACAAAAGTACAAAGCATCAGTGAGTGATTTTCTATATCAGAGATCATTTAAATGTTTATAATTTTTTTCATTTCTACTCGTAAAGGATACAAACACCACCCAATATGAACTATATTGTTTATCAGATGTCTTGACTAAATATTAAGTTATTCAGTGAACCCATTTATAACACAACATGCAAATTACAAGTATTAAGAAGTGAGCACACTGTAGAGATGGTTTACACAGACATACCTGACTGCCAGTAGCTCCATCAATAGATGAGGTGTTGATGCCAGTTTTTGCTCCAGCTACGCTGCCACCATGATGCTTGTCCTTGCCCTTCACATCTGAAACAGTGCTAGTCTTACGATTGGACACGACGGAGTGAGCCTGTGACACGGCTGCTGTGCTAGCTGTGGGTGAATGTTGCAAAAATACAGTTAGGATGGGTGATGGGTGAAAAAGGGCAAGCAAGTGAAAGCACACTCCAATACAAAGTGTTCTGTGTGATTATAACTGGTTAGTGTGTTCAATACAAAGTGTTCTGTGTGATTATAACTGGTTAGTGTGTTCAATACAAAGTGTTCTGTGTGATTATAACTGGTTAGTGTGTTCAATACAAAGTGTTCTGTGTGATTATAACTGGTTAGTGTGTTCAATACAAAGTGTTCTGTGTGATTATAACTGGTTAGTGTGTTCAATACAAAGTGTTCTGTGTGATTATAACTGGTTAGTGTGTTCAATACAAAGTGTTCTGTGTGATTATAACTGGTTAGTGTGTTCAATACAAAGTGTTCTGTGTGATTATAACTGGTTAGTGTGTTCAATACAAAGTGTTCTGTGTGATTATAACTGGTTAGTGTGTTCAATACAAAGTGTTCTGTGTGATTATAATACAGTATTGTGATAATTCACAATGTAATCATATATACAGCTGGAAAAACCAAAATGGGGCAAAATATGTCCGTACAAACCAGCAAAATAAAAAACAGTGCTGTCATACAGTGACACATATCCCCTTCAGGACAAATTGTCATACAGTAACACATATCCCCTTCAGGACAAATTGTCATACAGAGACACATATCCCTTCAGGACAAATTGCCATACAGTGACACATATCCCCTCCAGGACAAATTGCCATACAGTAACACATATCCCTTCAGGACAAATTGTCATAAAGTGAAACATATCCCCTTCAGGACAAATTGTCTTACAGCGGTTAAATACAAGGCATCACCATGTAAACTTCTTTAATCACACAAAACACTTTTGAATACTGAAGGTATATAGATATCATATTAACAGGAAGGTGTCACACATGTTGTATTAACAGGAAGGTGTCACACATGTCATATTAACAGGAAGGTGTCACACATGTCGTATTAACAGGAAGGTGTCACACATGTCATATTACCAGGAAGGTGTCAAACATGTTATATTACCAGGAAGGTGTCAAACATGTCATATTAACAGGTGACTTACAGATGAAAATTTAACTATTACATGTTCACGTCACATCAAAATCTGACATAGAATCATATTCTTGTAAATCGGGTTTAATCTGGCAGAATGACATTTTAAAAATCATAAACAAAAACAGATGAAGTAAATCTTTATAGAAAAAATGTTAGACTTGAGGCTATAGTCCAAATCATACTGCCATACTGTATCTATCAGTGGTTAAATTTGATCAATTAATTGGCTCTACTGTTAATACTGATGCATGATTTTTATTTAAAGCTGCTGTTCTCTTGTGCCTTTTGTACCATTCTTTATAAAACGTAAGAAATATTTGACTGTTACATTACGTTGTGACTTACTAGTTCCCTGTGTGTGGGCAGTAACCGCTTCAACACTCAGACCTCCACCTGGCTTCTTTTCCAGCTCCTCACCCTCCATTAACTTCAACTCCTCAGCTCTCTTACGAGCAGCTTCCTGACACATTTCACGGGCGCGCATGCCTGACTTTGTTCCCGTCGAGATAGCATCCAGGACAACCTGGTCTATCGTCAGTATTGCAGCCTCATACTTTCTAGCGAGTGCCACAGCCGTTACGGTTTTGCCTATAACAGATTGTATGACTGATACAACAGATATCCTCACTCAAATATCTATCCATGTCATCTCTTTTGAAAATATATAATAACATCTCATCTGACTACAAGTGAAATTTGTTTTTAGATCTAAAGCATTTGGAGTAAGGAAAATGGTGTCCTCCCTACCAGACATGGGTGCGCCATGGACAATCACTGCTATTCCTCTTCGATTACGTGCCGCTGTTCCTTCGGGTGTCAAATCTATTCCAAGATGTCGGGCAATGGCGGCTGACACTGGTGTGATCTCAAGTTCACCGACTCCAAGGGCACTAGTGGACCGTGCTAACAAAACAATCATGTACCAATTAACCTCACAAATTCGTTAAAAATTTGAATCCGAAACAAATGGCTTCAAAGGTCAAAGGTTATTTTGGTTGTACCAGTTGTCAAGGTTTTTTCTGTGAAAACAGGATTCATTTTCATAGGAGACAAAAACTGGTCTGGGTTTTCTTAATGTCAAGAACTGGTTTGTTTCTCTTATTTATTCAATCTTAATTCAAAGGTATCTGACTTTTACAATTCCTCAAAAACTGTAATAAGTCTATCCTGTCAAAAAAAGGGACAAATCTACCCCGTCAAAAATTGTGATAAATCTAACCCATCAAAAACCAGTGACAGATCTAACAAATCAAGATTTGAGACAGATCTCTCCCTTCAAAAATAGTGATAGATCTCTCCCTTCAAAAATAGTGATAGATCTAACCCTTCAAAAATAGTGATAGATCTAACCCCTCAAAAATAGTGATAGATCTCTCCCTTCAAAAATAGTGATAGATCTCTCCCTTCAAAAATAGTGATAGATCTCTCCCTTCAAAAATAGTGATAGATCTCTCCCTTCAAAAATAGTGATAGATCTCTCCCTTCAAAAATAGTGATAGATCTAACCCCTCAAAAATAGTGATAGATCTCTCCCTTCAAAAATAGTGATAGATCTCTCCCTTCAAAAATAGTGATAGATCTCTCCCTTCAAAAATAGTGATAGATCTCTCCCTTCAAAAATAGTGATAGATCTCTCCCTTCAAAAATAGTGATAGATCTCTCCCTTCAAAAATAGTGATAGATCTCTCCCTTCAAAAATAGTGATAGATCTAACCCCTCAAAAAACCAGGCAATGTCATCAGTGTTTGAATTTAGGCTTTATGTTTCGTGGTATGAAAGTATTGTATCTTTATTAAATTTGTAGATTCGTTTTGGCTTAAGATCAAGACCTGGATCCCATGATACATTGCTATTTCTTTGACATCTAATAGAAATGTTTGTTTTACATTTATTTTTCTTGTGAAGGGGATAAAATTTCTTTAAGAAAAACATTCATCAACATTTATTGTGATGAAAACATAATTTGATTTGGATTAAGGGAGACAACTACGTAACTTAAAAAATAAATCTTGAAAACATTCAGTATCTGGTTGGTGACTTTGAAAATAAAGCATTTTTTAATATAAGCTGGTTTCAAAATTAAGCTGAGAAATCATCTCTGAAAAAGGATATAAGACAAGAATGAAGCCAGACAGAGTCTAATCTGTTAACAGTAAAACTGGGTAATGCTGTATACAACCAACCTTCACTTTCTTCCTCCTTCTTCAGTCTGTCCTCAATGTCAATAGGCTCGACAATGGAGGGTGGTCGTGAGCCAGCAGCAGTACCTACAGCTCCATCAGTCTTAATCTCAGACTCTTCGCCTCGCCCATCACCATCTCCACTCTCTCCTGCTGTCAAAATAGAAATTTGAAAACAAAAGTTTCATAGGGTCTGTATTGCTCACCTGGTTTGATTTGGTCAAAGCTGCTTAATCCAATAATGGAGGATAAGAATTTTAAAGGTTTACCCAAATATTTCTTATTGGATCCCACACATATGTCCCAAGGGGCTCAGACCCTTGGTTTATAATAAATAGAATCATCTCCAACCCATGATTCTTCAGAACGAATTCAGTCAAAAAACCTTCATCCCTACAGAAAAGATAATTTTTAAATAATGGGGGTAAATCTGACTCTCTATACAACATTGATGATGCTTCACCCAAGATGCTTCAGACCAAATTGATGCAGAATCCAGATATTCATACAAAAGTAGGATTTTTCAGAATTTAAAATATTTTCCCTATTGGGCCCCACTCCTCACATCTCAGGTGGCTGAGACCAACTATCTGTTTACTTCACAGATATAATAATAACAATTCTGACAATACAAAGCCAACCTACCATCTTTTTCTACCTCTAGACGTGCAGCCTCTGCTGCTGACTCCTCTGCCTCCCTCCTGATGCGTTCCAGTTCCTCCAACTTCTTCATTTGCTCTATAAGACAAAGCAATGCCAAATCTATCCCAGACAAAGCGCAGACCAGTACATTAACAAATCTACCTGTTCAAATAGTGGATTTATTTTGTTTTGATGATAATCTGTAGATCCCTTTTACCAATCAATGTCTAGATATCATGTTTTTAATTGTATTTAGAGACAGGTGAACCAAAAAACTTCAATTAGCTACATTTTTAACATTTATTGCCTAAAGGCTAATCTCAGAAGGGATCTGGTGATTATTCAGCTGTATCACCCATCATACCATCATAATATTCAGTGAGTTCAGGAGGCAGTTTTTCTGAGGGTCCACGGGGTGGAAGTAAGATGGTATTCATTTCATCGTATCCCTTCATGAGGCGCAGTATCTGTGTGAAACAACAGCAACACTCAAAAGTTTCGCAAGTTGTTGTAATTAAAAGCTTTAATTAAGTTATAAAAAAGTTGATACAGATGATGAACAGGACATTTTGATGTATACAATTAACAATGTTGACTTCAGTACATTGTATTTAGAGAAATAGACAATGTTGTCTGAAGTATTGTATTTAGAGAAATAGACAATGTTGTCTGAAGTATTGTATTTAGAGAAATAGACTATGTTGTCTGAAGTATTGTATTTAGAGAAATAGACTATGTTGTCTGAAGTATTGTATTTAGAGAAATAGACAATGTTGTCTGGAGTATTGTATTTAGAGAAATAGACAATGTTGTCTGAAGTATTGTATTTAGAGAAATAGACTATGTTGTCTGAAGTATTGTATTTAGAGAAATAGACTATGTTGTCTGAAGTATTGTATTTAGAGAAATAGACTATGTTGTCTAAAGTACATTGTATTTAGAGAAATAGACTATGTTGTCTGAAGTATTGTATTTAGAGAAATAGACTATGTTGTCTGAAGTATTGTATTTAGAGAAATAGACTATGTTGTCTGGAGTATTGTATTTAGAGAAATAGACAATGTTGTCTGGAGTATTGTATTTAGAGAAATAGACTATGTTGTCTGAAGTATTGTATTTAGAGAAATAGACTATGTTGTCTGGAGTATTGTTTTCAGAGAAATAGAGTATGTTGTCTAAAGTACATTGTATTTAGAGAAACAGACTATGTTGACAGAAGGGACATGCCTTACTATCATTTGTAATGTATATCAAAACAGGAAACCTTCTAAACATTTGAAATGCAGACAAATTATAGGTAAGCTAACTACTTTATCAAACCTCCAGAACATCAAAAAATAAAATGTAGATTATTCATGATAAGATATATATATATATAGTTACTTACCTTTTCTTCTTCCAGATAATTAGAATCAAACTCTAAGTTGTAGAATTCTATTGGGAAACTACAAGGATTTCTGATAATGATGTCTTGTTCATCGCCTGTACTGTGGGGGAGAATTGGACCAAACTCCACCATGTTTCTGTCAAAGTCTAGGTGAGGCTCACGACCCTGGCCACGGCAGAGCAGCAGAATACGTTGGCTACTCTGGGCAATCCTAATGAGGATACGCTGCTCATAATATTTCTGAAACAAAAGTGAAGTGTAGGTACTAGATTCTCAACATCACAGCCCAATAAATACTTGTTACAGCATTACATGGTGTCATGTTCTTGTGTTCTGTTTATATTTCATGTACAAAAATAACATTTACACAAACAGTTCACATACAACCAACAGAAGGACATTTACACAAACAGTTCACATACAACCAACAGAAGGACATTTACACAAACAGTTCACATACAACCAACAGAAGGACATTTACACAAACAGTTCACATACAACCAACAGAAGGACATTTACACAAACTCAGTTCACATACAACCAACAGAAGGACATTTACACAAACTCAGTTCACATACAACCAACAGAAGGACATTTACACAAACTCAGTTCACATACAACCAACAGAAGGACATTTACACAAACCCAGTTCACGTATAAAAAATAATAAGACATTTTCTTTAACAAATTCAATTCACATAATAAAAGCTGCATTATGACAGACAAATTTAGTTTACATAAAAATGTCTTTGTACCTCTTCAGTGGGCATAAACTTCACTTGAACATTTTGTCGTTGACCAGGTACAAGAGTACCTGTTGCTGGCATGATCTCAAAATGGCGTGGCTTCTGCTTTTCTTGTTTCATCTTACGTCGTAAGTGCATCGGGACATGTTTGTCAATCTGTTCAACATGAAACAACAAAACATTAATGCTATGAAGAAACAAAATATTTCTATGAAATTTGTTGTTGACAAAAGAAGTTTGCATGTTCAGGCTTTTCTGCAGCCAATTGGTAATTAGATAAATATTTCTAGAGAAAGACACTTTATATCATACTGACATTGGGTAACCTTATGATAGTACTAATATCGCTGTAGTATAATTTAGGTACACTAACCTTTTTACTGTCTTTGTCAGCAGGCAGTGAGTTCCACTCACACTTCACTTGTTGGTGATTATGAAGCTGTATAGTGATCACTTTACATTCACCACACTTCGTTTCATTAAATTCTAACGTATCATCAGAGATCTCCATGTCCGGCATTGTCACCTTGGCCCGCAATCGAATTTGAATCACTGGTCCATTGATGATCTGGAAAAGGAAAGACATGTCAGCTCACAATTTACAAGTACAGCTATACTGATGTGTGAGGTTTATCTATACTGATGTGTGAGGTTTATCTATACTGATGTGTGAGGTTTATCTATACTGATGTGTAAGGTTTATCTATATTGATGTGTAAGGTTTATCTATACTGATGTGTGAGGTTTATCTATACTGATGTGTGAGGTTTATCTATACTGATGTGTGAGGTTTATCTATACTGATGTGTGAGGTTTATCTATACTGATGTGTAAGGTTTATCTATATTGATGTGTAAGGTTTATCTATACTGATTTGTAAGGTTTATCTATACTGATGTGTGAGGTTTATCTATACTGATGTGTGAGATTTATCTATACTGATGTGTGATATTTATCTATACTGATGTGTGATGTTTATCTATACTGATGTTTATCAATGAGGTTACAGGTTGATAAGAGTTATACTAACATTGATGGGAACAACAGTTTCCACAGATCCTTCTGACAGATTGGCGCCTCTGGGATCAAAGCTGACAACAAAGTCAACTGTTTCATGATCAGGTGATCCTGGCAGATTCCTGACCCGGTCCAACTCTACATGGAATCCAAAATGATGAATATCCTCTCGCTCCACCTGGAAGGAAGTGGGGAACCAGCCGGTGTTTGTTGCCCGTACGATGTGAGTCCTGACTGTTCCTAACACCACATAGCCAAAATCTAACAGGTACTCTGGCAACTTAGGTCTGAAACATAAAACAGTATAATATTTATCATATGTGTAGTATAAAGTCTTCTTCTGTTATCATGATAAGCAGCAGTAATAGAGATAATGCCTAAGAATTATATGGATCTTGTGTACAAGTCTCAGGAAAATTTGTCTGATGTTGTAGGGATTCAATATCAGTCAACTGTTGTCACAGAATAAAACCATGGTTAATAAATTAACCAAATAACTTTTTGCTGAAATTTGAAATAGAATACATATTTCATATTCAATTAAACATAAAGGGCATGTTTTTTTTAAAACTGTCACTACATCATTACTCAAACTTTTTCAGAGACCTGCCGATCAAAGTATCCAGTGTTTGATAATATACCCATAAATACCGGTACACTAAACGTATTTAAAATTCAACAGAAGGACTGAAGATAGAGATTGTCCACTTTGTGGAGAGATAGGGACAAATCTAAAATATCCTCCCTCCAGTTATGATCCCCATATCATACTCATAATGGATATCTGATTCTATTGACTGAAAAACTTCCTTCCACAAACAGATTTTTGTACAACACCCAACTGCTTCCTTCATTGTTGTTTTGGTAGAAGAAAGTTCATTTGTATTTGCTTTTGAAATAACTTACTTGACTTTTTTACGCTTTGGCCTTCCTTCAGTGTCTGTAGACTCCCGAGTCTCATTGCTGTCCGGCGGGGTGGTGTCCTGACCGGCATTCATTCGAGCCGTTTGGATTTGCTGCATGTCCAAGGCAAACTCTTTGACTGTCAGCCTTTCAAACTCCATCTGCACATCCAGCTCTGGTGGCTGAGTGGGGATGTCCTGTTCCAATAGAATTCACATATAGCTTTAACAAATGAAATTAGAAAATGATCCATCCAGTACTTCTCACGAACTTTCAATAACAAATTTTCATTGTCAGAATCCAAGGTGGCCACCTGTTAGCCATTTTGTTTTTCTGATCAATCCCAAAATCTAAAGGGCACAAAAAGGAAACCTATGTTCAAACTTTGAGAAAGACCCATCAGTACTTCTTCAGAAATAGCAAAACCAAACTTTCGATGTAAAAACTCAAGATGGCCACCTACCATCCATTATGATCTAAAGGGCACAATTAGGATGAAATTTGAGAAAGAATAATTTTGTACTTTTACAGAAATCGCAAAGTTTTCATTGTCCAAATTCATGATGGCCACTTGTCAGCAATTTTCTGATTAATCTCAAAATTTAAAGAACACAGCGAGGGACTTTCCTGAAGCTAAAAATGACATACAAGATACATTGAATACTTTTAACAGCAATAATAAAATTTGTTTACAGATGGACAGAAAAGGACAATATGATGATGGTAGGCTAAAAAATAAACAAGATTTGCAATGTGTCATAGAGATCCCCGGTCACTCTATGTGTTATAGAGATCCCCAGTCACTCTATGTGTTACAGAGATCCCTAGTCACTCTATGTGTTACAGAGATCCCCAGTCACTCTATGTGTTACAGAGATCCCTAGTCACTCTATGTGTTAAAGAGATCCCTAGTCACTCTATGTGTTATAGATATCCCTAGTCACTCTATGTGTTAAAGAGATCCCTAGTCACTCTATGTGTTACAGAGATCCCTAGTCACTCTATGTGTTAAAGAGATCCCTAGTCACTCTATGTGTTATAGAGATCCCTAGTCACTCTATGTGTTACAGAGATCCCCAGTCACTCTATGTGTTACAGAGATCCCTAGTCACTCTATGTGTTATAGAGATCCCCGGTCACTCTATGTGTTATAGAGATCCCTAGTCACTCTATGTGTTACAGAAATCCCCAGTCACTCTATGTGTTATAGAGATCCCCAGTCACTCTATGTGTTATAGAGATCCCCAGTCACTCTATGTGTTATAGAGATCCCTAGTCACTCTATGTGTTATAGAGATCCCCAGTCACTCTATGTGTTATAGAGATCCCTAGTCACTCTATGTGTTACAGAGATCCCTAGTCACTCTATGTGTTACAGAAATCCCCAGTCACTCTATGTGTTACAGAGATCCCCAGTCACTCTATGTGTTATAGAGATCCCCAGTCACTCTATGTGTTATAGAGATCCCTAGTCACTCTATGTGTTACAGAGATCCCCAGTCACTCTATGTGTTACAGAGATCCCTAGTCACTCTATGTGTTATAGAGATCCCTAGTCACTCTATGTGTTACAGAAATCCCCAGTCACTCTATGTGTTATAGAGATCCCCAGTCACTCTATGTGTTACAGAGATCCCTAGTCACTCTATGTGTTATAAAGATCCCTAGTCACTCTATGTGTTACAAAGATCCCCAGTCACTCTATGTGTTATAGAGATCCCTCGTCACTCTATGTGTTACAGAGATCCATAGTCACTCTATGTGTTACAGAGATCCCCAGTCACTCTATGTGTTACAGAGATCCCTAGTCACTCTATGTGTTATATGTGTTATAGAGATCCCTAGTCACTCTATGTGTTATATGTGTTATAGAGATCCCTAGTCACTCTATGTGTTGTAGAGATCCCTAGTCACTCTATGTGTTACAGAGATCCCCAGTCACTTTATGTGTTATAGAGATCCCCAGTCACTCTATGTGTTATAGAGATCCCCGGTCACTCTATATGTTATAGAGATCCCTAGTCACTCTATGTGTTACAAAGATCCCCAGTCACTCTATGTGTTATAGAGATCCCTAGTCACTCTATGTGTTATAGAGATCCCTAGTCACTCTATGTGTTATAGAGATCCCTAGTCACTCTATGTGATGTGGAGATCTCTAATCCTGTCAATGATTCCCTGACATCCTATCTAATGTGAAATTTGCTGTTTACCTGTGTCATAAGGGGATCCCCTGGTACTCTTTGTGAAGAGGGAAGACCACTCTGTGGGCGTTCTGTCGGTAGTTTTTGTCCTGCTTTGCCACTGTATAAATTCTCCTTAGCTTGGCGCACTGTTTCCTGGTAATGTCCCTCAGGGTCAACAGTACGTGGAAGATCCAGAGATATTCGTGGGAACACACCCTCTCCTTGGATACAAATCTTGTCTGGTTGGAAGTGTGCCACCTGGATGTGGAATGTTTTGGAGAAAACTTCTGGCACCCCTGGTAGATACTTGATGACCAGTTTCTGCTCTGACATTGGTTCAACAAAGCCCTGCAAGAAACAAACTCACTTTCAGGAATTTCCAAAGCAGACAAGCAAAATCTATCTTATTCTGGAGAAATCAGGCCTAAGTTGTAGGGGATAACAAAAACAGAATATAGTAATAGACAGTAATTACAGGTGTGCATTCCATATTCAGGTTCTGAGACTTTGACCTGAGATGAAGGTTCTGATTGTGACTTTGACCTGAGATGAAGGTTCTGATTGTGACTTTGACCTGAGATGAAGGTTCTGATTGTGACTTTGACCTGAGATGAAGGTTCTGATTGTGACTTTGACCTGAGATGAAGGTTCTGATTGTGACTTTGACCTGAGATGAAGGTTGTGATTGTGACTTTGACCTGAGATGAAGGTTGTGATTGTGACTTTGACCTGAGATGAAGGTTCTGATTGTGACTTTGACCTGAGATGAAGGTTCTGATTGTGACTTTGACCTGAGATGAAGGTTCTGATTGTGACTTTGACCTGAGATGAAGGTTCTGATTGTGACTTTGACCTGAGATGAAGGTTCTGATTGTGACTTTGACCTGAGATGAAGGTTCTGATTGTGACTTTGACCTGAGATGAAGGTTCTGATTGTGACTTTGACCTGAGATGAAGGTTCTGATTGTGACTTTGACCTGAGATGAAGGTTCTGATTGTGACTTTGACCTGAGATGAAGGTTCTGATTGTGACTTTGACCTGAGATGAAGGTTCTGATTGTGACTTTGACCTGAGATGAAGGTTCTGATTGTGACTTTGACCTGAGATGAAGGTTCTGATTGTGACTTTGACCTGAGATGAAGGTTCTGATTGTGACTTTGACCTGAGATGAAGGTTCTGATTGTGACTTTGACCTGAGATGAAGGTTCTGATTGTGACTTTGACCTGAGATGAAGGTTCTGATTGTGACTTTGACCTGAGATGAAGGATCTGATTGTGACTTTGACCTGAGATGAAGGTTCTGATTGTGACTTTGACCTGAGATGAAGGTTTTGATTGTGACTTTGACCCAAGATGAAGATTCTGATTGTGACTTTGACCTGAGATGAAGGTTCTGATTGTGACTTTGACCTGAGATGAAGATTTTGATTGTGACTTTGACCCGAGATGAAGATTCTGCTCCAATTTACCCAAGGTACTTACAGCATGAGGAACCATTATAGGAACGCCAGGAGCAGGTTTTTTAGCCAATGTTGGGTCCATCCCCATGGCACAAAAATCAAAACCAACTTTTCCACTGTTGCAAAGAGTTATTTCTGCTGAAGCCACATGGTCATACATCTGAAAATAGACACAAAGAAAAATAGATACTTTATATCTGAAAGTCAATAAGGCAACAGAATTACCATGTCTACATAGCCAATGTGTTGAGTTGATCGACAGACAGTAATGCAAGTGGTACCATATAAACATAATGCTAACAGTTGTATGCTAAAGTATTCTGTACAGTCTAAATCAATCTTACACATCCTACAGCCTTCCCTTCGACTGTTTTATACATCAGATTACAGAAAGCAATCAGTATATACAGTGTTCCAACATTTATTGACATACCTGCTTTCCGTAGTCAATCTCCTTGCAGTCTATTTTATAATCAACCAAGGAAGCCTCTCCTTTAAGGATAAGTTCATAAACAGGACCTCCTTCTACTTCACAAATTGCCTTTGTCTCCCCCCAGATATCTGCATGCCCGTAAAAGGTCATAGTCACTTGTTCTGTGTCTCCAGGCTGAAGTATACCGTACAGAGGCAGGATGTCAAACACCTCTTCAACTCCCACTGGGGTTTCATCTCGGTCATTCTCTAACAGGGCACTTAGTGCACGATTCGTCTGGAGAGGATCTTCATCAATGGCGATATCACGGAGGGAGGTCAAACTCAGACGTAGTCCATCCATTTGGTTTTTATCAATGCCTCCCTCTGGGGCCTCCTGCTGCTCTAGCTGGCCTTTTTCTGGTCTGTCATCATCACTATCAACAGCTTTCAGACTCTCGTCTTCCTGTGAGTGGAAGCTGGACTGGTGTTCCTCTGTGGCCTTGTTGTCAAATGAGCGGTCAGATTCTTGATCCTTCTGAAGATCCTCCGCATCACCATGAATACTGCTGCCTAGCAACACATCACTTTCCTACAAACAATTTATTTTGTTCATATGAAATAAAAAGCAACATGGTATTCATGGAGTATCAATAATCTATCAGATTTGTATATTTGGTAATTGTAAGTAATACAAACTTTTAAAGGGAATTTTACTGTTTTTTGTTTCTAATCTATTTTTAAATATCAAATCATTTCAAAGCAATGAAAATGAGAAAACTGGCATGCATTGTGAAGTGTTGATGTGTCTTGGTCTTGATACAAAGGGTTACTGGTGATAATAATACAAACTTTTGTGGGTTCTAGGTCGGCCTTTTCCTCCTCCTCTTCTTTGACCTCTTCTTCCTCCTCAAGCTGTGTCTGTGATGGCTCTTGTATAAGAACAGCAATCTCTGGATGGACCTCCGCAGCAGACTCTTCTGTCTCGTTAATCTGGAGCAACATCACCACAGGTTTGGGAGGGTGTCTGATGACTACATTTGGTTCCTTATCCACCAAAAATGACCATCGGTACTTCACTTCCATGGGACTGTTGTTGGTAATGTTGACGTACCGAGTTACCTCAGTATCATTCAAAATACACCCAAAGTCCACCACTGTCTTTTCAAAGTCAATGTTAGGAAAGTAAACCTCACCTCTCAGTGCTATATAGTCCTGAAAATTTACAAATACATCGGTTTCATTTATTCAAAATAGAAACAAAAAGGACAACTTTCAAATACCTAGTTTTACTGATAAATACCCAGTTTTACTGATAAATACCCAGTTTTACTGATAATACCCCCCCCACCCCACCTCCAGTATATACCATGTTGAGTGTCTACCACCTTAACTGGCATCCCTTACTTCACTGATATTGAACTTTTGTTTATTGCTTGATAGAAATAAATTGCCCATATTATTTCAAATGTGATAAATACCTTGACATGTTTTACTGATTTAAACAAATTACGCTTCAATATGTCATAACAAAAGGTCTACCAGTAAGATATATCAAATTTGACCTCAACCTCAATTTTGACCTTGAACCTATCGCCTGATGAACTTGACCTGTGGTCAGTTGACTGCTGATTTGATTTCAGACAAAACCACCTACCATGTCCTAACAAAATAGATGGCAGTTTGATATGTAAAATCTTATGCTGACTGTTGACCTTATGACCTTGATATACAGTAGGGCAACTTCTCATTTGAAGATGTGATATGTTTGCAGTATATTCCTATTTCTAAAGTAAAAATGACCTTTATCTTTGACTTTTGAACAAGAAAAGCAACTGAGAGCAAGTATTTGACAATCCGATGAAGAAAGTCCGAGTGTTATCAACAAAACAGAAGAGAAGATTTTTGGCATCAACTGATTTTCCATTTAAAGTACAATGTAAGTGACCTTGACCTTTAACCTCAGGACTCAAAAATCACTCCCACCCAAGCACTTCTTCTGAATATTGGCCCAACAGAACTTGAAATACTGTGTAAGAATAAAATCAATGAAAAGATAGATAAACACACAGACAGAAAAACAGACAACCAGATTAGTACATAACAAAACTTACTATGTGAGGATGTTCCTGGTAAGTGACATGTAGAATCTCATCAATAGTTCGTATGTGGAGATCATCTTTATAAGCTGGGTCAAACTGAATCTTGAGTGTGTACTCTTCATTGACATCAAGTCTAAGTTCCTGCGATACATAAAATATCATCAACTCATTAACTATAATAATTTAATCTGACGACAAAATTGACTCCTACAGGTAGGCAGATTGTATTTCACAAGGCTACCATCAATTAATTCACACATGAATCTATTCTCCACCATTTCCATTTAGATAGAGAGGTTTCTTTTTGCAGTAACTGAAGGTTTCAAAGATTTACCGTTTCAGAAGTCACTGAACCATCCTCTAGTATGATCTGAAAGGGATACTGTAACTTGAGACCAGTGGACAAAGGCAAGGTGGACACATTCCTCATATTGAGATCTCTCATCTGGAGTGATAATTCTTCCTCTGGCTTCTGTAAACATCACAACAAACACAACTATCTTCAGAATGGATGAAATAAACATTTGGAAAAAATAACACTGATCTGACAGTAAACCCATAATACAATATATAGTTTTACCCATGATACAATATATAGTTTTACCCATAATACAATATATAGTTTTACTATATATATATACAATATATATAGTTTTACCCATAATACAATATATAGTTATACATATAATACAATATATAGTTTTACCCATAATACAATATATAGTTATACCCATAATACAATATATAGTTTTACCCATAATACAATATATAGTTTTGTCTATAATACAATATATAGTACTACCCATAATATGATATATAGTACAATATATAATTATCATACAATATATCATACTACTTTGGTCAACATAATGGTTACCATATCATAAAAAGGGTACAGCTTATTTTACAGCCAGTATGTGGATCAAATTGTAAAAAATTGATAAAATTTGACTCAGCAGCCTATATATACAGGTGCGACTAACCATCCAGTATAACAGTATACAAGTTTGTGTTCAGTAGTTTGTAGGCACCTACAGTAGCTGTGATCCCTAATATGTAGACAGTCTCAATGTAGTGATTCCATTCCTATAAAGATGGTGCTTACCTTGTCCACTCTGAAGTAGACAGCTTTAGTTGAGAACTCTAACAATGGACTGATGAAGTCAGCTGATACATCCACTCTCATGATCAATTCCTTCCCACCTTGACGCCCAATAATGGCGTGACACAAGAGTCTTTCTTTCACATTCTGAGGACTGCAACATTAAAAATATAAAACTTTCAGTCAACAGCAATTCATGTTCAGTCCTCCTGAGCTATACCATTAGATAATAATTCATTAACACATTGATGTTCCTACATCAGTGAATGGTTGATATCATACAATTGTGACAATACTCCTGTCTCAATCATTCTGCCAGGCAAGAAAAGAAAATTAAAGTGTTGATACACTTGTCTAACGTAAGTGAATGTGGTTATACCTGTCCAGAGTGACAGTGTGAATACACCTGTCCAGAGTGACAGTGTGAATACACCTGTACAGAGTGACAGTGTGAATACACCTGTCCAGAGTGACAGTGTGAATACACCTGTACAGAGTGACAGTGTGAATACACCTGTCCAGAGTGACAGTGTGAATACACCTGTCCAGAGTGACAGTGTGAATACACCTGTCCAGAGTGACAGTGTGAATACACCTGTACAGAGTGACAGTGTGAATACACCTGTACAGAGTGACAGTGTGAATACACCTGTCCAGAGTGACAGTGTGAATACACCTGTCCAGAGTGACAGTGTGAATACACCTGTCCAGAGTGACAGTGTGAATACACCTGTCCAGAGTGACAGTGTGAATACACCTGTCCAGAGTGACAGTGTGAATACACCTGAGTGACAGTGTGAATACACCTCCAGAGTGACAGTGTGAATACACCTGTCCAGAGTAACAGTGTGAATACACCTGTCCATAGTAACAGTGTGAATACACCTGTCCATAGTAACAGTGTGAATACACCTGTCCATAGTGACAGTGTGAATACACCTGTACAGAGTGACAGTGTGAATACACCTGTCCAGAGTGACAGTGTGAATACACCTGTCCATAGTAACAGTGTGAATACACCTGTCCAGAGTGACAGTGTGAATACACCTGTCCAGAGTGACAGTGTGAATACACCTGTCCAGAGTGACAGTGTGAATACACCTGTACAGAGTGACAGTGTGTGAATACACCTGTACCAGAGTGACAGTGTGAATACACCTGTCCAGAGTCACAGTGTGAATACACCTGTCCAGAGTGACAGTGTGAATACACCTGTACAGAGTGACAGTGTGAATACACCTGTCCAGAGTGACAGTGTGAATACACCTGTCCAGAGTAACAGTGTGAATACACCTGTCCATAGTAACAGTGTGAATACACCTGTACAGAGTCACAGTGTGAATACACCTGTCCAGAGTGACAGTGTGAATACACCTGTCCAGAGTGACAGTGTGAATACACCTGTCCAGAGTGACAGTGTGAATACACCTGTCCAGAGTGACAGTGTGAATACACCTGTAAAGAGTGACAGTGTGAATACAGAGTGACAGTGTGAATACACCTGTCCAGAGTGACAGTGTGAGTCCAGACAGTGTGAATACACCTGTCCAGAGTGACAGTGTGAATACACCTGTCCAGAGTGACAGTGTGAATACACCTGTCCAGTGAGTGACAGTGTGAATACACCTGTCCAGAGTGACAGTGTGAATACACCTGTCCAGAGGAACAGTGTGAATACACCTGTCCAGAGTGACAGTGTGAATACACCTGTCCATAGTGACAGTGTGAATACACCAGTGTGAATACACCTGTCCAGAGTGACAGTGTGAATACACCTGTCCATAGTAACAGTGTGAATACACCTGTCCAGAGTGACAGTGTGAATACACCTGTCCATAGTGACAGTGTGAATACACCTGTCCAGAGTGACAGTGTGAATACACCTGTACAGAGTGTGTGAATACACCTGTCCAGAGTGTGTGAATACACCTGTCCAGAGTGACAGTGTGAATACACCTGTCCATAGTGACAGTGTGAATACACCTGTCCATAGTGACAGTGTGAATACACCTGTCCAGAGTGACAGTGTGAATACACCTGTCCAGAGTGACAGTGTGAATACACCTGTCCAGAGTGACAGTGTGAATACACCTGTCCATAGTAACAGTGTGAATACACCTGTCCATAGTGACAGTGTGAATACACCTGTACAGAGTGACAGTGTGAATACACCTGTCCATAGTAACAGTGTGAATACACCTGTCCAGAGTGACAGACACCTGTGTGACAGTGTGAATGAAGTGTGACACCTGTCCAGAGTGACAGTGTGAATACACCTGTGACAGTGTGAATACACCTGTCCAGAGTGACAGTGTGAATACACCTGTCCAGAGTGACAGTGTGAATACACCTGTACAGAGTGACAGTGTGAATACACCTGTCCAGAGTGACAGTGTGAATACACCTGTCCAGAGTGACAGTGTGAATACACCTGTCCAGAGTGACAGTGTGAATACACCTGTCCAGAGTGACAGTGTGAATACACCTGTACAGAGTGACAGTGTGAATACACCTGTCCAGAGTGACAGTGTGAATACACCTGTCCAGAGTGACAGTGTGAATACACCTGTCCAGAGTGACAGTGTGAATACACCTGTACAGAGTGACAGTGTGAATACACCTGTCCAGAGTGACAGTGTGTGAATACACCTGAATACAGTGTGAATACACCTGTCCAGAGTGACAGTGTGAATACACCTGTCCAGAGTGACAGTGTGAATACACCTGTCCAGAGTGACAGTGTGAATACACAGGTTCTTGGTACTTCCTAGATTAATGTGACGTGACCAGTACTGACCTGTCCACCATTCCCTCTATATGCATGTCCATACTGGCACCTGGTGGCAGGTCAAATCTGTTGGGGTTCAGCTTGAATATTGGCCGTCTAGGTTCTGGAGGTGGAGGGGTGTTCTGAAAACGATTTTTACACTTTTGTACCAAAAACTAGAGATAGCTCTAAATTACCAAAATATGTAACATACTAACTACCACAGACTTGTTAAGTCAGCAACAGTATCATTCAACTCATTTCAGATTTGTCCAAATTGTCTAAATATCATGTACAACTCCTACCATAATATAATACATATTACTATTACATACTATACATCCTAACATCACACACTTCACATCCTAACATCACACACCACACATCCTAACATCACACACTTCACATCCTAACATCACACACCACACATCCTAACATCACACACCACACATCCTAACATCACACACTACACGTCCTAATATTTCCTACCACACATCCTTACAATATCATAACCCCAATATTTCCAGAAAATCACACAATTATTTACTTGTAGACATACCTTAAACTTCATGTCCAAAGCATTGTATGAAGCCATTTCTTTTTTAGCCTTGGCAATAGGACCAAATCCATCCATACTCCAGACCAGCTGTTGGTGACGACGGCTCTTATTAGTCAATGTGAAAGTCTTCTGGAGGGGACGGTTACTGTTAAAACAAACAACACTTATACAATGTTTATCACAGAACTGACACATCACTCAATGTACACAACTGTTATATTTTTGTGTAATTTACCAGCTTAAACACTCATGTTTTATTTTTTGCGTATTTTAGCAGTAAAATATGATCTATTGTAACATCAGTAGATGAAATAACATTACACACTTACAGAATACATTATAATGTTGTGTTAAAGACCATCGCTGAATGATAACGTTTTGAAGATTTGAATCATGTTTAACAAGGATATTAATCTTGTTTTCATTTCATTTGCAATTTACAAAAATTGTCCAAAACCTTTCATTTTAGATGACCTGAGACATGCTTAACAGAAAAATGCAGAAGCAATCCTATATGAGAGTTAAATTTGTGTAAGGACCTATATCTTACTACATCAGTGGCAACATCATGTATAAACCCATGTACAAGGTACCAGAGCTTTGTCTATGACAAGCTTACCTGAGATTTGTCATTGACAAGTTTACCTTAAATTTGTCACTGACAAGCTTACCCGAGATTTGTCATTGACAAGCTTACCTGAGATTTGTCATTGACAAGTTTACCTTAAATTTGTCACTGACAAGCTTACCCGAGATTTGTCATTGACAAGCTTACCTGAGATTTGTCATTGACAAGTTTACCTTAAATTTGTCACTGACAAGCTTACCCGAGATTTGTCATTGACAAGCTTATCTGAGATTTGTCACTGACAAGTTTACCTGAGATTTGTCTGAGATTTGTCATTGACAAGTTTACCTTAAATTTGTCACTGACAAGCTTACCCGAGATTTGTCATTGACAAGTTTACCTGAGATTTGTCATTGACAAGCTTACCTGAGATTTGTCATTGACAAGTTTACCTTAAATTTGTCACTGACAAGCTTACCCGAGATTTGTCATTGACAAGCTTACCTTAAATTTGTCACTGACAAGCTTACCCGAGATTTGTCATTGACAAGCTTATCTGAGATTTGTCACTGACAAGTTTACCTGAGATTTGTCTGAGATTTGTCACTGACAAGTTTACCCGAGATTTGTCATTGACAAGCTTATCCGAGATTTGTCACTGACAAGTTTACCTGAGATTTGTCATTGACAAGCTTACCTGAGATTTGTCATTGACAAGTTTACCTTAAATTTGTCACTGACAAGCTTACCCGAGATTTGTCATTGACAAGTTTACCTGAGATTTGTCATTGACAAGCTTACCTGAGATTTGTCATTGACAAGTTTACCTTAAATTTATCACTGACAAGCTTACCCGAGATTTGTCATTGACATGCTTATCTGAGATTTGTCACTGACAAGCTTACCCAAGATTTGTCATTGACAAGTTTACCTTAAATTTGTCACTGACAAGCTTATCTGAGATTTGTCATTGACAAGCTGATCTGAGATTTGTCTGAGATTTGTCACTGACAAGTTTACCTGAGATTTGTCATTGACAAGTTTACCTGAGATTTGTCATTGACAAGCTTATCTGAGATTTGTCACTGACAAGTTTACCTGAGATTTGTCATTGACAAGCTTACCCGAGATTTGTCAATGACAAGCTTACCTGAGATTTGTCATTGACAAGTTTACCTTAAATTTGTCACTGACAAGCTTACCCGAGATTTGTCATTGACAAGCTTATCTGAGATTTGTCACTGACAAGTTTACCTGAGATTTGTCTGAGATTTGTCACTGACAAGTTTACCCGAGATTTGTCATTGACAAGCTTATCCGAGATTTGTCACTGACAAGTTTACCTGAGATTTGTCATTGACAAGCTTACCTGAGATTTGTCATTGACAAGTTTACCTTAAATTTGTCACTGACAAGCTTACCCGAGATTTGTCATTGACAAGTTTACCTGAGATTTGTCATTGACAAGCTTACCCGAGATTTGTCATTGACATGCTTATCTGAGATTTGTCACTGACAAGCTTACCCAAGATTTGTCATTGACAAGTTTACCTTAAATTTGTCACTGACAAGCTTATCTGAGATTTGTCATTGACAAGCTGATCTGAGATTTGTCTGAGATTTGTCACTGACAAGTTTACCTGAGATTTGTCATTGACAAGTTTACCTGAGATTTGTCATTGACAAGCTTATCTGAGATTTGTCACTGACAAGTTTACCTGAGATTTGTCATTGACAAGCTTACCCGAGATTTGTCAATGACAAGCTTATCTGAGATTTGTCAATGACAAGCTTACCTGAGATTTGTCAATGACAAGCTTATCTGAGATTTGTCAATGACAAGCTTACCCGAGATTTGTCAATGACAAGCTTACCCGAGATTTGTCAATGACAAGCTTATCTGAGATTTGTCAATGACAAGCTTACCCGAGATTTGTCATTGACAAGTTTATCTGAGATTTGTCATTGACAAGCTTATCTGAGATTTGTCTGAGATTTGTCAATGACAAGTTTACCCGAGATTTGTCAATGACAAGTTTACCTGAGATTTGTCATTGACAAGTTTACCTGAGATTTGTTAATGACAAGCTTACCCGAGATTTGTCAATGACAAGCTTACCCGAGATTTGTCATTGACAAGCTTACCCGAGATTTGTCAATGACAAGCTTACCCGAGATTTGTCAATGACAAGCTTACCCGAGATTTGTCATTGACAAGCTTATCTGAGATTTGTCATTGACAAGCTTATCTGAGATTTGTCATTGACAAGCTTATCTGAGATTTGTCAATGACAAGCTTACCCGAGATTTGTCAATGACAAGCTTATCTGAGATTTGTCTGAGATTTGTCAATGACAAGTTTACCCGAGATTTGTCAATGACAAGTTTACCCAAGATTTGTCAATGCCAAGCTTATCTGAGATTTGTCAATGACAAGCTTACTTGAGATTTGTCAATGACAAGCTTATCTGAGATTTGTCAATGACAAGCTTACCCGAGATTTGTCAATGACAAGTTTACATGAGCTTACCTAAAGTTTGGTCCAAGGTTGAGGTGAGGAGTGAGTGGAGGGTCAGACACAATAGTAGTTCCTTGTCCATACGCAGTCAGGGGCAGGAATCGTACCTGACTTTCCAGAAAATTAACTTGCAACTTATCCTGGAACCTGTCAACAAAAACATTAATACTGAAATTAATGAATTAGTGGAGAAAGATATATTTTTGTGGCATGTAGAGAACGTAACCAACCTGAGCATTACTATCACATCTCACACAATCATTGTGGTGACTATAGATTTTATATACTTACCTCACACAATCACTATGGTGACTATAGATTTTATATACTTACCTCACACAATCATTGTGGTGTCTATAGATTTTATATACTTACCTCACACAATCATTGTGGTGTCTATAGATTTTATATACTTACCTCACACAATCACTATGGTGACTATAGATTTTATATACTTACCTCACACAATCATTGTGGTGACTATAGATTTTATATACTTACCTCACACAATCATTGTGGTGTCTATAGATTTTATATACTTACCTCACACAATCATTGTGGTGACTATAGATTTTATATACTTACCTCACACAATCACTGTTTTGTCTATAGATTTTATATACTTACCTCACACAATCATTGTGGTGACTATAGATTTTATATACTTACCTCACACAATCACTGTGGTGACTATAGATTTTATATACTTACCTCACACAATCATTGAGGTTAGCTGTAACTGTAAGCTGTAGTGTCTGTTCGGCAGGGATTTCTCCTTGTGCAGGTTCTACACGGAATACTGATTTGTGTCTAACCTGAAACAGAAACTTTACAAGTGTAACAGAGGTCATTTTTTATCTAAATGCCTCCGCTAGGAATCGAACCCGGGACCCCTGGCTTACTAGTCTGACGCTCAACCAATCGAGCTAAAGAGAAGTTCTCTCTAGCCGAGTGGTATATTGCGGCTAGTATTTTTACCAGGGTTACATACTTTCAGGAAAGAACTCCTCACAGCGATGCCGATGGGGCATGGCTAAGTACTAATCCCGGGTCCCTACATGGGCGCCAATGTAAGAGAGGTCATTATTCCTTTTAATGCCTCTGCTAGGAATCGAACCCGGGACCCCTGGCTTACTAGTCTGACGCTCAACCAATCGAGCTAAAGAGAAGTTCTCTCTAGCCGAGTGGTATATTGCGGCTAGTATTTTACCAGGGTTACACAAGTTTAAAGTCTACCACCCATCAGCAGGTGTTACTATGATGACAATGATATATAAAATGCAGGCTGGTCATAGTGATTCCTTTGGAATCTTTGACCCACAGACCTAACAAGCAATAACATGCTTCCTCTCCACACAATCTACCTCAGTACCAAATATGGCCATGTTTGCCAAATATGAACAGAATCACAGCAGCATATAATCATTGTAAATACAACCAAAAATTATCAATAAAACCAAATTTAGAACAATTTTTCTTGTATCTTGTCCACAGAGATTGGATATTAAAACAAAGTATGGTCCACCTTACCATGTGTGCTGTGAACTTTGCTGGAATAAGGGATTCGTTAGACAGGGTGACTTTCATGGGGACGTCGGTCAGTACTGGGATAACATTCCAATCAATATCCATAGGAAAGATATGTACCACAGGTCCCTCTCCTGTACAGCTCATTTGTACTGACTGAAAATATACATAGGGTTCAGCATACCTCAATATCTTGTGATATAGAATAATTGTACAGCCAATAACATGTACACATTGTAATACATTATAAAGTTTGTGTGGTTTTGTTTAAGTTTTTTTGCCATTTTCTACTTTCTGTTATTTTCAAATTTGAAATTATTGCAAATATTGAACTGGCAGATTTTCACAGCTAATTAAGATATTAAAATATTTGGGTCTTGACAACATGTAAAGCAATTATGTGGTATTCTGTTTGATTCAATAATTATTAAGTAGCAAATGTCCAACATAATGAGAAGCACTATTATAGTGAAACAATAGTATGAGATTGTCATTCACTATGCTACTGTGACTGTTTTAACTATGTGCTTGGGGGAGACATGTCTTAGTCAAGTGTCTATCAGACCAAGATAATAAAGAGAGAAACATAAATACAGCAAAATTTAAAGTTAAGTGTAGAGATGTTTTCAGTATGTTTTGTATAAACAAATAAAGAAAAGTGGTACACAGTACTGGCCAAACATTGCTACATCTTGTCCTTGTAAGTTGAAATCACATATTGGCCTCTGATATGGAATCTGAGAAAGATCCAGCATGTACTTCTCAAGAAACAATGATAATGAAGTAAAATACAACTCCCCACTCGACAAAAAAGAAAAAAAAATATGTCTCCATTCCTGTGTGTCTAAAGCATTAAATAATTCAAAAAAATATATTTACCAATGGTGGATCTGGACTTCCAAATATGTTGAAATAGGAGATAACCTGCTGTTCCTCCAACATCTCAGCTTGTATAATGATGGGTACCTCACAGAGTGAGTGTGGCTCCACAATTCCCTACAACGTAAATCATTATAAATCATGTTATATACAAATAACCCCCAGTAAATGATCACCAACAAAAAAATCCCTCAAAAAACTAATACCCAAGAAATAATCCCTACAACATAAACCCTATAAAATGATCACTGTAAATAATCCCTGTAAATAATCCCTGTAAATAATCCCTGTAAATAATCCCTATAAATAATCCCTGTAAATAATCCCTATAAATAATCCCTGTAAATAATCCATGTAAATAATCCCTATAAATAATCCCTGTAAATAATCCCTGTAAATAATCCCTGTAAATAATCCATGTAAATAATCCCTATAAATAATCCCTGTAAATAATCCCTATAAATAATCCCTGTAAATAATCCCTATAAATAATCCCTGTAAATAATCCCTGTAAATAATCCCTATAAATAATCCCTATAAATAATCCATGTAAATAATCCCTATAAATAATCCCTGTAAATAATTCCTGTAAATAATCCCTATAAATAATCCCTGTAAATAATCCCTATAAATAATCCCTGTAAATAATCCCTGTAAATAACCCATGTAAATAATCCCTATAAATAATCCCTATAAATAATCCCTGTAAATAATCCATGTTAATAATCCCTGTAAATAATCCCTGTAAATAATCCCTATAAATAATCCCTGTAAATAATCCCTGTAAATAATCCCTGTAAATAATCCCATGTAAATAATCCCTATAAATAATCCCTGTAAATAATCCCTATAAATAATCCCTATAAATAATCCATGTAAATAATCCCTATAAATAACCCATGTAAATAATCCCTATAAATAACCCATGTAAATAATCCCTATAAATAATCCCTGTAAATAATCCCTATAAATAATCCCTATAAATAATCCCTATAAATAATCTCTATAAATAATCCCTATAATCCCTATAAAATCCCTATGAAATAATCAGTATGAAATAATCCCAGACAATCTCTTTTCATCTATTATAGAGATTTCTTTTATATTACCTACAAAATAGATGGAAACATGAAATTTTACCTTAGGTTTAGGGCTTTTGTAAGTGATGGGCGTGTCACTGTGTACATGCTGTCCCATCAACTCATATTTGGCAGGTAGATCTGTGTCATTATGGAGCTTCACACTGTGTTCGTAGGAATGTCTCAGGAAACAACGACCATAGTCCAGCATTGGGCTCAGCACAGATATATTGGGCACGATACATCTGTTGATATAAACATCACTGTACATGATCTAACCAGCGCATCAATTCCTTATCCTGTTCTTGTTTATTTTATAAACTTTTTAAAGAGAAATTTTAAAGAATGCAAATGTTCATCACCTTTTGGTACATCATCCAGCTTCCCTTTAACACTACAGTCTAGAGTATCATGTATGTCAAAATCCATGCAGTTCAGAAGCAGTTGAATATATAAAAATTTGTAAATTGACAAAAGCCATTAAAATGACACACTAAAATCAAAGTTTATGATTGCAACAACCATCTGAATATAAAGACCTGTAAATGATAAACAGGAGTGGTATAAATTATTAAAACAATTCTCAATTTTGGCTATAAAGTAACAAAAAAACTCCTGATTTCAGTGTCCCAACATTCTAAAGTTTAAGTGAAAGGGCACTGGTAAATCTGATTATGTGTAATGTATATCTGACTGATCCTTAAAATAACAAAACAACTTGGCCCAGACCACTTCATTTCAGGGAAGTTTCAGCTGAATGTTACCAGAAGAATGCAATTTTAACATGTGAAAATTTGTTTTGTGAATGATATACAACCATTCCTTTAAACAAACTTGGTCTAAGCATCTCAGCAAACTACTGGCCAAATAGCTTGACCCATTGGGCTTCTTGTTACTGAGGAGAACACATTGAAAGAAAAAATTTGACACCAGATTTTTGCCAGACAAGACAGACACTGCACCATGGTATCAGTAAACAAAGATGAAAACAAAACTCACTGTCTAGAAACACAAATTTTTGTCAATAACAGGGACAAACTTTCAAAGCAATGGTAGAATTTTTACTTCATGCAAAATCAACGTTAGATGTTAACAAGCTTTAATGAGAATGTACTGACTAGCTGTTAGAAACAGTATTAGTAGCCATTTGTATGTTCCCTATATATCATAGTTGTATTTTAATCCTGCTGATCTGAAATGTCTACTTACTTAGCATGAATCGGCAGTGACAAGATCTCCTCTCCAACATTGTCTACATCCACAACCATAGTCATCTCATACTTCTTAATTGTGTTGGAAATGAAGTTGACGGTAACCTTGATCTCACTTTGTGGTTGAAGGGTGCCAGAGGCAGGGATGATCTCAAACTCCTTTGGAGGTCCCACACCTGGCCTTGGCAACTGAGTACCATTGTCAAGGTCACTTGTACAACAGATACTGTTAGTGCTGCCATCTGCTGGCACTCTAAGGTGGAAAGTCATGGGCACCAGGGAGGTGTTTTGTAGCATACATGTCTGGGTATTGAGGAATCCTGACAAAACATTTAAGAAAACATTATGAAGATAGCTCTTTATATCATTTAGGTACTGTAGAGCTTGTTTTATCAATAGTTCAAATATTTCTAGATTTTACTGAAAGCTTAAAACAAAAGAATGTATATTTGGTAGAAATCATGACAGAGTTAGGATTTTTTCTGTGACAAAGTAGGGTTTTTTTGTTTGACAGAGTAGGGGTATTTGTTTGACAGAGTAGGGTTTTTTTCCAATGACAAGGTAAGGTTATTTCTATGACAGTGTAGGGTTATTTCTATGATAGAGTCGGGTCTTTTGTTTGACAGAGTAGGGTTATTTGTTTGACAGAGTAGGGTTATTTGTTTGACAGCGTAGGGTTTTTGGTTTGACAGAGTAGGGTTTATCAATTAATTCTTTTTTACAGGACATTCATTTTTATGACAGAATGAAGGAACCATGGAAATGACAAATACCCTGTCAAAGTACAACCAAAAAAAAATTCTATTCAAAATGGATTTGTTACAGCCAGTTGTTGGGGAGAAAAGATTCATTCAACTTAGCAGGTTAAAATATCAAAATTTATAATGCCAGAAGGAAGAAATTTGTTTACATTTTCAAATCAATTCAATCATTTTGATGAAGCTTACCATATGATATAACACCAAACTTCAGCTTCGGGACATTGAACTGAAAGGTTGGTCCAATCACAGAACCACTGGAACACAAGCAAATCACAAATACAGTAATATATCATCTATTACCTTATATACTACTACCTAGTAACAGCCTATATTTATATATTTATACTTATTTTACATAATCTAGGCTGTTCATTAATATTTCTTGTTTAACAAAATACTGACATCAGCCAATTCAAATCTGAGAACAATCAAACTTTACTAATATCTAATGACCTCTATCTAAGAAGTCCTTTTTACTGTGGGAGGGGGGGGGGGGGGGGGTGGGTTAAATGATTGGTGTTATTTTGTACAAAAAATTTAAAAGGATTTACCTGAATTGGACCTCCAGTATCTCTGGCTGACCATCTATTTGGAACTGAAATGTTTCCTGGAAGTCTCCAAGGTATGGACTCGAGAAGGAGATATGGATAGCCTGATGGCCACCAGGCATCACAATACCTTCTGAAGGATTGAAGGTAAAACAGGGTCCAAAGATGCTGGAGTTTGGCATCACACTGTAGATAGCGTCTATATCACCTTTGTTTGCCAACACAACTTCGTAAGTGTGCTTAGAGCCAATGAAGATGTTGCCCATGTCTAAAGATTCAAACGAGAACTGAACACTAGGTCCAACACCATCACCACGAATCCTTAAGGGCAGTCGACTTTCCCTTCCAGTGACATCACAAAAGGCAGTACGTGTGTAGCTTTGGGCTTCTCTTGGCTTGAATATAACATTGACTTCAAAGCTTGAGTTTGGCCAAATGTCTCCTTCAACTGGTTCAACTTTAACCACATCATCGTTAAATAGCATGTTGTCTTTTTCCACCAACTGCAAACCAAATATCGTGATTACTAGACATTACAGTATTACACTACATATTAGTAAGGACTAATAGAATAACTTACTGAGAATTACTTGGTAGACATAATCATTGATAAGAAAATTACCCAATACTGATTCATGATTTAGAATGATAGATTTAATGAATTGTCATCCAAAAATGTTTGTGTGTATTAAACAAGAGGCCCAAAGTTCCTGTATCATTCACATGGATAATAAACAGAAGAATGCCAAAATAATAATCATATGATTTACAAACAAGGCTAGTTTAAATCAGAAATCATACATAGTGCTAATGTTTATATACAAATAATGTTTGCTTTTGAAACTCTGGTTCAAGAAAAAGCATTTGAATTTTAGATAATCTGGCCCCTGAGAAGGTTCAGGTCAAATTGGTAACAATCCATCCCAGTCCATATGAAATATGTCAATGTCATTTATATGGGGAAACCTTGTAGCATCCATCCCTTGTACCTACAGGCCAAGGTTCAGTAGTCTGGCTTGGTCTTCTGGTACTTGAGAAGAAGATTTTTTTTTAAATATTTCACTTAATTCACTTCTTAGACCTAAACAGGTCAAGGTCATTATATCAGTAAGTACTCTGTGCTCCAACCTAGGTACCCCCAGACCAAATTTCAGTACCAAGATGCTTAGAAGAAGTTGATGGGCAGATGTTAGGACAGTTATTGGACAGTAGACAACGGACCATTCCCCACACCATAAGCTAGAGCGATTGAGTATAAACAAAATACTAATTTTTTCGCACCATTCTCCTATTCTGAAAAGTCCTTCCAAGTATGGAAAGTTTGTCACGAAGAGTTGGGTCCTGGACACACTCCTGGAGAAATTTCTCTGTATCCGACTGCTCTTCTAATGTCAATGTGCTCGTCAACCTGTCATCATAAAAACAAGTTACTGAATGGTGGTACTGCAGAGTACAACAAATTTATACAGCTTTCTTACAAGAATGAACCTTCTCTGAATCAACCAATAGTATAACACAGTACGTATCACAACCAAACAACACAGCTCCACATCTGAAATTGTTAAATATTGATAGTTGTGAGTAACATTAGTCAAACAATGACAATTACCAAAGATGGCGGCACTTTTAACAGGAAGAATGCTCACAAATTACCCCTTAGATACTCTTGATTAACTGATATTTTGCGAGGAGATTTACTTTTGTAAGTATAAAGTAATGTAACATTTTCCAACCTTTGCTTCTGCTGGTCTTCCTCTTCCTGTGTAGCAAACTGTGTCCAGCGGAAGTGAGAGATCACATCTGTCCTGTTGTGTATAGTCACGGTTCTCTCATTGGCCATGGATATGAAAGTGTTTTCAATCCTAAGCGAGTTTTTATCCAATCGCACATTTCCATCCTGGGCTTGCCCATGAAGAGCTATCAATACATCTTCCCCTGGAATTTTTTATCAATTGAATTTTAAAAGTGTGTTTACTTTACAGTAGTGAATCATCTAACAAATAAGAGACGTTTGTACATGACATTTGAGATTTTTACCCATAAACGACACTTGTACATGACATTTGAGATTTTTACCCATAAGAGACAATTGTACATGACATTTGAGATATTTACCCATAAACGACACTTGTACATGACCTTTGAGATTTTTACCCATAAGAGACAATTGTACATGACATTTGAGATATTTACCCATAAAAGACACTTGTACATGACATTTGAGATATTTACCCATAAACGACACTTGTACATGACATTTGAGATTTTTACCCATAAGAGACAATTGTACATGACATTTGAGATTTTTACCCATAAACAACACTTGTACATGACATTTGAGATATTTACCCATAAACAACACTTGTACATGACATTTGAGATATTTACCCATAAGAGACAATTGTACATGACATTTACATGACATTTACCCATAAACAATTGTACACATTGTACATGACACTTGTAGATTTTTTTTACCCATAAGAGACAATTGTACATGACCTTTGAGATATTTACCCTTAAGAGACACTTGTACATGACCTTTGAGACATTTACCCATAAGAGACACTTGTACATGACCTTTGAGATATTTACCCATAAGAGACACTTGTACATGACCTTTGAGGTGTTTACTACATAAAGACACATTTATATGGCTTTTGAGACGTTATTCAGTAAGAGACAAGCATTAAGACCTTTGACATGTTTACAACTAAGAGACATGTACATGAACCTTGAGTTGCTTACCACTAAGAGACATACATATGACCACTGAGATGTTTACCAACTTGGAGACATACAAATTAACTTTGAAAAGTTTATCAGTAACAGACATACATGACCTGAGATTTTTACCACTAAGAGACATACTATGAAAGAGACATCTAGAATTAATCACCTGTATGGTAATGTAGGTTGAGATCTTTGATGTGGTCACCTGTCTTTTTGGGGTTAAACTCCACTGTCACTTGCATGCTGTCCTGCACTGGAAGTGTACCTATCTCTGGGCTAACTGCAAATGGTCTGCAAAAAGATTCACTCAAAAATGAACATGCCCTCCTATACTGATTAAACAACAGATACACAATTAAATATTCTGCAATTCCAAGACTTCTTGTCTATAAACGATTAAATCTTCATGGAGACCTCTGAAAGAAGTAAGTGAGGAAAACTTCAGTAGAAATAATCAACAAGGGACGACTTAAATCTCTATAAACAGACAACAAAGAACAACTTAGATGTCTGTTAAGATAAAAGGGACAACTTACTTGTCTACGGAGAGAGTAAATTTGGCTTCTTTATTTCCGATGTTTCGTATCAGAAGTGTCCTGCTCATTGTATTTTTGACTGGTCCTGCAGGAAATACAATGTTATCTGGGAAGTCTAGTATAGCTCGTGATCCAATCGCCTTGACAGGAACAATGAACTTTTCACGTTCAGTAATACAGACCAACTCATGGTTGTAGTCCTGTGAACAGTAAATGATTTATTATACATAAGATGTAACTATATATCATCCACACTAAGCACAAAGTGAACAGAGATACTTATAGATAAACAATTCACTCCCTGGTTTTTTTTTCATTTTTAACTCAACCAGTTTTAGAGTTCATCAGATAAATTGTACACAAGCTTTTGGTCACTATGACCTTTAACCTTGACTGAATGGTAGGATACCCTGACCCCTTTCTCTATACTGATACCATGACTTCATTTTCCATACTCTAATTTGATTAATTTTAAAAAGAATTACTTCACTACAAATTATCTGTAAGACTTTAATGTTCCTACTCCTATGCATTCATGTATCATTGGTGAATTTGCAGAAGCTGTCATATGTGACCTTTGACCTTCATACTCTAAACCTTGATAAGACAAGGCTTTGGAATGGGACATGACATAAAACGACAGGATGGGAGAGAATTGGGACAGAATTGATGGACACTAGCCCAACACCGTTGAGCAGTCACTAGGTACTGGCTAAAGGTCAGTGTATTTTTCTCCCGAGAACTCTGTCTTTCCTCCACCACCCAAACCTGGCATTTAAGTTTCAAAAAAGCTTACCTTTTTCTCATCAGGTGTGAATTGTACTTTGAAGGTTGTGGGGAGTCCTGGTCCAACTTTGTGTCCCACATCATGTGGACTGATGACCTTGAAGTAGGGTGAATCAGCCTGTGTGACCTTGACCAGGCGAGGAACCTGAAGCAGTCATCATTTTATGTGTACAAGTCGACAAATATACAAAATTTAATACTTGAATGTTTTTATAACATTACTTATAAAACTCACTAATCAAAGAACAGTATTAACTTGTATCAACAGTCACCTCCATCCAGCACAACAACTGTTTAACGAAATGAAACAACCATGTCAACACATACTAGGCCTTTCTCAGCTTCCTGAGAAGCACAAACTGACACAAGCTGAGAAATCACACACACTGAATCTTCACTTAGGGTTAGATATGTCATCTTAATGCCATTGTTGACTACAGCCGAAAGCTTTGTCTATCAAACATCTCAAATGAAACTTGACCTGGATACCGAGATAGAGTGACGATCCCTACCTTATCATTGTTTCTCAAAATCAGTGGCACTTCATACACATCAAAGGGCTTGAAGTTCTGAAAAAATATTTCTGATGGGTAAGGCTGGAACATCGGTTCATCAATGTTGACTTGTGAGAACTGTAAAGAAAAATGATAACATTTAATCAATTTTGGTTTAATAACTATAAATGATTTTTAACACAAGGTCAAAACTTACAAAAAATCAGGTTAGTTTTTAATCATCATAATAGTGCAAATATGACAGACTCATTTTTCCTTATCAACAAAACACCTTATATATCATTAACAATGATGTCCATATGTATGACACGATTGTACATCAATACATGTATCGATATAAATATTTGACCAAGTCTATAAATAGTAACCCTGACTTTGGAATTTCTACCTCAAGTGTAAAATGCATTCAGAAAACAGCACTAATTTTACTCTATAAAAGTCATTATTGCACTAATTTGCTGGAAAGTAATATCGCTGTAAATTCTGATAGCACCAATACTAGTACAAGTATGTTTACACAATGTGATACATGCTGGGTGAGATACAAAGTGTTATATGATTATATAGTACAAGTCCAACATAACCTGAAACTCAGGAATATGAATCAACAACATCAAATACTGGAGGGGCATTAACTACCTTATAACTGAGAGTAGGGCCTTAACTTCCTTATAACTGAGAGTAGGGCATTAACTACCTTATAACTGATGGTGGGGTCTTAACTACCATATAACTAATGGTGGGGTCTTAACTACCTTATAACTGATGGTGGGGTCTTAACTACCATATAACTGATGGTGGAGTCTTAACTACCTTATAACTGATAGTAGGGCATTAATGACCTTACAACTGATAGTAGGGCCTTAACCATCTTATAACTAATGGTGGGGTCTTAACTACCTTATAACTAATGGTGAGGTCTTAACTACTTTGTAACTGATGGTGGGGTCTTAACTACCTTGTAACTGATGGTGGGGTCTTAACTATATACCCTCATCTTTTTCTAGTGATCTTAATCCTCAGAGGAGTTAGTCTATTGAGGGGTTCATGATCAAATATTAAATATATGATCTAAGATTAACAGTGACCTCTGTCCTTTAAACTTGACCAATGACCACCAAAACCTTATCAGGTGTAGACTTTGGTGTTGTGATGCTATGGTATGAATCTGAACTAAATTTGCTGATGGGTCCATGAGATTTTTTGTGCACAATATTATTGGAGATGCACACACCATGCGCATGCAGACAAAGTGATTACTATATATTTAACCTAATTGTGGGGTGTAATTGAAAGAGGCTTTGGGGCCCTAGGACCATGCTGGACTCATGATAAGTTAAACCTTCAAAATTTCGCTTTGGTTGACTTAGATTTACTGTCTAGATGTCACTCTGTGGACCCTGACAGGTAGTTACGTCCTAATACACAGCATAATCAAAACTTCTATCTTCATCATTTCATTGTCAACATCAGTTCAAATATTGGCTTGGCCAGACATTTTCACAGTTTTTTCTGAAGTCTGGTCTGGCTATCTAGTAGGGAAGTGATCATGCTTTACAACATTATGTGTCAGACAACTTATTTATCATTACCCGAAATTGTTTGGTAGATTCCTCATCCTGTAAATGAATTTTTTTAGAAAAAAAATCACAAAAAATTGAGCAACAAGTCAGTATCACTGTTACCACTAATATGTACCAAGGTAATTCCATCAAAATGCTAGGGGTGTAAAAACTGACTTGTTTGCATTCTGGGGCTGCCACATTTAATGTCTACCAAAAAGCTGTCAAAAATCATGGCTGAGTTTTAACAGTAAAGGACCTTCAAATCAAATTTATTGTATATCTATCACATTTATCAATATACAGGTGATATTCTAAATTATGTTTAGAAAATTCAATTCTTTTACCTAAACTTTGAGTGACAGACTTTGATCAACAATAATTATAGCACAATTTGAGTAGGCTATTATAACATATGTCAGGGTGTGAGTTGTCGACACAGATTACATTTCTACTGAGGTATGCAACTTTACAATTCTGTATTGTATCAATAATACAGTTATATTTTGTATATATACTTAACCTCAGCAGTGGCTTCTGAATTACATATTTGTTAGTAGCAGGTTTTTTATAAAAAAAAAAAAATACTTTAGTACAATGAAACATGTGAAGTAAGCAGAATGCTGCACCTACCCTTTGTAAGCTGGTGTCAGCCATATCCAACAAATCTATTTTCCTTGGTATTTTCATGTAGTGTGTATTGGCCAGCTTCTGCTCTGTATCCATTTGCATGTCAAACAGAAACTTGCTCGGGGTCATCTGTAAAACAGTAACAAATCCTATGACTTTCAGCTTATTTAACGGAACTGTACAAGTCTGATAAAATTCTACATGGGTCTGCTCTGTGAACATGTGAGAGCTAAGACATTGTACATAAAATGATGATGCAAACTTTCGTTGAGTAGTGTCATACATGTGCCAGCTGTCTTCTGCCTACCCTGTGTGAAGTAGAGTAATCTTTTCTCTAGTAATAACAGTAATGAAGTAATGTATCTGTCAACAATCTAGGGGTTACAAACACCCTTTGAATATGTTATGTCTCTATGTGTAACACCTTGTGGACAAGATGAAAAGATCAGGTTGGTCATTTGATGCATAAAAACAGTATATTGGAATGACTTTGAAGTTGGGTGTCGCCCCTTTGTAATCTTCTAAAGGGGCGTATCAGTCTATGACTGGTCAGTTTTTTTTAATTCCAGAACCAATCACATTACTTTGCTTGTGTCTTCAATTTTTCCCATGACATGTTCTAGAGGTGCAAAGAGTGATAGTGAGCTTAACATCTGGAGTATTGAGGATGTGTATATGAGAAACATTGGAGAATTATATTAATACCTTACAATGTAATAATCAGTACTGAGTGTATATAAAAATGAATTACAATGTATGATGCATCTGTATTGTGCTTCTAGTGTGAAGATAATAGAGTTTGACTTTTCACCTCATTTTCAAAGTCTTACACTTTACAATTATTGCATAACCTGCTTTAGTCTTTACCTTATGTCCTTCCTCATCTCCCGGCTTCAACAGTTTTGGATTCCTAGGAGCAATGACTTTGCTCTTGTAGTTCGTAGCCTCTGGACCCAGGGCCTCTAGGGTACCAGTGGTACCGACCACTTCTCCAAATGGCCCTAGAGGCATGATTCTGAGGTACAAGTCTGAAATAATGCAAGGCAAGAAGGTTAAAAACAACACAGATTATGGTACATCAACAAAGGTCACTCATGAACAGGAAAACATACACTGAATTGTAACTCGTAATGTTTTACCTCAGATCCAGTGAATCTCACTTAAAACAATGAACATGCTACTGGCTAACAAGAGGCCCTAATTGATCTAAATTGTCACATAGGCAAGAAGTTATGAAAACCACTATAGAATTTGCCTGATTTCGTATTAGATCAATATAAACTATTTGTTTCCATTTTCACTCAACAAAGTAAAACAATTAGAGCCAATGTGATGAGGAATATTACAAGTCATTGATTGGTTAAATGGTTTTCAACAGCTCTATCAGAAATAACAAATTGCTTTTTGGGTCGTAAGGCATCAATTAAAAACATACCATTGACTCAATTTACTCAATATTGTAAAAATCTGTAAGTCACCAACAATCTTTGAGAAATTATCTATCAAGGGGGCACCAAGTATGGTTGGTTCAAATAAAGGTGGCAAACTGTGTGGTGTACTCTTGAAAACTGATCCCTAGTGGTGTCAAAGTGTGGAGTTGATATATAAAACAGTAGTGTTTCAGTTTTCCATCAGACAAGAAGTCCATGCATAGGTTGAATGTCAGTGATTTGATATTCTACATCTTGTATTGAACATGATTGTAGACTAAAGAAGAGTGCAACTGTTTCACTTAAATATTTGCTAGAATGGTCATAATTCAAACCAAAAGGAAACAGGAATAAAAGACAAAATAAAATCTAAAATTTAATTATCTATACTGATTAGGTACAAAGTCTATATTGTTAGAACATATGAATGCATATAAGATATAAAAACTTGTTACATTTTATAACCATACAAATTTTTGGTTTCTAAACATATCTAGTATATGTATTTTTTTTAATATTTGTATGTACAGTATACTGTGAATTTATTCATTCATTAGGATATTATTACTTATGAATAAGTATAATTTCAACAATTAGCTCCATATCATTTTTGGAGTTAGAATACTCTGAATATCAGTTGATGTTAAATTTTAGCAAGTTAATATCAGTAAAGCTTGTAATCCTAACTTAACATTCTGTTCACTTACCTTCCATTATTTTCAGCTGAAAACAACATCTATCTGGGGTTACCAACAGACATTTCACTTGAATTATTAAAGAATCTTCTTATTCCTACATTTTTAATTATGTCATATCATTTTTACAAAATAAATCTATTCCTCCAGAATTTTATCAGCCATACCTCTATCTTAATTTTCTACATTTTTCAAGATTACCCTATATTACTCTCTATTTTTTTATTATAATTGTAAGATTTTGTGATTTATATAAAGACTCATTTAAGTTATCATTGCCAATTTGATCAATTTCCTGTGTATTAACTTGAAACATACTAGTTCAGGATGATAAGCTGATACAATTCCATGGAGATGATTTGTATTCCAAATTTACAGCAGAATGACATATTAATACTCATCATTTTGAAATTACCCAACAGCTTCAGCTACATCGACTTAAAACATATATCAAGAGCGAGACTGGGCTAAAGAAAATCAAAACAATGCGATATGTTTTATATGTTTCTCTGTCAAGTTTGCAGAGTTCATCATCCTGTAAATGCATAGCCTGCAAATAATTATGTGACAGGGTCTCAACATTGGAAATTTCTTTCCCTGAGACAAAGACTGAAACCATGATAGCTAAACCAACTCTTCACATAACCACAACTCCCCTCCTTCCTAACAACCCCTCTCTCTTCCCCACCCCACCCCCCCCCCTACCCTTTTTTTCTGGCCATCATGATCAAACACGATCTCCGTTTACGGATATAGGTGCATGAATGCTTTACAGATGAAGAATTATTATCCTAATTTCTCACCACATCATGACTGTTATCTGGTTTACATGTAAAGAAATGACACCAAGTAGTCTAAACGTGCGTCAGCAGGTGCTTGTTTGACAACTGGTCATCTCTGGCAATACGCATTCCTCCAGTTATTAACAATTTGTATGTATGATACAAATTCCATGAGTAACTTTGACTGTACGAGCGATAACTGTTGAACAGGCTTAAATCTTGATTTTTTTTACAAGGTGTAACTCTAAAATCGAAAGAATGTTTACTGTTTGGGTTTGCCGAAGAGTCGTCTACAGATGTATGCCAATTCAGCGAACGAAATAATTCTTACTAGTACACTTTTTTATCACATAAAAAGGATCTATTCCATCAAAAATACGTCAAGTGTCATACATACCTTTCCAATAAGCGAAATCAAATATTATCAACACTAAAACAAAACGGAGTTGTTTGTAAACGCCATATTGCTGTCGGTTGCTATAGCGTGCTAAAGCCTATGTCGTAAAGTAGATTATTTTCTATTGGTCACCATTTTGACCTATATTGCAGAATTGGCCAATGAAACATTTTGTAAGTGAACAACATATCAATCCGCAAAAATGTAGATCTTGTGTTAGAAAAACCCAATAAGAGAAGATTTTTTTATTAAAATTGTTACTTTCTAGCAGAGTGTATTGTAAGAATCCCTATAGCAATGTTAAACTACAAATGGTTAGTAGCAACGCTAACATTCAGTTCTGTTCCGAATGAGTGTATTCCGAACACGTGAACAATAATGGTTGAATAAATGCAGCAAGAAATGATAAATAGAGCAAGTAAGCGTTAACAAGATTAAACGCAAAAGCTCGCTGGGCCGTCAACAAAATAAAATGATAACTTGTTAAATTTCATAAGTTGAGACTAGAGTTGAGATGTTCTTGCTCGGGCAAAGTGAGCGGGGATCCCGCCAGTGGAGATTAGCATCTCCTGTCTGGCCTTCAGGAACCGATCCATACTGGCTAGAAAGGAGGTAGTATTTATACTAGCCATGCTAATTAACTGATGAAGTACTAATACACATTAGATAACAGGTAAACATGGATTGAAGTATACATGAGTTATTGACATGTTCTTGTACACATAAATGGCAACAGATTCGGCTGTTTACAACAAGATAAGGTTACACTGACCATCATACAGACTGCTACGATAGGCTTCAGGTAATTGACTTATATAATCAGTGAATGAATTAATACATGAACATGTGTAGTAGATCAGTAATGGCAGAATGCCTCTGGCCACGGGGAAATACATAAATGTTCACAGTAGATGTCGGTACTAAATTAACATAGGCAGATACATTATGATGAAACATCTGACTTATGTCTAGCATAATTATGTATCTTATATATTAACTTTTTATAGTGCAAAGTTTGTAAACGGAAACGGGCGGAGCCTATTTGAAAAATGTCTTATCTTTAGCTGTAGTATGAACAGGGGTATTTTTTAATCCATTTAAAATCAAAATCAGCATGATTAGTAAAATATATTGATAAGTTCTTTTAAAAACATTTTGTCATTTTTTCAAAGACTCCATTACATTATCAACAACAAACTTTACTTGAATTTGTAACTTTGAACTTAATTTCACTTTCTGAAATAGCATTTTATATGTTCAATACAAACCAGAGTAGATTAATATTGCCACGATAGAAATCCTGGATGATGTTCACAATGACCGGGTACTTATGATAACATAGTGATCTGCTGATCGTAGCTATGTATAATGACACACATATATTAAGTCTGCGCTCGAACTTTTGTTGGAATCAGAATTCTATCTCCACAAAAGTATATATTACTGTAGTTAATGAACTCAATACGAACTTATAACTTCACTCTTAATAATATTTCATCGGTGATGCAGTTTTTCAGTCGCAAATGCGTACATTCCGTTTAATAGCTTGAATTACAAAACATAACGAAAATATCTAATTGAAAAAAAAAAATGTCTTCGCAAGATCATCTGCAAAATCTTTGAGATTAGGAAAGTTTATACCAAGGGAGGCAACTCCTACGCGCTGATATCCAAATGATGTTTACCCGGGTCTACACTAGGAGATATAACTATTCGTAACTGTAAAGATTTCCCCCTAGCCGTTTGTTATGTCTCTCATGTATGTATTTTAATATTTTTCTATCTACATGTGTTAACGTGTCTTATATAGTTATGTGTACATACGTATTAGGACACCGCTTTTTGATGCTCTTTGATGACTGTAGTCGCACTTAGTACAACCCCATTTATGTAAAGTCCTCTTTTCGTTGCGTAAGCTTCTCCCCACACGACACCCTGAACTTGACTTGCGAAGATGAAAGAAACCGTAACTAAACACGTTTTTCAGTAAGTTTTAAACTCATGTTTTTATAACAAATTAAAATTACGAATTGCTTTTCTGGTTAAGAATGGTTTGACCAACTGTACTTAAATAGGTTACACGTGTTGGGGTAATGATCGTCTGAATTGTCGAATGTCAAATGTGTCGGCGTTACTGACGTAATAATACTCATTTATCATGAAGATTTTTTGGTGTAGACTATGTTTCTCTTTTAAATGTATACCTCCATATTTATAAACATGTATTATGTTATTGACCATACATCTCTCATGGCCAGATAGATGAATCGTGCCGGTTCCCTGTAAATGCCCTTGGAGGGACTGGCAATATCATTGGATTTGAGAGGATGTGCTGAAACTTCAAATTATCCTCTCATAACACAGGTCCCTTCTTCTTTGATCTATTATTGGTATATAAGTTAATCGGGAAATGATTGTTTAAATAACCAGTCAAAATGGCACATCCATTCCATTTCACCCTTTAAAGGTTACTTCACTCCCAAATTTCATTTTTACATTCTATTTACTGGATTCAGTTATGTAATTGCAGAGGATCCAGAGACATTACAACATATTCATTTTTACCTTAAAATCTGAGCTACAGTGGGTATCCTGATTTACCAGGATTGGGAATCACGATCATAGGATTTTTTAGAGTGCACTTAAAAGTCCAACCACAGGAATGTGACATTCTGTTTATTTGTGTAATATATAGTTATTATACTACTAAAATAGCAAATTTAAGTTTCTTTGCTATATTTTTCATAGATATAAAAAAAAAGTCTAGATTCTGTGGTCCATCAATCCTCTTATTACGTTCACAATCATGACATCTTAACATGATTGAGGATGTTATTTTTTAATCATCATTCATCATCATTAACCAGTTTAGAGTATCTAGGCCTTTGATAATGATTAATCCTTATCCAAGGGTGAGGCCTAGCTGTCCAGTGGAGAACAAAGTTCCCCTCTCCATGTTCGGCTATTCAGTTTTGTTGAAATTATGTATATACTAAAAGAATTAGATCCATTGATAAAAACCATGCAATTTTTATGTTCCTTTCAGCAACATCAATTCAGATTTCCAAAATAGTTTTAGATGAATTTAAACATCTTACTTTTAGAAGGTTCTGATTTCAACAGGCTCCAAAAATGATCATTTATGACTGGAAATGTCCACATCTTCAAAACAAAGTTACAAGTATCTAATATGAACATTATCCATCTTTTCTACAAGAAAAATCTTCATGCCTGCCTCATTTTCTGGTTCAACAAGATTCTTCATCATGTAGTATTTGTGTGTAGAAAGACAATATTAGAGTTTGATTGAGGGAGACAACTGATAGCCAAAAGTCTTTCAGTAACATTTAAGGTTAACTGTTTGGTTGTTTGAAAGACAAAGACAGGTTATTTGAAAACCTGATGTATGTCAATCTGGTGAGTCACTCATGGCAGTATGAATATCAAGTTGACCCATAGAAAATGGGTGAGTTGGCAGTAGTGTCTCTTGGATATCTTGTTGATACACATGAAACTTTAAATTGTGTCTGGGTTTCTCAAGAGAGAATTAATAGAAAACATTAGGAATTGGCTTTATCTTAGTTACCTACTTTGTATTTTAACAGAGGTATAACTAACAAAAATGTTCTTCAGAAAGTTCTATCACACAGGTTTTAGGGCAGATATATATTCTGAGAGTTCTAGTTCCAGTATAATATGAGGAACATATTGCCTTTGTAGGAGTTTTGGTAACAAACCAGTCACTAACAAAGGCTTGTATTTTCCATTGACAGACATCCTTGGGACACAGTAGTACAAGCTGTGTGGAGAAAATATCCAAATCCATTGACTAAATCTGTTTTTGGAACTGATATAGTTGAGCGCCAGATTAACAAACAAGGAATCCTGGAAACTCATAGGTTGATGAAGACCAAGTGGCATATTCCATCTTTTGCTAGAGCGGTAAGAACAAAGAAGGAAAGATCTAGGCAGTGAAAGCAATCCTACTGAAATTTGATTTCCAGATTGTATACTAGGAATTGTATTTGTAAGCAAGGGAAAATAAAGGAAAGATGTGTTTACTCTTTTTTTGATAAAGAACTGCAAGTAGTAAAGATGATATGTTGGATCTCTTGTTTTTATATATACCGCGGTATATGATATTTTTTCCAGTGATATATAATTTACATAGATTTGACCAGAGCAGTGTTTTCGAGTCACTGCATTGAAATTCTCTAATTTTCAGAGAAAAATGAAGTGAAGGAAAAATAAGTTGATTTTTTAAAGAATTTAATGTTTATTTCTGATTTTCTCTAATTTAGTATAAAACAACAGTTTTGTAAGCGATCCTTACTAGGTAACTGAATAAAATGGTAGAATACAACATAAAGTAGCCGATTCAAAATGGTGCCATCTTGTTGTCAAGTGCAACATCAAACTACCAGACATCGAAGAACTCACTTATTTTTTAACACTGCTTTATTTTATGCTTGTATTGGACCTTATTTACTTTCATTTTCATTTAAAATATAATAAAAAGAATATTGATCAGTTTCTCATTTAAAATCATTTATACTTAATTAGTAATACAGAATAACTCTTTATTTTTCACTCCTGCTTCGCACTTGTTATATAGATGTATATTCTGTCATACCCGTGAAATATATGTGATATTAAACAGGAAACCATTGAATATCATACTAATGAAATTATTAACAATTCTCTTTGTAGTTACTAGGGGACCAGAAACTTGCTTATGGAAGTGAACATTCAGAGTGTGACCCAAAAAATAAAACACTTAAACTTAACTCCACAAATGTAAGTACATCCAACTTTGGCTTAGCATCAAATATACTTAATTGTCACCTATCTATATTTAGTACTTAAAACTTTGTCTTCTAGATATCTACATTTAGTATTTATACTTTAGTGTCTCCTAGATATCTATATTTAGCTTTCATACTTGATTGTCTCATCATTAACAATTTTCCCCTATCTGTTCTACCTGTTGCCTTACTTAACATTTTATTCACAATTTTTGTTCTTCTTTACAGATAACCTACAGTTCCTTAGTTAAAATTGATGAAACTTTGACATACTCACCTTGTGCAGACAGTAAAAACAGGTAAATTTTCTGTATTTATAAATCATATCAGAACATAAACCATGAACCATTCTAATTATAACCAGGTTCTTCTATCATGTATTTTTAAGTTTAAGCTGACTGCAAGTGTAAAAAAAAAACTGTCCAATCGATATTTGAGGAACAAAGTTCAGTTTTCAAAATAATTTTGAGATGTATCCTCGACCAACACCTGCCAGTCAATGTATCTAAGGAAGTCTAGACATTTTAGTCTGCTTTGCTTAGAAACGAAAATGGTTATCTTTGGCATGAAAAGCACACAGCCTGTCATACAGGTTATTCTAACATTGACAGTGTGTAGTGTTACCAATACCACATGACATTAAGAAAAGACCAACTCAAGGGTTCTGACTACCAATCTTAGTTTTATTAGCCCACTGTCATCAGATAGTTAATAGTCTGGCATTTATCTGTAAACAATTCTTGTTCTTTTGTTATTTTGTGTACAGTATTGAATGATAGATCAAAGAAAACAAAATGACTGACCTTGCTGACAAAACTGGCTGATATTTAGTGTCAAAAACCATGATCTGGTACCCTGTATTTTACAGAAAACTGGCTGATATTGTGTATCTTTTTGACCCATTACTTGAAAATATTATTTTTATTATTTCTCCTGTGTGAAAAGATTATTGATACAGGACTTGTACTAAATTTATTCTGAGTTCTTTATATTCCACACTCCACAGATAATGTTTAATTTAGATCGCAGCCACATTCGAGACAGTCACCATCTGTAACATCTGGTAAATTGTAATATCTTGATCCTGAAAGAAAAGTTGTATGGAGACAGGAATTCTAAAAGTGAATAATTAAAAAATTGTTAACAGTTAAGAACTGTGCCTCGATGAAGATGGCTACCGTGGCTGCCATCTTGAAATCTTTTCATATTTACTTCTCTTGAAAAGAAAGTTATAATGTGACAGGACTTACAGCCTAAAACGTTTTCAGAGGTAAAATCAAATATGCCATTACAGTATAAGTTTAGCCAGGAACTTTTGTTTATGTCTGTTATAGTTGTTTTTGTAATTAAAACTATTGAGCAGTGATAAAATACTTCAGAACATCAGAACAACTTACCATTTTAATTACAAAATGTTACCTAAGACAGTAGATGTGGTCATTCATCGCCTTAACTTTTTTTTTTCAGGACATGCTTAAGTTGTTCCACGAAAGTCACAGTGAACTCTATGATACCATTTGCGGGATATTTAGAGTCTTTGGTGACTGATGCGATTGTGACCAACACTAGTACGGTAAGAAACTACAACACGTTTAAGGGCAGTATTTTTTCCCATTTTACTTGCTGTGAATATGAAAATGAGGTCTCAGTCTATTTATAACCAGGCTGACATTGATCAGACAATGATACAAACCATGGAAAAAGATTATTTTTTGTAGAATAAAAATTTGGCTGTGTTAGTTTTTGCTTGAGTATAGGGAAAGATAAGTTAAGTCATTGGTTAGTGTTTGTGCCTGGGTATAGGGGGAGATCACTTAAGTCACATGTGTGTTGTAAGAATTTGACAAAGGATTTTTTCTACTTATTGATTTCATAGAAACATTTTTTTTGGTCTTGAACCTATGGTCAGTTATAATCTGACAAACAACCCCTTTGCAAAGTTTCTAGGCTCAGGGGACTAATTAAGGCGATTATGGTATTGCTTATTCTGGAGAAGGCTTTATGAATCTTTCGCAAATTTTGTGTCTTGGTTTCTACTTGTGTGTTTTCAATGATTAGACTGATCCATGTCCGATGTCCAAGTTGGAATAGTTAAAATAAAATTCTGTCTGGTATGCATGAAAATTATCACATTTTCAAGTTTCAAATTTCGAATAGATTAGAACTGGTAAACTGTATATGGCATGTAAATGTAGCTCTGGTTATAGACAGAGATGATCTGGTGTGAACATGAACATTTTATTTGCAATTATTTGTTTTTTCAACCATAATTGACGAAATGCAAGTTTTGATATGTTGTAATCAGTTGTTTTTTTTGTTTGACAGGGACAAGATGCCATGGAATGGGTCATAGAGAAGATTAAGACAGAGGCTGAAAGTGCTATTAGAAGTATGGATGAAGTATTGAATACCATTCACCCCAGCACTTTATAACGACTGCTACCATTAGTACTGTAATGTGCCGACCAGGAAGGGTGAAGGACTTGTGCTGATCTGTGATAGATTTTTAGAGACAACTTCATAGTCCCACTTCGGGAGGCAGACTTTTAGGGAATATTTCTTATTGTACGGGCATGTGTTTTATTACAAGTCTCAGGATACATGTGCCATTTTCATGACTTCCAAAGACACCATACTTCATTTTTGTGCTGAAATGTTTTTCCTTGTTAGAATGTTGATGATAAATGTGATTCATGGAACCATAGATATAAAATTCTATGGAGTGAGTAATGTTCATGAATCTACTTTGTAAGTTGTTGTAATGTAAAATTATGACTGAATAATGTCCCAGAATTTAGCAAGGAAATACTCATTATTGAAAAAACTTAAGATTCAACTTTTAAAGGTAATTTCCAGATCCCTCAAAGGTTCAATGACGTAGGGACATCAGTCCATCTGTCAATGTATCAATGTTTTTTTTTTTCTGTTTCAATGCTCCATACCGACTATCAATCCTGAGTATTTTATTTATTTCATGTGCGTAACATAACTAAAAATTAAATCAATCTTTTGGAATTCTTTTGAGTGAAATTGTTATAAATATTGGACACAGTACTCGTCCCTGTGACAGTGTGGTGCTGGGGTCCCACACAAAGGAAACTATACATTGTCAGTGAGGAGTACTCGTCCCTGTGACAGTGTGGTGCTGGGGTCCCACACAAAGGAAATTATACATTGTCAGTGAGGAGTACTCGTCCCTGTGACAGTGTGGTGCTGGGGTCCCACACAAAGGAAATTATACATTGTCGGTGAGGAGTACTCGTCCCTGTGACAGTGTGGTGCTGGGGTCCCTCATGAAGTGAGCTTATGACATACCTCAAGGTCCATCTTCCATCTGTAAACTTGAAAATACTATATTGTAGCTATTCTGTAGTTGAATTAACTGATATGTTTGGAAAGACATCCAGCAGTAGAATAGTGATGTAATTTAGATCACTTTCAGATTATAACTTTAATTCAATTTATAATAAAAACAAATTGGTGGAGAATGTACAAATGGTGGACATGCATATGATTATGGGATCAGTGGAATGTGTTTGATACAACATTAAGTTCTTGTATTCAAATGTTTGTTGCCAAATGGCTTAAACACAGATGGCATCAAAGTTTTGATGCAAGAAAGTCTTTTTTTTTCTACATTTGGTTTCTCTCACTAAATTCCTGATTTGTGTATTCCCCAGTGGCTGTGCTTGAGGTTTCAGGTCACCCTTTACCACTTCTTAAATAAAAGGGTTGTGTACAAGATATCGCAAGAAATCCTTCATGTTTAAACCTTCAATAGGTTTAGATTAGGAGAGACAAATGAGGAACGGAGAGGGACATATCGATGTGAGCTCACAGTATACAGTAACTGTTCCACTTGAGATAGCACAAATGTAACACAGACAAGTGAAGAAAACGGTAAACACTGGGCTGTCTGAAGCACAGTGTCTGTTTTACATAAACACTGGGCTATCTTAGGCACAGTGTCTGTTTTACATAAACACTGGGCTATCTTACGCACAACGTCTGTTTTACATTAAGAAAACAATAAACACTGGGCTGTCTTACGCACAATGTCTGTTTTACATTAAGAAAACAATAAACACTGGGCTATCTTACGCACAGTCTGTTTTACATTAAGAAAACAATAAACACTGGGCTGTCTTACGCACAATGTCTGTTTTACATTAAGAAAACAATAAACACTGGGCTGTCTTACGCACAGTGTCTGTTTTACATAAAGAACACAATAGACACTGGGCTATCTTATGCAAAGAGTCTTAAAAGTGATTTCCACAGACCAGTACATTAACACAGGGTTTTACGTTTCATGTTTAATATCAATAAAGGAAGTCAATACAATATTTTGTTTTCATTCATCAATGTTTTCTTAAAAAGTATAACTACTTTCAATAAATGTGAAATTGACAAGCCAAATCTTTAAGTTATTGCAGCCATCTTGACCTCCATTAACTCTGAACTCAGACTCGGGGCGTTGCATCTATCACATTCTGTGGAGATAACCTCATGTATCTGACAGTATCATTACAAAGACATGGCCCGAATCCCTCCAAAGATATTTTGAGCATGCTTTCTCTACAAACAGACAACACATCTGCCATGCCAGCATACTCCATGACCACAAGTTTGAGTAAGTGACAGGAAAAAAATGGAGTTAAATATCTTGTAGTGGCCATTAATTCTTGCTTAAAGAGGAAAACCTATTTAAAAAAACAAATTCCACCCAGGCGTCGTCGAACAAACCCCATCAAGTCCCAGGTCCGCCCTCATGTTGATCCCAGTATTCGACCTATACAGAGAAGGATTTAGATATGGTACAGTGAAGGGCTGCCTATTGTTGCCATCTGCTAAATATAATAACACATCCAGCGTTGGCAACATCATCATAGCCTTTCAAATCGCAGAAATGACACAAGCTTGGTCCTACTATATAAAATCTATCACAAACAAGATGTATTTATGAAACACCAGGACCCAAGTTACAACAACATTCTGAAGTGGGACATTTAAACTACTGTGTAAAGCATGGGCTAATTGCGTGCACACTTTTTGAAATGCATGTCTTCATTGTGGTAAAGATTTGTTTTACTTTAAAATGAAGGTCAAAAGTCAAGTGAACAATTTCGGTACCACCAGAAAGGTCTTGTCACAAAGAACACCTTCCCAAACCTGAAAGCCCTACCGTTTATGGTGTAATAGTTATGGGAAAGGTTAAAGTTGACAACAGACAGCGCAAAAACATTCCCGATCTTTTGATCAAGGGGCATAAAAAACCGTTATCACTAAACATCTCAATCCTATTTCCATACAAATTCTGCAGTCATTAAACTTTTTTTCAAATCATGTATGTAGAACATCTCAGTCTATCGTTGAACAACCAAATAGTTTTAACAACTTCCCTTTTGAAATAACTTCTGATTCTTTCTCCACTCATCAGAATGGAGTCCTGTTTCCTTGCTTCACACAACCATAGGATTCATTAACAAGCACAAGTTGATAATCGGTGGTACTGTGAACGAATTATCTCCCCTTCATCACATGTACAAATGGAACACGTGAACAATATGGAATGGTTTAACCATGTTCATCTAAAGATGGACTTAAAGATTAATAATGCTGATGGTTGACAATAATTCAAAATCTGTACACTTTATACCACTCGGTTCAATTCACACCTGTTCACTTTATACCACTCAATTCAATTCACACCTGTACACTTTATACCACTCAATTCAATTCACACCTGTACACTTTATACCACTCAATTCAATTCACACCAGTACACATTATACCACTCAATTCAATTCACACCAGTACACTTTATACCACTCAATTCAATTCACACCTGTACACTTTATACCACTCAATTCAATTCACACCTGTACACTTTATACCACTCAATTTAATTCACACCAGTACACATTATACCATTCAATTCAATTCACACTGGTACAAATTATAGCACTCAGTTTAATTCACACCGGTTCACTTGATACCACTCAATTCAATTCACACCTGTACACTTTAAACCACTCGGTTTAATTCATACCTGCACACTTTATACCACTCAATTCAATTCACACCAGTACACATTATACCACTCGGTTTAATTCACACCTGCACACTTTATACCACTCAATTCAATTCACACCTGTACACTTTATACCACTCAATTCAATTCCACTCAATACCACTCAATTCACACCTGTACACTTTAAACCACGCGGTTTAATTCACACCTGTACACTTTATACCACTCAATTCAATTCACACCTGTACACTTTATACCACTCAATTCAATTCACACCCCTACACTTTATACCACTCAATTCAAGTCACACCTGTACACTTTAAACCACGCCGTTTAATTCACACCTGTACACTTCATACCACTCAATTCAATTCACACCTGTACACTTTATACCACTCAATTCAATTCACACCCATACACTTTATACCACTCAATTCAAGTCACACCTGTACACTTTAAACCACGCGGTTTAATTCACACATGTACACTTTGTACCACTCAATTCAATTCACACCAGTACACTTTATACCACTCAATTCAATTCACACCAGTACACTTTATACCACTCAATTCAATTCACACCAGTACACTTTATACCACTCAATTCAATTCACACATGTACACTTTATACCACTCAATTCAATTCACACCTGTACACTTTATGCTACTCAGCTCACACCTGTACACTTTATGCTACTCAGCTCACACCTGTACACTTTATGCTACTCAGCTCACACCTGTACACTTTATACCACTCATTTCAATTAACACCCGTACACTTTATACCACTCAGCTTACACCTGTACACTGTGTACTTTTCAGTTCAATTCAACTGATATTTATTACATACTATTAATCACAGAGGTAATTTGACTCCAGCACATATACAAGCCTACATTTATATAGAACATCTAACAAAACACAGAGTATTAGATCGTACTGGTTACAACCTCGCTGGTTCCCCCACAGGACTGTTATACCAATACACAAATTCTTACTTGATGAAATTATTTTATTTTTCTGACATTCAGTTTTATTTTATCGATATACTTTTTTCATCGTAAAAGGGCGTTTATAGAAAAGAAAAATGCGATTTATTTGCAATAAAATAACAAATTGTACAGACCCTGGACTGTCTTAGTATGTTGTTTGTTCGACCACGGCTGGTATTTTGTTTATCGTGTTGTCGTCTCGACAGAACGATAATTTTCGTTTTTTCGCCCCCGCTAACTGTCGTCATTTCGCAGCGACATAACGATAATTGTCACTTTGTCGCGGCTAAAAGATGACAATTAGCAGAGTGGCATGACGATATTTATAGTTTTTTTCGCTGCCAAAAGACGATAATTACATGTAACGACTTCACAATTTCGTTATTTCGCGTTAAGTTATGGCGTCTATTCCGACGTCGCTGCGGAATGACACTAATTAGTGGAAAGATGAAGATTTATAACACGAGTGAAGGTTGGTAATGAGGGTCTATACTTTTGGTTGTAGACGCTCTCTGGAGTTTCTGACTGGATAAGACCACCAACAGGAAATATCCAACCTCGGAAGTTGTTTTTACACATTTATAGACTGCGATGTGTCATCAGCCATTCCTATGTATCTAGTTTCTTCACCAGACCTTTCATCTACACAGAATCAAAATGAACTTATATACTCAGGCATGCAAATAGTTTTACTTACAGCTATATATATATACATCTGACATCCTTTGGTGCTCTCTAAAATAGAATTTTTGGTGATAGATGCTCATACAGGGGCAGGCGCCGCCTTGCGATTGTGGTAATCCAGTAAAATTAAAAGATTAGGTCGGTTCCACTCGAAGTTTTAATAAAAAAAAAATGTAGTGTTTCATTTTTATGTATAAGAAAGTATTAGCAGAGTAATTCAGCTACTGTATTGGTCTTTCCTACATGTAATTACATCGTAATTTATACAATTGATGATATACTTTCAACAAGCCAACTTTCCATAGTTCTATAAACATTCGGCATCCGATATACAAAACAACTATTCATGGAAAACTCAAAATCCCACAGTTCTATTATTATCACATTTAGTTAATGTTTTGTTCTAAATCGTAGAAACTGCAGAGTTATTGTTGAATATTTTACATAGGTAGTTCCAATATTTCTATGCTTTCTTTGTTACCGTGGAAACAAAGCCAGGACATACAGTTTATCCGGTTACGCCTTGGAAGGTGCTTTCTATGCCCTCTTCTATCAGCAATATTCTGTTTTATATTAACTTTAACACAGAGGAAAACACCGGCAATTCAACATGTTAACATGTACTCAAAATATATCGTTTCGCAGCTTTTTATATAAATGATCATGACCTATGCAAGGTGACTGATTCAAACATCTTAAATAACACGTTAAAGACTACCGATAGGTGTTTTGCCACAGAGTTCGGAGACAAGGTGCTATAATTTTCTATATAAATGACTTTAACTTTTTGTAAATATCACGGGGGTCAAATACGTTTATCCAAAGTTCTAAAAGACCAAGAGTTCTGATATCATGCCAGTATCTATATACAAACGAGCGTTGTGCAAAAATGTCATTGGAATATTTTCAAGGTCAGAGGGGTCAAATTATCTAAAAGCTTCTGAGAATCTCCTAAAAGACCAGATTATTAATATTTCACCAATAGACACATGGGACAGAATCCTTTGTAGTTTCCTTTTATATGGTCTACTTTTCGAGGTCATGGAGGTTACAACATTAAAAAGCTATCTTAGTAAGTCCCTGAAGACCTAGGGCACATATATCTGACCAGGTGTAGGCACCTGGGATGAAGTGCTATAACGCTTAGCCATATGACTGCCATTTTGAAAGGTCACAGGGGTCAATATGTTGAATTATTTTATGTTTTATTCACATTCAAAAATACCAAGAATCCTTGTATTGGTACCTAGAATGCAGCCCGTATTGAGTTCCTTCATTTCAATGACCTCGACCTTGTAGTATGGGATAAGAAATTATTAAAGCGCGCAAGTCATGAAGAAATAAAAAGTAAGGACATATTGTGAGTTGTTATTTATTTAAGCTTTCATCAGGATAAATAGCAGCTTGTACCAAACCAAGTTTCTACAGCAATAACAAGATACCGCTTCCGTAAAACATATTAGCTTTTATCTAATATTCATCGCCTTCCTCTTCTTCTTGACCTTCCGCCGAATCAACTCCCACTTCTTCATAGTCCTTTTCTAGAGCTGCCAAGTCTTCACGAGCCTCCGAGAACTCTCCCTCCTCCATACCCTCTCCCACGTACCAGTGGACAAAGGCACGCTTGGCGTACATCAGATCAAATTTGTGGTCAAGTCGAGCCCAGGCCTCAGCGATAGCTGTCGTATTACTAAGCATGCAAGTTGCACGCTGGACCTTAGCCAGATCACCTCCTGGCACAACGGTGGGTGGCTGGTAGTTGATGCCGACCTTGAAACCAGTGGGACACCAGTCAACGAATTGGATGGTCCTCTTGGTCTTGATGGTAGCAATTGCAGCGTTGACATCCTTTGGCACGACGTCACCTCTGTAGAGAAGGCAACAGGCCATGTATTTTCCGTGTCGTGGATCGCATTTTACCATCTGGTTCGCTGGTTCAAAACAGGCATTGGTGATTTCCGCGACTGTGAGTTGCTCGTGGTAGGCTTTCTCGGCGGAAATGACTGGCGCGTAGGTTGCCAGCGGGAAGTGGATGCGTGGATAAGGTACCAGGTTAGTCTGAAACTCTGTCAGGTCAACGTTCAAAGCACCGTCAAAACGAAGGGAGGCGGTGATGGAGCTGACAATCTGCCCTATCAGGCGGTTCAGATTGGTGTAGGTTGGGCGCTCTATGTCCAGATTACGGCGGCAAATATCATAGATAGCCTCGTTGTCGACCATAAAAGCACAGTCTGAGTGTTCAAGGGTAGTGTGGGTGGTGAGAATGGCATTGTAGGGTTCCACTACCGCGGTAGAAATCTGTGGCGCAGGGTATATGGCGAATTCAAGCTTAGATTTCTTTCCATAATCAACGCTCAGACGTTCCATCAGCAAAGAAGAAAATCCGGACCCGGTGCCACCTCCGAAGCTATGGAAAATAAGAAAGCCTTGTAGACCGGTGCACTGGTCAGCGAGTTTTCTGATGCGGTCAAGAACGAGGTCGATGAGCTCCTTGCCTACAGTATAGTGACCACGAGCGTAGTTGTTAGCGGCGTCCTCCTTGCCAGTGATCAGCTGCTCGGGATGGAAAAGCTGGCGGTATGTTCCAGTTCTTACCTCATCTGTAATCAGAACGTATCATGACGCTAAAATTAGCAACATAGACATAACGCTGCATATTTTTATATTCCTTATTTACAAAAAAAGCCCAGAAAATCCAGAACAACAAGTAATGTGTGTGTTTGTGTGTCTGTTTTTGCAGTTATAATGTATAATAATGTATCAAGTATGTGTGACGGAGAGAGAGAGAGGATGAGGATATGTGAATATGTGTTCGTGTGTTTGTTTGAATGTCGTATGACAATGTATGAAAGTGCGTGCGTGCAGGTTTGTTGTAGTGATATATCATGACCGTGTATAATAAATCCTTTGTTGATATATTAAGTTAATAAACATGTATTTCACCTGTCGTGGTGATGATGAATTATCTATGATTATTCTCGCTGTCGTTGTCATTGGTGATTATTTCAATATTGAAATGTTTCTCCTACAATTAACCTAGATCAATCAAGCGTAACATTGAACATAAAAAATTTACATACAATGTTTTCATTGCAGCCAGTGGACCAAGACCTCATCACGCGCCATCGCTGTTTACATCAGGCAAGGTGTTGCCAAGCACAGAACAAGAATAGTTGTGTTTAAGCTAAGCCAGCTTTCGTGGCGTCTGTTTTCACCCCGCGGACGTCGTCTTTCAACAATTTGGCGGTACTATTTCTTGAACAGCTGTATGACACGGTTTTAATAATTGTTTACCTATATTGTATCTTATTCCTAATAAGTACTGAATTACACATCTTTATATATTTGTTTAAACAGATCTGTATTATTTTTAAGATATTTTATCGATCCTCCTCGGTCGCTCCCTATTTAGGTCATTTGCACCACTGACGCGACCAGGTAGAACGAAGCAGCTGTATGCCACAGGTTTTATTTTTTTAGTATCTAATTCTAACATGATTGTGTTTTGTACGATCATAAGATCACCATGAAAAAACCTCAAAAGTCACAGATTTCTGCACTTTTTACGTTTTCGTTTTTTTTTCAACGGATAAGTTCATTTCAATGAAATTCGTCAGTTATGCGGTTATGCTTACCCTTAACAATATAATTTTAAAAAATCCATGATAAACATTTTAATTAGTGTATAAATATTTCTCCAGGCGTCATTCAAACACATTTTTACTTAATTGAAAAAACAAAAGACGTCTTTTATTATTATTATCATTTTTTATTTTTTTATTGTTTATTTTTTCTCTGACTATATCGTAATAACTTATAAATGACTGGATCTTAGGATCTGGTTTGAAGACATTTTGTGAGTAAGTCAACTAGTAATTCAAGTCCAAAAGTGCTGCGAAACTAAAAGAATGACATTGAGTAAGTTTTTAAGTCGGAGTTATCTAATGAACAACTGCTTGTCGATAACCAACTGATATGATAATGAGTCTGTACATGCACCGTGCTTGGATGAAGAGCTATCAGGCTTGTTTCAAAGAATAACCTTGACCTTAATTCAATGTTATAGAGGTCGAATGTGTTAAAGTCATAGAACGTTTTTTTCCTCGATAATCAAGAGACGTAGGGCCATGATACTTTCACATGCTTAGACGAGGAGCTACAACTAGTGTTGTAGTGACATACTGATGTTTGTGTAGGTTTTGTATTTATAAACTGATGTTTGTGTAGGTTTTGTATTTATAAACTGGTGTTTGTGTGGGTTTTGTATTTATAAACTGGTGTTTGTGTGGGTTTTGTATTTATAAACTGATTTTTGTGTGAGTTTTGTATTTATAAACAGATGTTTGTGTAGGTTTTGTATTTATAAACAAATTTTGTATTTATAAACTACAGAGCTTATTTTATCAAAGAGTAACATACCAACGACTGTGGGCTCGAGATCCACAAACACAGCCCTGGGGACGTGTTTACCAGCTCCAGTCTCGCTAAAGAAAGTATTGAAGGAGTCGTCTCCCCCTCCAATGGTCTTATCAGACGGCATCTGACCATCCGGTTGGATACCATGCTCAAGGCAATACAACTCCCAGCAGGCGTTGCCCATCTGGACACCGGCTTGACCAACATGGATACTGATGCACTCGCGCTGTAAAAGCACATATATATCAATGGATTAGTTATTTATCAGCGGCCTAGACCTTATGTTATAACATAAAGACAAGAAATAATCTATCGTGATTTTGAACTTGACACGTTAGAACTTGCGACCAATGAAGCAAAGGAGGTATTTTTAGTTTTCTTGGTTCGAGAATATTGAAGTTATTTCACAGAAGATGGTGCCAAAATAGGACCAAACCATCACACAGTGCTAAGGGTTAGTGGTTAGGGGCATCAGCCTTTCCTATCTTTACCTGAAAAGCCAACCTAAGTACGCTTTCAGGATGAAATGATTACAAACAGCAAAGGACTATAGATGAACTTAACTTGGATCTGACGTCATTCAGTTAAAAAAAAAACGAGTATCTTTATCAACACCTGGAATATTTACTACTCACGAATGTCACGTGATATTGTCTTAATTACTTGCTAGATATATAAACAGTTAACCTCTCTATCACTGAAAACAAGTATACAAACTTGCAAAATGAATAAACATCACTCACCATTTTGAAGAGGTATGTAGTGACTGCTCTATTGGGACAATAATGAATCCTACAGGCGATGTACTCGTGTATCCAAGGTTTCGTGCCTTATATACCCGGTGTTTATCACCAGTGTCTATAACAACACCGCACGTGGTACACATCAATGAATAATAAAAGGAAATCAATATCGATCCGATTCCGTAAGCCAAGCGTGTAACCATGTGATCACCATCCGTGTCTGTACCACTAATAAACCTTCCACATCATCCCCTGTATTTGTGCGTTGTCACAACCACGGCGTTAGATACAGCGCATATACACTTAATGTGGGTAAATCAAGATCTAACCGCCTCGTGACTTTCACCTGAGCGTGATATCAGTAGGTAGATATATAGTCGCAAAATATAGGGGAACAAATCTCGACAGAGGTTCCCACATCACAGAAGTCATTAAAAATTTGTAATCGCTACCAAAAATTCGTCCTTATACAGTAGTGTTGGGCTGATGTTTCTGCACTGCATCCTCCACGGGTCTTTGATTCAGAACGAGGGGTCAGCTTTGTATGTACAAAATTTGTATGATGGCCGCCATCTTGAAGTCGTTGCTTGTAGAACTCTGTGATCAAAATATGACATAGTTTTGTATAATTCTTGAGACATACATTACTTTTTACATTTGTGGCCATTTTGAAGCAGCCGGTACAGACATGTTGATTTAAAAAAAAATAATGCTGAACCGATTGTTTACTTAAATAGCAGACTTATGACAATTATCGTGTGTGTCATTAGCCATAACTGGAAAAGGTTAAAAAATCAATTGAATTGCCCAATCACTATGTGACGTTTTACGATAATAAAAATACACTAAGATGACATGTTAACCATGTCTTCAACGGTATTAATCATATCCCTTACAATGTTCTGGCAAGTGATTGCTACCACTCATATAAATAAACTATCTAGGCCACTTGAAATAATTTATAAAATGCATCTTAAGAATTGAAAATAAATACACCAAGACATCAATGTCGTAGATGGAACATATGACCCCGTGATAACCCTGCTAACGTCTCCTCTGAATTGTCCACATGTTTAACCTTAACACGAAAAGCATGAACACGTAACATATTTGTCTCTTTTAGCCCGAAGAGCCAGGTGAGCTTCTCTTCAATAACCAACATACCAGATGTCATGGTATTTGACTGGTGAATTGTTGGGATGAAGCCCAACAAAACTGCGAGAAAAGACCTTGACACATATTCAAGGTCAAAGGGGTCGAATTTGTTCAAACCTTTAAACAACTGAAAAACCAAATGCAGCAAAAGTATGGTATTTAGCTGAATGTTCCTAAGATAAAGCCCAACAAAAGAAATGACATTGACCCTTATTCAAGGTCACATGAGTCGAATATGTGAAAACCTGTAAAAGACTTCTTCTGGTAAACCAAAAGTCCGAGAAGATTTGGTGGGAAGGTGTTTCTAGATCAAACCCCGACAAATTTCGAGGGAAAAGATTAAAATTGAATGGACGTGCCCACTTTGAATGCACGTGTTTAATGTGTTTACAATATCGTCTGCCTTCATGTTGCACGGTTTTATCTCTCTGGTCCCCCAGAGTTACTGCCCTTCGCTTCACTCTGTTAGTACAGCGATAAGCTTGAAAGTCTGGAATCGAACCCCGGACGATAACATAAAAGACGACCCGACCACCATCTGATGATGCTTCAGAGATGCCTCCTCCTCGATCAACTTACACTCGCTTTAGACAGTGCCTATTTCTCACTATCAACTGTACAGACCGGAATTACCTACAAAATTGTAGGGAGTAACAAAATTATAAAACCACTTGCATTGACTGTGGTGTTTAAATTTAAAATTTGAGAAAACATCAGTTTTGGTATCTAACTCGAAAGTCAGCTAAGATGCCTTAGGAGTTATTTTCTAATTTGTGGCTTGTGGTTTCTACACAATGGAATTGAATATCAAGTGTATTTTAACTAGTATTTATGTTTCAAGGATATAACTTGTTGGAGTATGGATATTGTTATCAAGAATTAATTAAAATTCACATATTCTTAATATACTTAGTTGAATTAAAACTTTGCACTCTAAAACGGTACACATAAAAAGACATTTTGATAGAGAGAAAAATATTGAACTGGTTCCATCATGTAATTCCCTAGGTTGGCTTAACTTTTAGTATAGACTCTCTTACTTCCTGTGTTTCGGAACATAAACACCTCGGATTTTTACATAGCTTCAAGGTACCGATTGAAACATGGCTGGCATCGGCCAAGAATTTGATGAAAACGAGCTACATAATGCTGGTTTCATCTGTCCAATATGTCTGGAAATATTCACGAATCCGATTGTTTTATCTTGTGGCAACAATCACGTGTAAGTATAATAATTATATCAATACAATTGCTATTCTTCATGTGAATTATGATCGTCTCAAGTAGCCTATAACTAACCCCAAAATTCCGTTTAACCAGTAAAGACAAATTTTGCAATAAGAGATGACATTTTCAACTTAACACCCAGGATTTTGGACATGTATGTACATAACCACGACTATCGCTTTTAATCATGCATGCCTTAAATGTTGACAGGATATGCAAACACTGAATAGAACGTTGTACTTGCTAACTTATTTGTACATTACGGTATAATGAGGTACTTCCCAGGTAATTGAACGCCGTCAAATCTGGCATTGGTCGTGTCGTCAAATATCAGTGTATATGTACATATGAAGGCCTAATGAAAACAAGAGCTATACTTTATCACGGTAAGCATGTTCACTCTGGAAATAGACAATAATTTCCTTGAGCTGGTTAAATTTCCCTGTATCGTTTAGTAGTTGCATCCCTTTATCCTCATGCTCTGATGGTGAGACAGGAAGTAATTTTATTTCTTTATAAAAACACCACATATCTTGCATGCTTCCACCTCACAATTCGAATTCATGGTTTATTTTCATTGTTCGTAAAACATATGCTGAAATTGCAACTGTGGCCTAAGGCTGAATCTGCATCAAAGCCAAGGGATGTAAATCTGCAGATAACACAACAATGAACGACATCATTTTAAATCAACCTGCTGCCCTGTTTTTAAATTTGGAGGTACATAGATACTGATGATGCACTGATGAAACTTTTCAGAATGGCTTAAAAGAGGGTAACTTGGCCAAAATATACTTTTCACTGAATTATTGGTCAGCCATTTTTCCCAGCTTTTTCCCATGATTGGTTTATTATTGTCTTTCCTTGTTACAAAATGTATTTGAAATCTGCAATCTTAAATTTCAGACAATCAGGTTATGTTTGTGTGTACCAAAATTATATTTTATAGCAGGTCAGTGGTGTTTCTTCTCAAGCCTCCTTCAACCAGCTGCCTGATGACTCTGTGAAATTTAAAGGCAACACATATGGGAAGGGAGACAACTCTCTGTCCATTATCTGATTTTTATTCCCAAACTTAGCCTTTTGCAGAGCTCTGCTTAAAAGTAAAGTTAAATATCATGTGGACATCATTTCAAGATCGCTCTGAGTTTTGCAGTGGGCATTTTTGTCTTATGACCTCATGAACTTATAATCTGCATAAACTGGATAGCTTTAGTTTTTATAACATGTGATTAAATCCATTTATTGAAAAAAATATCATGAGTTTCATTGATAAATTTTGGAAATTTTTCTTCAAACACATTTTTACATGTTAGATATCCTCCCAGATATAATTGAATAACCCATTTATATATCCCTGAATATAACAGTGTTATGTTGTTTGTCAAGTGAATAAAAATTGACCATGGAGTATAAGCCATGCCTCCATCAGAGACCTAAATAGGAGAACTTTGCCACTTCCACAGTTCTCAAAGAACATTACTATATTGTCTTCTTGAAGGAAATATATTGATTTTGAAGATTTTGTAGTGATGATGCAGGGAAAAAAATTTAGATGTGAAATTACTACAAAGTTTTCAAAATTTATTAGAGGCATGGCATATATATACAGATGAAATGAGTTAAATGATTATTCTATCATTGAAATCTATAAACCAGTTTAAAATTGAGTGATAAAAAGAGGATAAGAGACCAATATGACAACACAATATAAAGTTTAATTCTACACAACATTAATGATGGTTTTTTTCTCAATTTAGTTACTAAAATATTATGAAAACCACAAATATTAAAATTGATAAAAGATGAGTTTCACATTTTGTTATTTATAACTTTACATCATTTTACCATAGGTCAAGGGTCAAACATCCAGTTGTTTTTACCTTTACATCATATTACCATAGGTCAAGGGTCAAACATCCAATTGTTTATACCTTAATATCATATTACCATAGGTCAAAGGTCAAATATCTACTGGTATTTTGTAATGAACAGGAATGTTCAGAAAACAGTTATTTTGTAGGTTTTGTTTTTATTTCATTCATATTGTAATTAGCCAGGTAACTAAAGTATTTCATTTATCAATGTGCTTAGCACTAAGATTAAAATAGGTTTGTTTAAAGAGACTAAAAACAAACGGAGAAAACAAAATGTGATTATTTGTTTGCAATTATGGATCAGTGAATCTTGTAGATATTAAGTTTGGCAAGATGTTTATCACCTAGGTATGTGTGTATGGTTACAGATACTGTGAGGAATGTGTGCTTGCATATCAACACACATCAGAACCAGAATGTCCTGAATGTCGGCAGCCATTCTGTTTGGACCAGGTGTGTCATGCCATTGACTTAATGAATCGAATATCCTCGGCTGTGTCTCGGTGTAAATGGTGCGGATTACAGGTGAGTAAACTTGATCAGGTACTATGTGGGAGTTCTCAAAACCTCCAAACTGATGATATAGACTCATTTAAACTACACCAAAAGATTATCTGATATAAATAGGGCTGAGGAGAAGGTAATTTGGAAATCTTTAGTTAGATATGACATAAACCTGTCAGCATTTCACCAGAATTACACAAAAGAAAACTAGAGGATCTTGCCTTCATGTAAGCTAAAGTACAAGGTCAGATTCTGTTATTAGGTTATCTATCAATTTGACAATAATGTTTGGATTGCTAAAATAAAGTCACATTACTATTATAGTGAATTAACCGTTTTGGACAAGAGATATTCTGTTATGTTTTTTTTTTTTTGTTATGGTTTATCCTGAAATTTTTGGTGTGTCAATGATCCAATTTTTCATCAGTTATTTCTTTCTCATAATTCACGAAGTCATGAAGAACTGAGTGGAATTTTGTTCCAATTTGGTCAGAAGCATCCTTAGGAAACGGGAAACCAGTTTTATTTCAGCGACAGGTCAGAGTGGGCCTCAAGGAGCCAGCTCCCCTAAAATAGAAATTAAGTAAACTCTTTAAAAAATGTAGAAATGATAGGATTGTGTCCAATTTTAACAAGGCTCATTTTTGTATAAGAAATGAATGTGACAAACCTGTTGTCAGAGGGGTGGGGTCCAATAGGGAAAGTACAGATGACCTTTTGAAGTCTTTTTGTAAATGAGAGGATTTTCACCAAAAGAAAATGATTTAATCTGAAGCATCCTTAAATGGGAGGAATTCAATATTGTATAAACCAAGGACCCAAAGCCATGCTTAAGAGGCCAATTGATGGGGCCTAAACACCTACAAAATACTGCTTTGGTTTGGATAAATTAATATTAACCAAACTAAATCAGTGACACAGGGTCTCAGATTTGTTTTATAAAGGAATGAGAAATATGGGAAAAGATATTACCAAATCAAGTGTCACATGAAAGAAGAATTATATCCCTGATGGTATAGTTAGACAGGTGTTAAAATAAGAAAAATGGTCTTGACAGATTCAGCCCTTTAGGCATCTTGTAGTATATTTTGGTACAAGTATTTAAGAAGATGTCTGTATGTAGAGGCCAGTGGCTTTGTGAGTCTCATTGATCACTAGGTCACTTGTGATCAATGTATAATCATATTGTTAATTTCCAACAATCAAGAAAGGTTTCTTTTTTCTTGTTGCAGCTCACTTTACCAGACTTGAAAAGACACCTGAAAATATGTCAACAGCAAAATACAAAAATTGAACAGTTTAAGCCCATAGGATGTACCTCACAAACAATCCCTAGGTTTGTATACAGATCAATTCTCACAAACAATCCCTAGGTTTGTATGCAGATCAATTCTCACAAACAATCCCTAGGTTTGTATGCAGATCAATTCTCACAAACAATCCCTAGGTTTGTATACAGATCAATTCTCACATAATCCCTAGGTTTGTATACAGATCAATTCTCACAAACAGTCCCTAGGTTTGTATACAGATCAATTCTCACAAACAATCCCTAGTCCCTAGGTTTGTATACAGATCAATTCTCACAACAATCCCTAGGTTTGTATACAGATCAATTCTCACAAACAATCCCTAGGTTTGTATACAGATCAATTCTCACAACAATCCCTAGGTTTGTATACAGATAAATTCTCACATAATCCCTAGGTTTGTATACAGATCAATTCTCACAAACAGTCCCTAGGTTTGTATACAGATCAATTCTCACAAACAATCCCTAGGTTTGTATACAGATCAATTCTCACAAACAATCCCTAGGTTTGTATACAGATCAATTCTCACAAACAATCCCTAGGTTTGTATACAGATCAATTCTCACAAACAATCCCTAGGTTTGTATACAGATCAATTCTCACATAATCCCTAGGTTTGTATACAGGTCAATTCTCACATAATCCCTAGGTTTGTATGCAGATCAATTCTCACAAACAATCCCTAGGTTTGTATACAGATCAATTCTCACAAACAATCCCTAGGTTTGTATACAGATCAATTCTCACATAATCCCTAGGTTTGTATACAGGTCAATTCTCACAAACAATCCCTAGGTTTGTATACAGATCAATTCTCACAAACAATCCCTAGGTTTGTATACAGATCAATTCTCACAAACAATCCCTAGGTTTGTATACAGATCAATTCTCACAAACAATCCCTAGGTTTGTATACAGATCAATTCTCACAAACCCTAGGTTTGTATCCAATAGGTTTGTATACAGATTTGGTTTGTATACAGACAGATCAATTCTCACAAACAATCCCTAGGTTTGTATACAGATCAATTCCAAAGGGGTGTATACAGATCAATTCTCACAAACAATATAGGTTTGTATACAGATCAATTCTCACAAACAATCCCTAGGTTTGTATACAGATCAATTCTCACAAACCCCTATGGCCCATCCACAAGGGGGTGAGGGTATACAGGATACAGATCTCAATTCTCACAAACAATCCCTAGACCATGGCCCATCCCAAGGGGGTGAGAGGCAGGACTCAAGACCATGGCCCATCCCAAGGGGGTGAGGGGCAGGACTCAAGACCATGGCCCATCCCAAGGGGGTGAGGGGCAGGACTCAAGACCATGACCCATCCCAAGGGGGTGAGGGGCAGGACTTAAGACCATGGCCCATCCCAAGGGGGTGAGGGGCTGGACTCAAGACCATGGTCAGTCCCAAGGGGGTGAGGGTCAGGACTCAAGACCATGGCCCATCCCAAAGGTGGTGAGGGGCAGGACTCAAGACCATGGCCCATCTCAAGGGGGTTGAGGGGTAGGACTCAAGACCATGGCCCATCCCAAGGGGGTAAGGGGCTGGACTCAAGACCATGACCCATCCCAAGGGGATGAGGGGCAGGACTCAAGACCATGGCCCATCCCAAGGGGGTGAGGGGCTGGACTCAAGACCATGACCCATCCCAAGGGGGTGAGGGGCAGGACTTAAGACCATGGCCGATCCCAAGGGGGTGAGGGGCTGGACTCAAGACCATGGTCAGTCCCAAGGGGGTGAGGGTCAGGACTCAAGACCATGGCCCATCTCAAGGGGGTTGAGGGGTAGGACTCAAGACCATGGCCCATGCCAGGTGCAGGACTCAAAACTGGATCAGATTTGTAAGTTTCACTAATCTCCCTTAAACAAAGACCCAGAGTGGATAATGAATCTGGGTCAGTTGGGAGTGGGCAATATCTTAGGATTTCAGTATTGATTGATGTTGTAACTATGAGGTTATTACTAATATAACACTGTTTACCCCCGGATACCAAGGGGCTAAGGTTACTCAAAATTTTGACAATATTTTTTTCATGTTGGGATTAATTAAAAACCTTCTTCAGAACATCAGGTGATCCTTAAGGACCATGAGCCTTCTAATGCTCCCCAGAAATTATCAGAGAAACATATAAATGCATATTTGTCCTTCCATCTATCCATCTTTCCGTCAGTCCTTTTGTGTCAACAGACAATAATAAGGCGAGGATCATGAAACGTGTTATATAAATTGATCATTCTAAGATGTTATTTAGAGTTTTAGCTGCTTGTTAAAATTTTGTATAAAATACAGTTGGGGAAGCACTCATCAGTTTGACTTATATCTATGTATTTTCTTTTCAGTAATCTACCAAACAGATTGACTTTCCAGTGTCCATTGTGTGACCAGCAAAACCTGACCTGTCAAGATCTTGTTCAACATTGCAATGACAACCACAGGAAGGTCAAAACTAACATGGTAAGCATCTCAGTGTCAGGCTCATTATATCAGAATCATAGCTTCTTTGTTTACTTTACAACTGTAGCATCTCTGTGTACTGTACAGCTGTAGCGTCTATGTGTACTGAGCAGGTGTAGTGTCTCTGTGTACTGTACAGCTGTAGTGTCTCTGTGTACTGTACTGCTGTAGTGTCTCTGTGTATTGTACAGCTGTAGCGTCTCTGTGTACTGTACAGCTGTAGTGACTCTGTGTACTGTACAGCTGTAGTGTCTCTGTGTACTGTACAGCTGTAGTGTCTCTGTGTACTGTACAGCTGTAGTGACTCTGTGTACTGTGAAGGTGTAGTGTCTCTGTGTACTGTGCAGCTGTAGTGACTCTGTGTACTGTACAGCTGTAGTGACTCTGTGTACTGTACAGCTGTAGTGTCTCTGTGTACTGTACAGCTGTAGTGTCTCTGTGTACTGTACAGCTGTAGTTTCACTGTGTTCTGTACAGCTGTAGTGACTCTGTGTACTGTACAGCTGTAGTGTCTCTGTGTACTGTACAGCTGTAGTGTCTCTGTGTACTGTACAGCTGTAGTCTCTGTGTACTGTGCAGGTGTAGTGTCTTTGTGTACTGTGCAGCTGTAGTGTCACTGTGTACTGTACAGCTGTAGTGACTCTGTATACTGTACAGCTGTAGTGTCTCTGTGTACTGTACAGCTGTAGTGTCACTGTGTACTGTACAGCTGTAGTGTCTCTGTGTACTGTACAGCTGTAGTGTCACTGTGTACTGTACAGCTGTAGTGACTCTGTGTACTGTACAGCTGTAGTGACTCTTTATACTGTACAGCTGTAGTGACTCTGTGTACTGTACAGCTGTAGTGTCTCTGTGTACTGTACAGCTGTAGTTTCACTGTGTACTGTACAGCTGTAGTGACTCTGTGTACTGTACAGCTGTAGTGACTCTTTATACTGTACAGCTGTAGTGACTCTGTGTACTGTACAGCTGTAGTGACTCTGTGTACTGTACAGCTGTAGTGTCTCTGTATACTGTACAGCTGTAGTGACTCTGTGTACTGTACAGCTGTAATTTTTGAGAATAAAGTTGATTTTTCATTGGAAAGAACTTGATAAAAAGTATTAAAATAAGACGACAGTTTTGATGGTATGCAGGTATTGACACTGGCTTAATGTCATCAATGTCACTATTTCTTTTTCATGACACTTGCAAGCTACTTACTCTTTAACCTTTATATTCAATATTGCTTACCTCAGATGACTTTAAAAGTCACTAGGCCTCTTGTTGCACTAGTGTGGGTCAACACTCCAGAAGCTGGGTACTACTTGAGATAGCTTTTAAGTCCAATAATTCTGACAAATATTAACAAAGATTGTTCCATATCATTTTGCCTAAATAGACAAGCTATCATCGAACCCATGTCATTGATATATAAAGCAATATACAGTCGAAACTTGTTATCTTGAAATTCAGGGGACTTTGGAAAATAATAAGACTTGTCCGAATTTCGACTCAAAGTGTTGACGATATCATCTAAGCCATATGTCATTGATATATAAGAAATTTACAGATTGTACAAAATTTTGTTCAAATTTGATGGTAAAAATTAAAGTTATTTGACGGAAAAAAGAATCAATCTATTTTAATGTTTTTTTATTCCCATAGTTCTGACAAATATTGGCAGATTTTGAGGAAATAACGAAATGGTCTATATTAAAGATTATGAAAGCAATATCCCAAATTTTGCTCAAGTCTGACTGTAAAAAACTGAAGTAATTTGGAGGAAACAACAAAATGGTCTGCTTTAAAGATTATGAAACAATAAACCAAATTTGGTTCAAATTTGACTATAAGAAATTTAATCAATTTGGTTGAAACAAAGAAATTATCTATTTTAAAGATTATAAAGCAATAAACAAATTTGGTTCAAAGCTTATGACAAGGTCAAAAGGTCAAATGAATCAAATATAGTATCAGGAATAGAATAAGACAGAAATCATTATCTCTTAATTATAACAGCGTAAAGATGTGAGTCAAAGTTGTGTGCTAACAAACAGACAGATAGAACAAAAACAAGGGGACATAGAATTGCAATGTGGATGGTCGGATGGCTCAGTGGTAATGCACTCGCCTTTCACCTAGTTGTCCGCGGTTCGATTCCCGGAATAGATATGAAAAGGTATGGGGTCTCCTGCCCAACCATGTGTGTTTTCCCTGGGTATTCTGGTTTCCTACCACAATAAGACCCCTATCCAGGCCAACAAGAGTGATTCATATAAGTTGGAAAAACTTGTTTCGCAATTGTTGTAAAATGAATCAAAGTTTTTATTTTCAACATTGAATGTGTTTTAGCAATATCCCTATTCCTTCATTTTTTTCAATGTAATTTTCTTTTGATTTTTTGCCGTATTTTGAAGAAAAAAAAATCAAGCTCTATGGAATTCTACAGTAGTTGACAGTAAGTTTCCTCACTTGTTTTTATTTAGGTTTGTCCAGTTTGTAAGGCAATGCCGTGGGGAGACCCGAACCTACAAAGCTCAGACTTTCTTCAACATCTAAATGTCCGACACAAGTTTGAGTATGATACATTTGTGGTGAGTGATTTCCTTGAATATCTTATCTATGTGAAATAAAGGGATTGTTAACATAGAGATTAAACCAGAAGCCAGCATATAAGCATTCTTAATTTTTAGCCCACCATCATCATCAGACGGGCTATTCAGATCACCCTTTGTCCATCGTCCATTCATAAACAATTTGTGTTATCACTTTTTCTTGAGAAGTGCTTGATGGATCTCTCTCAGATTTCATATGAAGGCTCCACTTGGTCTAGTTCTGCCCATTTGATTTTGGGACTGATCAGAAAAATAAAATGGCCGACAGGTGGCCATCTTGAATTTATTCAATTAAGTTTGTTATTGTCGTTTCATGAAAAGCATGAGATGGATCTCTCTCAAATTTCATATGTAGGTTTGCCTTGGTCTCTAGATGTGCCCATTTAAGTTTAGGAGTGATCAGAAAAACAAAATGGCTGACAGATGGCCATCTTTGACTTTGACATTGCAAGTTTGTTATCACTATTTATTGAGAAGTACGGGAAGGATCTTTCTTAAATTTCATATGCACTTCATGTTGGAGGTCTACTTTTAACAGTAGCAATAAGTATTGCCAGTAACAGACTCCTTCCCCTTTTGAGGAGGGGTGAGTCTTTTATGGAGTTAAAATAAATTTGTTTCAGCAAACTGAACCAGGTGAGCGATACTGTCTTTTGTTATTGTTATATAGCAGTCTTCGATTGTCCCAACTTATTTGACCCAAGTAACCTTTTAATATGGGTCAAATTTATTTCTTTTCGCAAATTTTGGTGGACTTAATTGAAAAGAAATGACTTTGACTCATGTTCAAGGTCACAGGTTTCATATCAGTAAGGCTTCTGATGTTTGGCTAAATCAGTGTCAATGAAACTCGGCAGAACCCTTCCATGGCCGAAGGTTATCCAAAATTGTAGATTATATGGTCTTTAACTTGGTAAAAATTGTAAGGATAAGGATGACAGTTCAATGTTGTGCACATATTGACCCTGGCTGATCCCTAGGGGCTGATGGGCAAGGCCAGTAAGGTCAAATTTTGGGCCTCTTGTTTTAAAAGAAATGACCTTGATCTGCATTCAATGTCAACATCTTTTTGTTAAAACTTATAAATGACTTACATTAATTGCCTAAAGGCCCAGAATCATGATATTTGGCAGATGGAGCTTGTTGGAAGTTTAAAACAGTGGTATGAAATGCTTGTGTATTTGATATATGCATTGAATAATACCCTGTGAGAGATACAGGCCCATTTGGCCTCTTGTAGTAATTATAAAACAAAAACTGTTCAATTTACCGGAGTTGAATCTTGACAGATTCCAATAAACTTGATAATAAAGAAAGTTGATTCTTACATAACCATGTATTGTAGGCTTAATATGGTAAAACATTTCCATGTATTGTAGGCTTGATATGGTAAAACATATCCATGTATTGTAGGCTTAATATGGTAAAACATACGGTATCCATGTATTGTAGGCTTGATATGGTAAAACATGTCCATGTATTGTAGGCTTAATATGGTAAAACATATCCATGTATTGTAGGCTTAATATGGTAAAACATTTCCATGTATTGTAGGCTTAATATGGTAAAACATATCCATGTATTGTAGGCTTGATGTGGTAAAACATATCCATGTATTGTAGGCTTAATATGGTAAAACATCCATGTATTGTAGGCTTGATGTGGTAAAACATATCCATGTATTGTAGGCTTAATATGGTAAAACATTTCCATGTATTGTAGGCTTAATATGGTAAAACATATCCATGTATTGTAGGCTTGATGTGGTAAAACATATCCATGTATTGTAGGCATTCCATGTATTGTAGGCTTAATATGGTGAAACATACGGTATCCATGTATTGTAGGCTTGATATGGTAAAACATATCCATGTATTGTAGGCTTAATATGGTAAAACATGTCCATGTATTGTAGGCTTAATATGGTAAAACATATCCATGTATTGTAGGCTTAATATGGTAAAACATCCATGTATTGTAGGCTTGATATGGTAAAACATATCCATGTATTGTAGGCTTGATATGGTAAAACATATCCATGTATTGTAGGCTTAATATGGTAAAACATATCCATGTATTGTAGGCTTAATATGGTAAAACATATCCATGTATTGTAGGCTTAATATGGTAAAACATATCCATGTATTGTAGGCTTAATATGAAACATATTGTAGGCTTGATATGGTAAAACATATCCATGTATTGTAGGCTTGATATGGTAAAACATATCCATGTATTGTAGGCTTAATATGGTAAAACATATCCATGTATTGTAGGCTTAATATGGTGAAACATACATATGTATTGTAGGCTTGATATGGTAAAGCATATCCATGTATTGTAGGCTTAATATGGTAAAACATATCCATGTATTGTAGGCTTAATATGGTAAAACATATCCATGTATTGTAGGCTTAATATGGTGAAACATATCCATGTATTGTAGGCTTAATATGGTGAAACATACAGTATCCATGTATTGTAGGCTTGATATGGTAAAACATATCCATGTATTGTAGGCTTAATATGGTAAAACATATCCATGTATTGTAGGCTTAATATGGTAAAACATATCCATGTATTGTAGGCTTAATATGGTAAAACATCCATGTATTGTAGGCTTGATATGGTAAAACATATCCATGTATTGTAGGCTTGATGTGGTAAAACATACAGTATCCATGTATTGTAGGCTTGATATGGTAAAACATATCCATGTATTGTAGGCTTAATATGGTAAAACATAACCATGTATTGTAGGCTTAATATGGTAAAACATATCCATGTATTGTAGGCTTGATGTGGTAAAACATATCCATGTATTGTAGGCTTAATATGGTAAAACATATCCATGTATTGTAGGCTTAATATGGTAAAACATAACCATGTATTGTAGGCTTAATATGGTAAAACATATCCATGTATTGTAGGCTTAATATGGTAAAACATATGGTATCCATGTATTGTAGGCTTGATATGGTAAAACATGTCCATGTATTGTAGGCTTAATATGGTAAAACATATCCATGTATTGTAGGCTTGATGTGGTAAAACATATCCATGTATTGTAGGCTTAATATGGTAAAACATATCCATGTATTGTAGGCTTAATATGGTAAAACATATCCATGTATTGAAACATTCTTTAAAATGTTTACTGGTTAAAAAAAACTGGCTTTTTGTTTTTTCAGGATTATGAACAAGATGATGAGGAAATGCTGCGACAAGCGATTGAGGCTTCGATGAAACATTACTGAGTGAAATCAATGTTAACAGGAAAACTCTGTGATATGCTGTAAAGCTATAGAAAAGGGGCAAAGATCTCAGTGATTTTTAATAGTAAAAGCTCCAACATTAAAATGACTATTCATTGACTTGTTTAAGTTTGTCATCTGACTTTTCTGGTTCAGGTGACCTTTATCATGTTTCTCCCATCATTGTACACTATGCATGGCAGCAATGCACTTTGAACCTCAATTTTAAAATCCTACCCCAGAGGAAAATTTTTGCAAAAACCACTCTTGCCAAATGCCTGAATGGACTTAATCCTGATACATCATTAGGGAAGGATTATAACCATATCATATATAAATGGGGGTTACATAACCCCAAGGGACCAGGATGTCGGGGACCTTGCCTTTTGGGGAATCAAGGAGTTTTGTTCAAAATGGGTATTTCTCAAAAATGCAAAGACAGATTTTGCTGAAAATTGGTAGGAAACAACAATTTAGTGTAAGAGACCAAGAGTTATTTATTTTAGTTGGTACTACTTAATTACATATTTATTAAATTAAGCTCCTGACTAACAGAATGAGGCTCCATAGGGGAAAAAAAGAGGTTAATCCTCAGGACAAAGTGAGGCTCGGGAAAATAGAAGTCAATAGTCCTCAGGACTAACATTGTGAGGTTCAATGGGAAAAAAATGTTACTCCTTGGGACTGAAAGAGTGAGGTTCAATAGGGAAAACTGGTTAATCCTCAGGACTAACAAAACAGAGTGAGGCTCAATAGGAAAAACAGGTTAACCCTTAGAACTAACAAAACAGAGTGAGGCTCAATAGGAAAAACAGGTTAACCCTTAGAACTAACAAAACAGAGTGAGGCTCAATAGGAAATAGACAGGGTAATCCTCAGGATTAACAAAACAGATAGAGGCTCAATAGGGAAACAGGTTAACCCTTAGAACTAACAAAACAGTGTGAGGCTCCATAGGGAAATGCAGGTTAATCCTCAGGACAAACAGAATGATACTCATCAGGGGAAATACAGATTAATCCATTTTTGCTTTGAATATATAGCATCTTTTTGAGTAAGGAGAACTAGGTCAGTCTGGTACCTTTGGGGGTAGAGGGCTGGGAGCTGAATGGTCCCTTTGGGGGTAGAGGGCTGGGGGCTGAATGGTCCCCTTGGGAGTAGAAGATTGGGGCTGAATGGTTCCTTTGGGGGTAGAGGGCTGGGAGCTGAATGGTCTCTTTGGGGGGTAGAGGGCTGGGGGCTGAATGGCTCCTTTGGGGGGGTAGAGGGCTGGGGGCTGAATGGCTCCTTTGGGGGGGTAGAGGGCTGGGGGCTGAATGGCTCCTTTGGGGGGTAGAGGGCTGGGGGCTGAATGGCTCCTTTGGAGGGTAGAGGGCTGGGGGCTGAATGGTCCCCTTGGGAGTGGAAGATTGGGGCTGAATGGTCCCTTTGGGGGTAGAGGGCTGGGGCTGAATGGACCCTTTCGGGGTAGAGGGTTGGGGCTGAATGGTTCCTTTGGGGGGTAGAGGGGTGGGGCTGAATGGGGCAAAGAATGTAAGTGTTTATCTCTTTATGCTCCCTAAAAACTTTGGACGGAGCATTTATGGTCACCATATTGTCCATTTTTCTGCCTGTGCTTTTATGTCTGGAGCATAACTTTGCCCATGGTTAAGCAAGCTAAGGATCATGAATACATTGGTCATACTAAGGGGATGTGCAATGTACCAAATTCAGGGCCCTCAACCCCTCAATTAAAGAGTTCCTGCTTTTTGTTAAAATTTTGTTTCCTGAGCATAACTTGCTTTCATTGAAATAAGGATAATGAAACTAGGTGTATACATTGTGCATTGTACCAAGGTTAGGGCCTGCAGCCCCTCAATACACAGTTATTTTAATCTTGTTTCATGAGCCGAACTTTGCTTGCATTAAAATTAGGATTATGAAACTTGGTGTTTAAATTGATCATACTAAGACAATATGCAGTGTACCAAATTCAGGGCCTGCAACACTTAATTACAAAATTATTGCCCTTTATTGAAATATTGTGTCCTATCAAGTTGTTTTGGGGGTAGTATTTATCAGTTTCAATGATACTCACATTTGACAGATTTTTGGGAGGGGCGTCCTTTTAGGAAGTTTCTTTTTTTAACTGATCTTGGCCTCCAGGGAACAGAGAACCAAACCCCAATTGACAGGGCATGGCAAAAACTTTCTAAAGCATACATTCTGGGATAAAGGCCAAGTTAATAGTACTTCTCTGGATGAGGAATTCACTAGTCTAGAAATTTTACATTGAAATTTTCAAACCATGAATAGACTGTTCACACAACATGTGTCAGGCTTTCAGTCAAGTTGTGAATCAGTTGTTGGTATATGCTAAAACAGCTACCAACAGTAAGTGTGCTGAACTAGTCATGATTTAAAGGACGTCCAACAACAGAGATTGTGTGAACATTGGTAATCGTTCGTGACAAATTGTGATATATTTTAAGAAGAATCTAAAGAAAAATAGCACTAACAAAACATGATATTTGTTAAAGGTCATTTTGGTTGATGTTTCTTTCAAGTCACATGTTTCATGGCATATGTCTCTGTTTTTAGTTTGTTCAACCAAGGAAAAACAAATGTAAATTTTGCCAAGCCATTTCCATTCGGATAACCTTGGTCGTCCGACTTATACCGATAACTTGGAACACTTGGACCTTATGTATACCACAGATTTGTCATAATCATTGCTAATAAAATCCTGTTTTGTTCAGAATTTGTTCCAGGAGGCACAAAATGACTTGAATACATGATAAAACTTTATGGTTTTAACAACAATCACAAAGAGAATGTGTGGGATTATGTGAAATAAATCTACACATCTGACAGAATAGTTGCCAATAAAAGTAATTTATCAGTCCGCAAAGTCCAAACATGAGGACAAGCGGACGAGTACTTGTGCCGGGCCCTGCCAAAGGGAAAATATATAGAGATGTCTTCTTCTATCTGTTCATGCTGAAATAAATGATAACAAAACGATGTCTGCTTTCATAGATTTTTATGCTGGATACAAGTAAATCAGACATGATAACAGCTTCTTGTTGATGATGGTATCTGTGTTATTTGACACATTCAATGATCTCCAGGCACAAAATAAAATGGATGGCTTTTCTCATGAAACAACAATCACACAACAGAGATACAACAATCTGACCTCAAAGGCCGACAGAATTTTTTTTAGTCATACAAAGGTCAACCATTAACGAAAGTTTAATCTCAAACACATTTTTTATAAACATATAGCTGCCCATATCATTAACGAGATCTTTGTTATGTTGCTTAAGACTTCTGGCTCCTGCGAAATCTTCACATACAATATATCAGATGTCCTGTGATGTTTGTTGGGGAGATGCTATCAAACTGATCAAATCAAAAAAGGCAATATGGTGGTTATATATCTATCTACCATTAGTAACGAAATTAGAAGGACAATTATTGGTTAATCAAATACAAGTAGGTAAATACATGTAATCATCACAGCTCTGATTAAAAGGTGGCCTTTATCATTAGCGAATTTTTACATGAAGATAAAAATTGTTATAAAACACAAAACTACATATCTGACAATATCTAATATATTGATAAATGAATATTGATTATAATGTCATCATACTGTTAACCATCTTTCTATTGAGGCCATTCCTTATTGCGATTTTAGTAATATAATGTTTGCAATGACTTACATTAGGCCTTAGAGACCTAAATCGCTCACCTGGCTAATTCAGGTATTCAGTCAACTGATAAAGAATTTCAAATATGACCAGCAATTTTCTGATATAATTTCCTTATTGAGTCACGCCCATATGGTCTAACAGAAGTCAGATTCACTATTGATAAAAAAATGCACCAGGCCAAACATGGATAATATCCTTGAGAGGAAGAAGGATTTTTTATGACCTTACATTTCCCTAACTGTAGTGACCTGTTCACAGACTGGAACGTATTTCTGGTAAAATACCCAATGCAATCGACCAGTCTAACCAACTTCAACCTTATATTGTTTGGACAGGGATGTGAGGGTTGTCCAAGTTTTCAAAAGCTTAAATGACTTCATATACAGATTACACAGTCAAAGAATTCAAACATGCTACTGATCTCAGCTGGAGATTTACAAAACGCCAAACTGCTCAGAATTGAATACTCATGGGAATGAATTGTTCTGACACTGAATTTCAGCATAGATTTACAATTGGGGTTTAACTGTATACCATATACATGGATTCAAGATAGACTGTAAGTTAAGTAGTCAGCATCATAAAGCTGCAAATGTGAAACATGATTGTTGATGTTCTTTATGTTTTAATTTGTGGCATTTAATTTTCATAATTTTATTTTAATTGCAAAATTTCGCAAAAGTAAATTGTGCACTAAAGAAATATGGTTAACAGTAGTAAAATATCAGAGCCTCTGACATAGATTCCTTCAAATGTTAACAAAAAAATCACCCAATAGGTTTGATAAAAGCAAAAATGTCATTTACAGGAAAGAGTCGTAAGATAGTTGTCGACTTCCATCACCGGATAAACACCAGGTTTTCATCAGGAAACATTTCCACTTGTTTTATCGTCTAATCTTCATCATCACTGCTATCAGTCTCGTCATCTTCCTTCTTAGGAGTGTTCACAATCTTGGTCATGGCTGAACCCTCAACATTCACAAGCTGGTCGCTGTTGAATGTAACTGTGAGGCGTCTGCGTCGGCTGTAGCGGCGATTTGGACAAAGCATAAATTCCTCCGTCACATATTCTCCTGGAGAGATAGGTTTCCTAAAGGAAAAGATAATTGTCACTTTAAAGTCACACTACCAATTGTACATGGCAAAAATGTCTACTGAGGAATACTTATTGTATAGTTGTTAATATTTGGGGGTTTTATTTCAGTATACTAATTATAGACATCGTACAATCTGACACAGACCTTTAGACAGTGTACAATATGACACAGACCTTTAGACAGTGTACAATATCACATAGACCTTTAGACAATGTACAATATGACGCAGACCTTTAGACAGTGTACAATATGACACAGACCTTTAGACAGTGTACAATATGAAATGGACCTTTAGACAGTGTACAATATGACATGGACCTTTAGACAGTGTACAATATGACACGGACCTTTAGACAGTGTACAATATGACACGGACCTTTAGACAGTGTACAATATGACACGGACCTTTAGACAGTGTACAATATGACACGGACCTTTAGACAGTGTACAATATGACACAGACCTTTAGACAGTGTACAATATGAAACACCTTTAGACAGTGTACAATATGAACAGGACCTTTAGACAGTGTACAATATGAAATGGACCTTTAGACAGTGTACAATATGACATGGACCTTTAGACAGTCTACAATATGACCTGGACCTTTAGACAGTGTACAATATGACACGGACCTTTAGACAGTGTACAATATGACACGGACCTTTCGACTGTACAATCTGACACAGACCTTTAGACAGTGTACAATATGATACAGACCTTTAGACAGTGTACAATATGACATAGACCTTTAGACAGTGTACAATATGACACGGACCTTTAGACAATGTACAATATGACACAGACCTTTAGACAGTGTACAATATGACACAGACCTTTAGACAGTGTACAATATGACATGGACCTTTAGACGGTCTACAATATGACACAGACCTTAAGACAGTGTACAATATGACACAAACCTTTAGACAGTGTACAATATGACACAGACCTTTTAGACAGTGTACAATATGACACAGACCTTTAGACAGTGCACAATATGAAATGGACCTTTAGACAGTGTACAATATGACACAGACCTTTAGACAGTGTACAATATGACATGGACCTTTAGACAATGTACAATATGACACAGACCTTTAGACAGTCTACAATATGACATGGATCTTTAGACAGTGTACAATATGACATGGACCTTTAGACAGTGTACAATATGACACGGACCTTCAGACAGTGCACAATATGACACAGACCTTTAGACAGTGTACAATATGACACAGACCTTTAGACAGTGTACAATATGACATAGACCTTTAGACAGTGTACAATATGACACGGACCTTTAGACAGTGTACAATATGACATAGACCTTTAGACAGTGTACAATATGAAACACCTTTAGACAGTGTACAATATGACACAGACCTTTAGACAGTGTACAATATGACATAGACCTTTAGACAGTGTACAATATGACACAGACCTTTAGACAGTGTACAATATGACATAGACCTTTAGACAGTGTACAATATGACACGGACCTTTAGACAGTGTACAATATGACATAGACCTTTAGACAGTGTACAATATGAAACACCTTTAGACAGTGTACAATATGACACAGACCTTTAGACAGTGTACAATATGACATGGACCTTTAGACAGTGTACAATATGACACGGACCTTTAGACAGTGCACAATATGACACGGACCTTTAGACAGTGTACAATATGACATGGACCTTTAGACAAACTAGGATATATCACAAGTTACATGTAATTATGTCCAATCATATGCAAGAGCAATTGTATTAATCACAATTATAATAAGGGATTAATTTTTAAATTTTTCCCCCTGTAGGTCCAAAGTTTTACAACTTAATCAAAACAAGAGTGCATGTCTGTATACATAAGCAATGAGCAAGCTACAGACACAAAGTTGAAAATGGCATCAATCTTACAATAATCAAGGAACTGTAAAATCGACCCTTCATGTACATAAAACCATTGTATTAGTAACATTGGGCAAGTTTTATGAAAATCTAATCATTAGTTTAGGAGGAGTTGCTTTCACAAGAAATGGACGTAAAAATAGACAGACGGAGAAGATGACGCCAATATACAACCGCCTCCAGCAGCGTATAAAAATTGAAGCATGTGAACTTACTTAATAGGTATTTTGAAACCATCACTCATAAGTCCGCTGCCTGCATCACAGGAAAACATGCCATTTGTCAAAGTGATGTTTGTAATGTTATGGAATACCACTTTGCCAGGGGTATCAGTCATGTATGGAGTCAGTGTTGGGATCTGTAATAAAGAGATAATTACATAAATTCTAAAAAAAGATAACATTTAAACTTTAATAGACAAAATTGTGATTGACACCTGTTGGCCATATTAATCTTCACAGTCGACCATCTCATGATATTAGCTTAAGGATGCTGAACATGTCATATCATTTAAAAGGAGCAGGTAAGTGTGGCACGTAGATGTGGCAAACATGGTCTCTGTCATTCAACTGACAGGTAGGTGTGACATGTACATGGTGCTAAATATGGTCTCTGTCACTCAACTGACAGGTAGGTGTGACACGTACATGGTGCTAAATATGGTCTCTGTCACTCAACTGACAGGTAGGTGTGACATGTACATGGTGTTAACTATGGTCTCTGTCATTCAACTGACATGTAGGTGTGACATGTACATGGTGCTAAATATGGTCTCTGTCACTCAACTGACAGGTAGGTGTGACACGTACATGGTGCTAAATATGGTCTCTGTCACTCAACTGACAGGTAGGTGTGACATGTACATGGTGTTAACTATGGTCTCTGTCACTCAACTGACATGTAGGTGTGACATGTACATGGTGCTAAATATGGTCTCTGTCACTCAACTGACAGGTAGGTGTGACACGTACATGGTGCTAAATATGGTCTCTGTCACTCAACTGACAGGTAGGTGTGACACGTACATGGTGTTAACTATGGTCTCTGTCACTCAACTGACAGGTAGGTGTGACATGTACATGGTGCTAAATATGGTCTCTGTCACTCAACTGACAGGTAGGTGTGACATGTACATGGTGCTAAATATGGTCTCTGTCACTCAACTGACAGGTAGGTGTGACAGGTACATGGTGTTAACTATGGTCTCTGTCACTCAACTGACATGTAGGTGTGACAGATACATGGTGTTAACTATGGTCTCTGTCACTCAACTGACATGTAGGTGTGACATGTACATGGTGTTAACTATGGTCTCTGTCACTCAACTGACAGGTAGGTGTGACACGTACATGGTGTTAACTATGGTCTCTGTCACTCAACTGACTGGTAGGTGTGACACGTACATGGTGTTAACTATGGTCTCTGTCACTCAACTGACAGGTAGGTGTGACACGTACATGGTGTTAACTATGGTCTCTGTCACTCAACTGACAGGTAGGTGTAACTTGTACATTATCACACCATCAAGTTCCACGATGAAGTTACGTGACATCACACTATCAAGTTCCACGATAACGGTACGTGACATCACACCAGGTTCCATGATGACGGTACATGACATCACACCATCAAGTTCCAAGATAACGGTATGTGACATCACACCACTAAGTTCCACACTGACTGTCTGTGACATCACACCATCAAGTTTCACTCCTGTTTAGTAGTCATCAGTGATGACTGATGACTGAATGAGTGATGCTGAAAGGTCATACTTAACCATTTTCAAAATAAAAAGCATGTTTCTGTACACGACAGAGACATGGTAAATATCCGGAAGGATTAAGTTCTTGCTTTCACCAAAACGTGGTAGCATTAAAATTTACCAAAGGAAACCTACATCTTGAGGAAATTTGAGGATGATCCATCCTGTACCAAAACAAGAAATAATTTTCCTTGTTCTTTGTTCTTGCCTTAAACATGTATTGCATCATGAGATGAATTAATTGGTAAACAAGGGCAGTATGTTTCCATTCATAGCAATATCAAATGGAATTGTAAAAATCAAAGATGGCTACTTTTCTGCAAATTGCTTTTGCAATGAGCTCCAATAATGAAATTCATCCATCGAGTTCTTCTCTAGAAACAGTGATAACAAATTACATTAATTTCTTATAGCTGTCAAAATCCAAGATGACCACTTTTAAGCCATTTTTATTTTCTGATCAGTCCCAAAATGGACAATTCATAACTAGGGACCAAGGCAAACCTACATAATTAAGAAATTTGAGAATGTTCTATGTATAGATCTAGATGGATGGACAATGGACTGACGGTCTCATTGATGATGCAAGGAGGTACAACAGGATCAGTCACTAATCCCATTGTGTTTGGGGGGCACAGTGGCAGCACACTTGCTTTCACAAAACAGATGTGAAAAAGTATGTGGTCACCTGCCCAACCATGCAGGTTTTCCCTGTACTCCAGTTTCCACAGAAAGAGCCCGTCCACACTTCCATTCTGGCCAACAAGAGCGGTGAAATCAGTTTAAAGCTTGTCTCACAATTTTTGTAAAATAAATGAAGTTGATATTATATAAACCTACATATGGCCATCAGACAAATACTTATATCAACAGTGAGGTCAGTCAACATCAACACCTCAGACAGAACATGCATGCAGCCATCAGACAAATACTTACATCAACAGTCAGGTCTGGAGTAGCCAACATCAACACCTCAGACAGAACATGCATGCGATTATTAGACACATTCTTCACATTGGCATACACCTGGAACCTTCCTTCAGGATTCCTTTTCTTTTCATATTCCTTCCCTGTTACCATCATAGTAACTGTTTCCACTGAAAAAGGAATTATAATACTATAGACTACAGTATCAGGTTATATAAACTACAGTATCAGGTTATATAGACTACAGTATCAGGTTATATATAAACTACAGTATCAGGTTATATATAAACTACAGTATCAGGTTATATATAAACTACAGTATCAGGTTATATATAAACTACAGTATCAGGTTATATAGACTACAGTATCAGGTTATATATAACTACAGTATCAGGTTATATATAAACTACAGTATCAGGTTATATATAAACTACAGTATCAGGTTATATAAACTACAGTATCAGGTTATATATAAACTACAGTATCAGGTTATATATAAACTACAGTATCATGTTATATATAAACTACAGTATCAGGTTATATATAAACTACAGTATCAGGTTATATATAAACTACAGTATCATGTTATATATAAACTACAGTATCAGGTTATATATAAACTACAGTATCAGGTTATATATAAACTACAGTATCAGGTTATATATACTACAGTATCAGGTTATATATCAACTACAGTATCAGGTTATATATAAACTACAGTATCAGGTTATATAGACTATAGTATCAGGTTATATAGACTACAGTATCAGGTTATATATAAACTACAGTATCAGGTTATATATAAACTACAGTATCAGGTTATATATAAACTACAGTATCAGGTTATATAGACTACAGTATCAGGTTATATATAAACTACAGCATCAGGTTATGATACAGTACTACACCGACTGTATGGTTGTTTATCAGGTTATAATACAGTACTACACCGACTGTATGGTTGTTTATCAGGTTATAATACAGTACTACACCGACTGTATGGTTGTTTATCAGGTTATAATACAGTACTACACCGACTGTATGGTTGTTTATCAGGTTATAATACAGTACTACACCGACTGTATGGTTGTTTATCAGGTTATAATACAGTACTACACCGACTGTATGGTTGTTTATCAGGTTATAATACAGTACTACACCGACTGTATGGTTGTTTATCAGGTTATAATACAGTACTACACCGACTGTATGGTTGTTTATCAGGTTATAATACAGTACTACACCGACTGTATGGTTGTTTATCAGGTTATAATACAGTACTACACCGACTGTATGGTTGTTTATCAGGTTATAATACAGTACTACACCGACTGTATGGTTGTTTATCAGGTTATAATACAGTACTACGCCGACTGTATGGTTGTTTATCAGGTTATAATACAGTACTACGCCGACTGTATGGTTGTTTATCAGGTTATAATACAGTACTACGCCGACTGTATGGTTGTTTATCAGGTTATAATACAGTACTACGCCGACTGTATGGTTGTTTATCAGGTTATAATACAGTACTACGCCGACTGTATGGTTGTTTATCAGGTTATAATACAGTACTACGCCGACTGTATGGTTGTTTATCAGGTTATAATACAGTACTACGCCGACTGTATGGTTGTTTATCAGGTTATAATACAGTACTACGCCGACTGTATGGTTGTTTGTCAGGTTATAATACAGTACTACGCCGACTGTATGGTTGTTTGTCAGGTTATAATACAGTACTACGCCGACTGTATGGTTGTTTGTCAGGTTATAATACAGTACTACGCCGACTGTTATAATACAGTACTACGTGTATGGTTTGTCAGGTTATAATACAGTACTACGCCGACTGTATGGTTGTTTTTCAGGTTATAATACAGTACTACACCGACTGTATGGTTGTTTGTCAGGTTATAATACAGTACTACGCCGACTGTATGGTTGTTTGTCAGGTTATAATACAGTACTACGCCGACTGTATGGTTGTTTGTCAGGTTATAATACAGTACTACGCCGACTGTATGGTTGTTTGTCAGGTTATAATACAGTACTACGCCGACTGTATGGTTGTTTGTCAGGTTATAATACAGTACTACGCCGACTTTATGGTTGTTTGTCAGGTTATAATACAGTACTACGCTGACTGTATGGTTGTTTGTCAGGTTATAATACAGTACTACGCCGACTGTATGGTTGTTTGTCAGGTTATAATACAGTACTACACTGACTGTATGGTTGTTTATCAGGTTATAATACAGTACTACACTGACTGTATGGTTGTTTATCAGGTTATAATACAGTACTACACTGACTGTATGGTTGTTTATCAGGTTGTTTATCAGGTTATAATACAGTACTACACTGACTGTATGGTTGTTTATACAGGTTATAATACAGTACTACACTGACTGTAGGTTATAATACAGTACTACACTGACTGTATGGTTGTTTATCAGGTTATAATACAGTACTACACTGACTGTATGGTTGTTTATCAGGTTATAATACAGTACTACACTGACTGTATGGTTGTTTATCAGGTTATAATACAGTACTACACTGACTGTATGGTTGTTTATCAGGTTATAATACAGTACTACACCGACTGTATGGTTGTTTATCAGGTTATAATACAGTACTACACCGACTGTATGGTTGTTTATCAGGTTATAATACAGTACTACACCGACTGTATGGTTGTTTATCAGGTTATAATACAGTGTATGGTTGTTTATCAGGTTATAATACAGTACTACGCTGACTGTATGGTTGTTTATCAGGTTATAATACAGTACTACACTGACTGTATGGTTGTTTATCAGGTTATAATACAGTACTACACCGACTGTATGGTTGTTTATCAGGTTATAATACAGTACTACACCGACTGTATGGTTGTTTATCAGGTTATAATACAGTACTACACCGACTGTATGGTTGTTTATCAGGTTATAATACAGTACTACACCGACTGTATGGTTGTTTATCAGGTTATAATACAGTACTACACTGACTGTATGGTTGTTTATCAGGTTATAATACAGTACTACACTGACTGTATGGTTGTTTATCAGGTTATAATACAGTACTACACTGACTGTATGGTTGTTTATCAGGTTATAATACAGTACTACACCGACTGTATGGTTGTTTATCAGGTTATAATACAGTACTACGCTGACTGTATGGTTGTTTGAGCTTCCATGTGTTTTATTGGTATCTTTATGAAGCCAGTATTTTTTTTATTGCATTCTACATGAAAATTTGTAGTTTTTGACAATAAACGTAATTTCTCACCCCTGTTGCCTGGAATAACACACTCCATTTTCTCGGTTTTTACTCTGCGACCAGCAATACCTGTGTAGTATGCATTTAGAACTGTAATGCGGATGTGTACTTTACGGTCCTCCTTTTCCAAGTTAATGACCTTGACCTTGATCTCAACATCTTCTCCAATCATCGTGTTGTTTGGAAGATCAAGCTCCAGATCAACTTCCTTTTTAGGCTCCTGTTCGTAAATCCTCTCCTTTCTTTTGCTTCCAAATTGATTTACAAACTTCACAACTCTTCGTTCATCAACAGATCCTTACATGGATAAACAAATAAGTATATCATCAAATTTCATATGTCTAGAAACTTTGAATGTATTCAAACAAATCATCTAGAATGCCTCATATATCAAAAAAAAACTGACACGTTCCATACAGAAGGTAACACCTTCTCATAGGACTACACCTCCCATAGCACTACTTCTCCCATAGGACTACACCTCCCACAGGACAACACCCCTCATAGGACTACATCTCCCACAGGACTACACCTCTCATAGGACTACACCTCCCACAGGACTTAACCTCCCATAGGACTCCAGACTACATCTCCCACAGGACTACACCTCTCATAGGACTACACCTCCCACAGGACTTAACCTCCCATAGGACTCCAGACTACATCTCCCACAGGACTACACCTCCCATAGGACTACACCTCCAATAGGACTACACCTCCCACAGGACTATACCTCCCACAGGTCTACACCTCCCATAGGACTACACCTCCCACAGGACTACACCTCCCATAGGACTCCAGACTACATCTCCTACAGGACTACACCTCCCACAGGACTACACCTCTCAAACGACAATTTCTCCCATAGGACTACACCTCCCATAGGACTACACCTTCCATAGGACTACACCTCTCATAGATCTGCACCTCTCATAGGACTACACCTCTCATAGAACTACACCTCCCATACGACTACTTCTCCCATAGGACTACATCTCTCATAGGACTACACCTCCAATAGGACTACACCTCCCACAGGACTACACCTCCCACAGGACTACACCTCTCATAGGACTACACCTCCCACAGGACTTAACCTCCCATAGGACTACACCTCCAATAGGACTACACCTCCCACAGGACTATACCTCCCACAGGTCTACACCTCCCATAGGACTACACCTCCCACAGGACTACACCTCCCACAGGACTACACCTCCCATAGGACTCCAGACTACATCTCCTACAGGACTACACCTCCCACAGGACTACACCTCCCATAGGACTACACCTCTCAAACGACAATTTCTCCCATAGGACTACACCTCCCATAGGACTACACCTTCCATAGGACTACACCTCTCATAGATCTGCACCTCTCATAGGACTACACCTCTCATAGGACTACACCTCCCATACGACTACTTCTCCCATAGGACTACATCTCTCATAGGACTACACCTCTCATAGGTCCGCACCTCTTATAGGACTACACCTCCCACAGGACTTAACCTCCCATAGGACTCCAGACTACATCTCCCACAGGACTACACCTCCCACAGGACTACACCTCCCATAGGACTCCAGACTACATCTCCTACAGGACTACACCTCCCACAGGACTACACCTCCCATAGGACTACACCTCTCAAACGACTATTTCTCCCATAGGACTACACCTCCCATAGGACTACACCTTCCATAGGACTACACCTCTCATAGATCTGCACCTCTAATAGGACTACACCTCTCATAGGACTACACCTCCCATACGACTACTTCTCCCATAGGACTACATCTCCCATAGGACTACACCTCTCATAGGTCTGCACCTCTCATAGGACTACACCTCCCACAGGACTTAACCTCCCATAGGACTCCAGACTACATCTCCCACAGGACTACACCTCCCATAGGACTACACCTCCAACAGGACTACACCTCCCACAGGACTACACCTCCCATAGGACTACACCTCTCAAGACTACACCTCCCACAGGACTACACCTCCCATAGGACTACACCTCTCAATACGGACTACACCTCCCATAGGACTACACTCCCATAGGACACACCTCCCATAGGACTACATAGGACTACACCTCCCATAGGACTACACCTCTCATAGGACTACACCTCTGCCATAGGACTACACCTCTAGGACTACACCTCCCATCCCTATAGGACTACACCTCCCATAGGACTACACCTCTCATAGGACTACACCTCCCATACGACTACACCTCCCATAGGACATCTCTCATAGGACTACACCTCCCATAGGACTACACCTCCCATAGGACTACACCTCCCACAGGACTACACCTCCCACAGGACTACATCTCCCATAGGACTACACCTCCAATAGGACTACACCTCCCACAGGACTATACCTCCCACAGGTCTACACCTCCCATAGGACTACACCTCCCACAGGACTACACCTCCCATAGGACTACACCTCCCATAGGACTAGACTACATCTCCTACACCTCCCACAGGACTACACCTCCCACAGGACTACACCTCCCATAGGACTACACCTCCCCATAGGACTACTACACCTCCCAGGACCATAGGACTACACCTCTCATAGATCTACACCTCTCATAGGACTACACCTCTCATAGGACTACACCTCCCATACGACTACTTCTCCCATAGGACTACATCTCTCATAGGACTACACCTCTCATAGGTCCGCACCTCTTATAGGACTACACCTCCCACAGGACTACATCTCCCATAGGACTACACCTCCCATAGGACTACACCTTCCATAGGACTACACCTCTCATAGATCTGCACCTCTCATAGGACTACACCTCTCATAGGACTACACCTCTCATAGGACTACACCTCTCACAGGACAACCCCAATGACTACACCTCTCATAGGACTACACCTCCCATAGGACTACACCTCTCACAGGACTACACCTCTCATAGGACTACATCTCCCATAGGACTACACCTCTCACAGGACAACCCCAATGACTACACCTCCCATAGGACTACACCTCTCACAGGACTACACCTCTCATAGGACTACACCTCTCACAGGACTACACCTCTCATAGGACTACATCTCTCACAGGACTTCACCTCCCACAGGACTACACCTCCCCAACGACTACACCTCTCATAAGACTACATCTCTCATAAGACTACATCTCTCATAGGACTACACCTCTCATAGGACTACACCTCTCATAAGACTACATCTCTCATAGGACTACACCTCCCACAGGACTACATCTCTCATAGGACTACACCTCCCATAGGACTACATCTCTCATAGGACTACACCTCCCATAGGACTACACCTCCCCAACGACTACACCTCCCATAGGACTACACCTCTCATAGGTCCACACCTCTCATAGGACTACACCTCTCACAGGATAACCCCAACGACTACACCTCTCATAGGACTACACCTCTCATCCTTTTTGACTGACCTCACCTTCAGGATGCTTATTCAGCGCTGTGACATCCTTATTCACTGACCTCACCTTCAGGATACTTATACAGCGCTGTGACATCCTTATTCACTGACCTCACCTTCAGGATACTTATACAGCCCCGTGATATCCTTATTCACTGACCTCACCTTCAGGATACTTATACAGCCTTGTGACATCCTTATTGACTGACCTCACCTTCAGGATACTTATACAGCCTTGTGACATCCTTATTGACTGACCTCACCTTCAGGATACTTATACAGCCTTGTGATATCCTTATTGACTGACCTCACCTTCAGGATACTTATACAGCCTTGTGATGTCCTTATTGACTGACCTCACCTTCAGGATACTTATACAGCCCTGTGACATCCTTATTGACTGACCTCACCTTCAGGATACTTATACAGCCCTGTGATATCCTTATTGACTGACCTCACCTTCAGGATACTTATACAGCCTTGTGACATCCTTATTCACTGACCTCACCTTCAGGATACTTATACAGCCTTGTGACATCCTATTGACTGACCTCACCTTCAGGATACTTATACAGCCTTGTGATATCCTTATTGACTGACCTCACCTTCAGGATACTTATACAGCCCTGTGATGTCCTTATTGACTGACCTCACCTTCAGGATACTTATACAGCCCTGTGACATCCTTATTGACTGACCTCACCTTCAGGATACTTATACAGCCCTGTGACATCCTTATTGACTGACCTCACCTTCAGGATACTTATACAGCCCTGTGACATCCTCCCTGTCACTTGAACCTATGGCCTTGGTACTGATGTTCTTGCCGATTGCAAATTTGTCAATATTGGTCACTTCCATACTCCCATCCTCATTTATCTAAAACAGTTATTAAAACAATAGTCACCAAAATTTCAAAGCAAGAGTCCTACTCAATCTGTTTTAAAGCTTTCAAAGTTGATCATGGCAATCTCCTAATGTTATACCCCTACTTCACACAACAGAATACTTACCCCTAATGTAATACCCCTACTTCACACGACAGAATACTTACCCCTAATGTAATACCCCTACTTCACACAACAGAATACTTACCCCTAATGTAATACCCCTACTTCATACAACAGAATACTTACCCCTAATGTAATACCCCTACTTCATACAACAGAATACTTACCCCTAATGTAATACCCCTACTTCATACAACAGAATACTTACCCCTAATGTAATACCCTACTTCATACAACAGAATACTTACCCCTAATGTAATACCCCTACTTCACACAACAGAATACTTACCCCTAATGTAATACCCCTACTTCATACAACAGAATACTTACCCCTAATGTAATACCCTACTTCACACAACAGAATACTTACCCCTAATGTAATACCCCTACTTCATACAACAGAATACTTACCCCTAATGTAATACCCCTACTTCATACAACAGAATACTTACCCCTAATGTAATACCCCTACTTCACACAACAGAATACTTACCCCTAATGTAATACCCCTACTTCATACAACAGAATACTTACCCCTAATGTAATACCCCTACTTCATATGACAGAATACTTACCCCTAATGTAATACCCCTACTTCACACAACAGAATACTTACCCCTAATGTAATACCCCTACTTCATACAACAGAATACTTACCCCTAATGTAATACCCCTACTTCATACAACAGAATACTTACCCCTAATGTAATACCCCTACTTCATACAACAGAATACTTACCCCTAATGTAATACCCCTACTTCATACAACAGAATACTTACCCCTAATGTAATACCCCTACTTCATACAACAGAATACTTACCCCTAATGTAATACCCCTACTTCATACAACAGAATACTTACCCCTAATGTAATACCCTACTTCACACAACAGAATACTTACCCCTAATGTAATACCCCTACTTCATATGACAGAATACTTACCCCTAATGTAATACCCTACTTCACACAACAGAATACTTACCCCTAATGTAATACCCCTACTTCACACAACAGAATACTTACCCCTAATGTAATACCCCTACTTCACACAACAGAATACTTACCCCTAATGTAATACCCCTACTTCATACAACAGAATACTTACCCCTAATGTAATACCCCTACTTCATACAACAGAATACTTACCCCTAATGTAATACCCCTACTTCATACAACAGAATACTTACCCCTAATGTAATACCCCTACTTCATACAACAGAATACTTACCCCTAATGTAATACCCCTACTTCATACAACAGAATACTTACCCCTAATGTAATACCCCTACTTCATACAACAGAATACTTACCCCTAATGTAATACCCCTACTTCACACAACAGAATACTTACCCCTAATGTAATACCCCTACTTCACACAACAGAATAAAAAGAATAAAAATAAATAAAGCAAAACTAAAATACGATTCTAGATTTTTAGTCAAGTAGAAAATAGGGTTGTTTGTGACCATACATGACCTTCTGAGTTTGAGGTGCTACAGCTTTGACACCCTAATGAGGCTGGGACAGAAGCTGAGACTGACCAGCAGCTGTATAGCCATGATGTGTGAGATCTTGACAGTCATACAAGAGACAGAAGCTGAGACTGACCAGCAGCTGTACAGCCATGTTGTGAGAGATCTTGACAGTCATACAAGGGACCGAGGCTGAGACTGACCAGCAGCTGTACAGCCAGGTCGTGTGAGATCTTGACAGTTGTACAAGGAACCAAGGCTGTGACAGACTAGCAGCTGTATAGCTATGTCTTGTGAGATTTTTCGTCCTTGCTCATGTGGAGGGGACCTGAACAAGGCAAGGGTATAAGTCTACAGAACTATGAGTACTGTTATCTTGGCTCATGGGAGGGGGGAGGTTGGTTGGTTATTAAGTGATAATCTAACAGGTATGGCTCACATTACAAGGCCAATTTATAGGGCTTTGTCACTCCTATTTAACCACCTGTGTGAACCTCTATATAACCCAGCCCAGTTCCTAGTTGACCTATGACCTACCTGCCAGTTGATTTTATCACCATTGACCTCTGAAAACACGAAGCCAACATCATAATTGAGATACACATGTCCCTCTTTAATGGCTTTCAAGGGGGCAGGTCCACACCGCATCACACCTGTGGAGATTATAACGTATAAAACATATTACAAGGGGGCAGGTCCACACCACATCACACCTGTGGAGATTATAACGTATAAAATAGATATTACAAGGGGGCAGGTCCACACCGCATCACACCTGTGGAGATTATAACAAATAAAATAGATATTACAAGGGGGCAAGTCCACACAACATCACACCTGTGGAGATTATAACGTATAAAACATATTACAAGGGGGCAGGTCCACACCGCATCACACCTGTGGAGATTATAATGTATCAAAAATATATATTACAAGGGGGCAGGTCCACACCACATCACACCTGTGGAGATTATAATGTATCAAAAATATATATTACAAGGGGGCAGGTCCACACCACATCACACCTGTGGAGATTATAACGTATGAAATAGATATTACAACGGGGCAGATCCACACCACATCACACCTGTGGAGATTATAACGTATAAAATAGATATTACAAGGAGGCAGGTCCACGCCACATCACACCTGTGGAGATTATAACGTAAGAAATAGATATTACAAGGGGGCAGGTCCACACCACATCACACCTGTGGAGATTATAACATATAAAATAGATATTACAAGGGGGCAAGTCCACACCACATCACACCTGTGGAGATTATAACCTATAAAATAGATATTACAAGGGGGCAAGTCCACACCACATCACACCTGTGGAGATTATAACCTATAAAATAGATATTACAAGGGGGCAAGTCCACACCACATCACACCTGTGGAGATTATAACATCACAGAACCCATTACATCAGACTATCAACAGACCAAATAAAATACTGTAAATTTTCGCGTATAGTGCACACTTTTTCAAGCTGAAACTGTCGTGTCAGAAAGGGGGTGTGCATTATACGCAGGAACATGCCATTCTTGGGGTTATCAGTCCCGAGTTCTGCGTCCGCCATATTGGATTACCTCCCTTCACATAGTTATATGTAAAAGTCGTCGGTCATATATGATAGTTTGGAGATAAAAACAACAAAAAATAAATAAAATAAAATAAATTTCGAATGTTTTAATCATCGGCCATTCACGCTAGCATTTCGGTGAATCTATTTTATTTTTTTTTTCGTTTCCTGTTGTTCGAATAGTGACGGTCTTACTATTGTTCGGGGCTATAGTAGTGTCTGAATTTCTGCCTCATTTTGATGATGTATCTGTGGAATTCAAGGAGTCCGGGAGTTTTTGGGCGATTGTCATTCTGTTCATAAATCAGACAGCCCATCCCACCGACGCCCTAAGTTGGTGACCCCATGACCTCTCTTGATCTGTATGGCCCGCACGTGCAGTTTTGTTGTACTGGCAGCGATGCTGGCATCTTGGCGATCGCATACAAAGTTGAATAGCTCTCTCTCCCTCTCTGGGTGTTTCGCTGTCGCACCTATGTCAGCCCTTCTGGTCAGTGGTTGGGACTTCAGACTGTCTTTTTTTTTCTTCAATGCCTTGATATTTCAATCTGGAATGTCGAAGTGGCGACCGGTGGCACGAAACTCAAGTCTCTCGGCGTAGTCAATGGCTTTCGCTGTTTCCCCATGTCGAAGTCGGTGTAAACAATCTATAACTAAGTACCTTCGGATACCGCGGTAGGTACAGATATGGGGACAAGGTATGATTGAAACTTTTCAGACAGTTAAAACAACATCGTTTTCTGAGCAGTAGTACGCGTTCAGCCGAAGCCGAATGTCATCAATCTCCTCATACTCAACGTGTTTGTTACCTGTTAAGAACCGTTAATTATCCAATTAGCCAAGCCTTTCATGCTTGTTAAGTCAGGCACCTGTGTGATTTTGTTTACATAAGGTAAATAAATATGTCAGGGTCACGATGATTGTGGTTTCCTTGTTATCAATGGATAAAACTACATCAACTGTTTCATCGCGGTAACCAGTAATCAATTAATCTTTCTATAGAAAATCTCATTTTTAAAAAAAAATCTGACCCCAAAAAAGTACCTGCGAACTATACCCGCAAATCTACGGTACTATGTTTGTTGGTTTGTTCGACTTGAATGAAGACATTGTGCATTGAAGACACTACTTTCATTGGCTGTTTAGCGGATATGTGCCTCATAGCATAGTAATAAATAATAATTAAATGAAAATATTTTGTAATTTTATACAGTAACAACATCTTTTATTTAAATAAAAAGTTATAGATATGAAAGAAAACATGTGAAATGCATGATTATTCTCTCATACACAGAACCTAGTGAAATCAATATTTAAAGTGAAACAACTTCCGTCAACAATATTTAAAAGAAAAATTCAATAAATCTGTACCCAAGAATATTCTACATTGATATAACACTACTAATACTGAGGTTGGTTACGAAGGCTGCAGCAACGTCACTGAAGCATAACTTTACACGTGAAGCACCGTGTAAGGATAACTGTCAAATGGAATAAAACATGCACTTTGTATATGTACATGTATTTCCAGTAAATGTATCTAAAATCACAAACAAATTACAAGTATTTTCAGTAATCTGGATTGGCAAGGTAGTTATCGCTTATTTTTTCCTTTCGGTTGCTTGCAGCCATGCCTATATATATAAACAACACACAGAACATTTAACAGAATACAATGTATTTTGTTTTAAGTTTGGTTTACCTTAATCTGTAGAAATTCTAACTTTCACCTTTTAATCTGTGTAAACACAGGGATTAATGCTCAATCGACAATTGCAATAGGGCTCGTTAACACAGATATGGCTGACAGATAACATTTGGGCATGCGGACTGAATTCAGGAAATTTTCACCTGAGACAAGGCGACGCCTGAATGTTCGACACAAAAAAGGAAATTTTGGTAGAATTTAGAAGGGATGGTCCACAAAATATATCGAACACAAACCAGTATTTGATACAACAGAGTTTAATTCATGTGGTTTAGTTTACTAAGATAAAGAAGAGAAAAAAACGTGACCGAACAAAACATTTAACTTATCTAATGTAAGCGTGTTCAACACAAGTGACTTTTACTGTATTTGATGCTCATCTGCTTGCCTTATGGTTCAATGGTTGTATACCTTGTTCTCATTTCAGAACATGACATTACTCACTTGGATTGACCAAGATTTACATGATGGGTGTTGTCCATTAAGCAGAAGATGCTTACTCTTCCTGAACACCTAGTCTTATATCCTTGACCCATTTTTGAGAGTTTCCTTGTAAATATTTCTTTTGTTCATGCATTGCCCTAGTTTTATTGAATCTGGATAACCAGTATAATTATGTTGACACAGTTAGATACAGAACGTGCTTCGGTTACAATGGATTATTATGATAATTAATCTCACCTTCACTTAGTTCCTGAGGTGTGCCATCATGAGCCTGCCAGCCATCATAGCCCGACGGAAGATCAAGGCGCCGGAACCAAGACTCATTCCAGACATGAAAATTCCTGCCGAAAGTAAAAATTATATTTGTGAACTTATATAGCTGTAAGTTATCTACTCATCAGATTGCATTCATATTGACAATGAATCTCGCCTGACAACCTTACCTTGGTTGAACAGCTCAGATATTATATTTGCTAGATGTGTTAAACAAATTAATTTGTCTACTTCATCAAGTTATAAAGATATTTTTCTCTGTATGTTTATTTATTCGAAGAGCTCCCAGAAAATCATGATCTTTAAAATGCTTGACGTAAAGCTATAAAGTGTGTTATCAAAGGCAATGGACAGTCGTTAGCAGTACACAAGGCAATGTGACACCAAAACAACATCATATTATTGTGTTGTGGTCTATCAGGTCTCCACCTGTGAATACAATCCAGATTAAACTCTGTTATGTAAGGAAAGAGTCATGAAAATTGAATCTTAAATTGAAAGTGTTAGAAAAGAGCCGGTTTTTATCATTGATGTTAATTCAGCACTTTTAAAAACTCCTTGCCTGTTACAGATATCAATGTAGAGAGACATTATTTGTAAATGAGAAAATCACCATGTGCTGAATGGTGGAGTAATTAAGATGAATCTTACAAAAAAGTGATATAATTTTATAAGATACCATTTGGAGTCATCAAGAGCATCTTCTGGGAAACCATCTGCACCACAATGGAAATCAATTGTCATACTACAGTCGGTGTCATGAGCAGACTCAAAGTTGGTCACAGATCTAGTTGGTATACCCAATGAGCGCAGCACTGTAATTTAAGAAATGTTGATCTCAAAATTTCTACAGTGTAACTCTTAATCAACATAGAAATATCTTTCTTAAAATTATCAACAGACTCAAAGGTTTATCATCAAAGATTCCACTTTCAATTTGGTCAAAATCCATTCAGTCATTCATGATAAGTAGCTTTAAGTAAAAATAAGCAAGAAAGATGACAGAGGGATGGATGAATGATGGCTATCACATCCTAGAATACCTAATCAGTCCTTTGTACTAACTGAACTAAAAATGTTTGATCTAAAACTGGTATTTCCTGATGTTCATAGAAATTAATGTTGAAAATTGCGAGAGATTTATACACAATTGGTAACTAACATGTGGTAACGAGACAGGAGAATACCCAACACTGGCCATATTGGACCGATTCAAGGGTCTCCATGTATTTCTTCAGTATGTTAACACTGCCACTCCACTCCCACGGACGTACACACTCAGGTGGGTACGTCTCAGTCCATCGCCCCTCCAATACACCTCCATGATCATCCATACTGTTAGCCTATTCAACAAATAAACACTTGTAGTTAACACTACCTATATCTGTAGTAAACAGGTAAACACCTGTAGCTAACACTACCTATATCTGTAGTAAACAATAAACACCTGTAGCTAACACTACCTATATCTGTAGTAAACAGGTAAACACCTGTAGCTAACACTACCTATATCTGTAGTAAACAATAAACACCTGTAGCTAACACTACCTATATCTGTAGTAAACAATAAACACCTGTAGCTAACACTACCTATATCTGTAGTAAACAGGTAAACACCTGTAGCTAACACTACCTATATCTGTAGTAAACAATAAACACCTGTAGCTAACACTACCTATATCTGTAGTAAACAATAAACACCTGTAGCTAACACTACCTATATCTGTAGTAAACAGGTAAACACCTGTAGCTAACACTACCTATATCTGTAGTAAACAATAAACACCTGTAGCTAACACTACCTATATCTGTAGTAAACAGGTAAACACCTGTAGCTAACACTACCTATATCTGTAGTAAACAGGTAAACACCTGTAGCTAACACTACCTATATCTGTAGTAAACAATAAACACCTGTAGCTAACACTACCTATATCTGTAGTAAACAGGTAAACACCTGTAGCTAACACTACCTATATCTGTAGTAAACAATAAACACCTGTAGCTAACACTACCTATATCTGTAGTAAACAGGTAAACACCTGTAGCTAACACTACCTATATCTGTAGTAAACAGGTAAACACCTGTAGCTAACACTACCTATATCTGTAGTAAACAGGTAAACACCTGTAGCTAACACTACCTATATCTGTAGTAAACAGGTAAACACCTGTAGCTAACACTACCTATATCTGTAGTAAACAGGTAAACACCTGTAGCTAACACTACCTATATCTGTAGTAAACAGGTAAACACCTGTAGCTAACACTACCTATATCTGTAGTAAACAGGTAAACACCTGTAGCTAACACTACCTATATCTGTAGTAAACAGGTAAACACCTGTAGCTAACACTACCTATATCTGTAGTAAACAGGTAAACACCTGTAGCTAACACTACCTATATCTGTAGTAAACAATAAACACCTGTAGCTAACACTACCTATATCTGTAGTAAACAATAAACACCTGTAGCTAACACTACCTATATCTGTAGTAAACAGGTAAACACCTGTAGCTAACACTACCTATATCTGTAGTAAACAATAAACACCTGTAGCTAACACTACCTATATCTGTAGTAAACAGGTAAACACCTGTAGCTAACACTACCTATATCTGTAGTAAACAATAAACACCTGTAGCTAACACTACCTATATCTGTAGTAAACAATAAACACCTGTAGCTAACACTACCTATATCTGTAGTAAACAATAAACACCTGTAGCTAACACTACCTATATCTGTAGTAAACAGGTAAACACCTGTAGCTAACACTACCTATATCTGTAGTAAACAATAAACACCTGTAGCTAACACTACCTATATCTGTAGTAAACAGGTAAACACCTGTAGCTAACACTACCTATATCTGTAGTAAACAGGTAAACACCTGTAGCTAACACTACCTATATCTGTAGTAAACAGGTAAACACCTGTAGCTAACACTACCTATATCTGTAGTAAACAGGTAAACACCTGTAGCTAACACTACCTATATCTGTAGTAAACAATAAACACCTGTAGCTAACACTACCTATATCTGTAGTAAACAGGTAAACACCTGTAGCTAACACTACCTATATCTGTAGTAAACAGGTAAACACCTGTAGCTAACACTACCTATATCTGTAGTAAACAATAAACACCTGTAGCTAACACTACCTATATCTGTAGTAAACAGGTAAACACCTGTAGCTAACACTACCTATATCTGTAGTAAACAATAAACACCTGTAGCTAACACTACCTATATCTGTAGTAAACAGGTAAACACCTGTAGCTAACACTACCTATATCTGTAGTAAACAATAAACACCTGTAGCTAACACTACCTATATCTGTAGTAAACAATAAACACCTGTAGCTAACACTACCTATATCTGTAGTAAACAATAAACACCTGTAGCTAACACTACCTATATCTGTAGTAAACAATAAACACCAGTAGCTAACACGACCTATATCTGTAGTAAACAATAAACACCTGTAGCTAACACTACCTATATCTGTAGTAAACAATAAACACCAGTAGCTAACACTACCTATATCTGTAGTAAACAATAAACACCTGTAGCTAACACTACCTATATCTGTAGTAAACAGGTAAACACCTGTAGCTAACACTACCTATATCTGTAGTAAACAATAAACACCTGTAGCTAACACTACCTATATCTGTAGTAAACAGGTAAACACCTGTAGCTAACACTACCTATATCTGTAGTAAACAGGTAAACACCTGTAGCTAACACTACCTATATCTGTAGTAAACAGGTAAACACCTGTAGCTAACACTACCTATATCTGTAGTAAACAGGTAAACACCTGTAGCTAACACTACCTATATCTGTAGTACTGATACAGATATGGTTTGTTGTAATTAGTACTGACTGGTAGAAACTGATACAGATATGGTTTGTTGTAATTAGTACTGACTGGTAGAAACTGATACAGATATGGTTTGTTGTAATTAGTACTGACTGGTAGAAACTGATACAGATATGGTTTGTTGTAATTAGTACTGACTGGTAGAAACTGATACAGATATGGTTTGTTGTAATTAGTACTGACTGGTAGAAACTGATACAGATATGGTTTGTTGTAATCAGTACTGACTGGTAGAAACTGATACAGATATGGTTTGTTGTAATTAGTACTGACTGGTAGAAACTGATACAGATATGGTTTGTTGTAATCAGTACTGACTGGTAGAAACTGATACAGATATGGTTTGTTGTAATTAGTACTGACATACACAAACTGATACAGATATGGTTTGTTGTAATTAGTACTGACATACACAAACTGATACAGATATGGTTTGTTGTAACTGGTATTGACAAGCACAGACTGTATGGCTGGTTTGTTGCTACTGCTAGTATCTTACCAGGGAGGAGATACATCTCACAATTGACACAGGACTGCCTCTCCCAGAGTCAGCCAACTCTCCCTTGTCCAACAGAAATAGAGCAGCTTCCAGGCAAGGCTCTGAGAACTGGAAATATAAGGATAGAGACACTCAATATAACTTGACATAGACTTGTAAGGGAAACAGCAGTGACAGGGACAGACTTGTACATTGTGACAGAGACAGCTGTGACAGAGACAGCTGTGACAGAGACAGTTGTGACAGAGACACAGACTTATACATTGTGACAGAGACAGCTGTGACAGAGACACAGACTTATACATTGTGACAGAGACAGCTGTGACAGAGACAGCTGTGACAGAGACAGTTGTGACAGAGACAGCTGTGACAGAGACAGCTGTGACAGAGACACAGACTTATACATTGTGACAGAGACAGCTGTGACAGGGACATAGACTTGTACATTGTGACAGAGACAGCTGTGACAGAGACACAGACTTATACATTGTGACAGAGACAGCTGTGACAGAGACACAGACTTATACATTGTGACAGAGACAGCTGTGACAGGGACATAGACTTGTACATTGTGACAGAGACAGCTGTGACAGAGACACAGACTTATACATTGTGACAGAGACAGCTGTGACAGGGACACAGATGTGTACATTGTGACAGAGACAGCTGTGCCAGGGACACAGACTTGTACATTGTGAAAGAGACAGCTGTGACAAAGACAGTTGTGACAGGGGTACAGACTTGTACATTGTGACAGAGACAGCTGTGACAGAGACACAGACTTGTACATTGTGACAGAGACAGCTGTGACAGAGACACAGACTTATACATTGTGACAGAGACAGCTGTGACAGGGACACAGATGTGTACATTGTGACAGAGACAGCTGTGCCAGGGACACAGACTTGTACATTGTGAAAGAGACAGCTGTGACAAAGACAGTTGTGACAGGGGTACAGCCTTGTACATTGTGACAGAGACAGCTGTGACAGAGACACAGACTTGTACATTGTGACAGAGACAGCTGTGACAGAGACACAGACTTATACATTGTGACAGAGACAGCTGTGACAGGGACACAGATGTGTACATTGTGACAGAGACAGCTGTGCCAGGGACACAGACTTGTACATTGTGAAAGAGACAGCTGTGACAAATGACAGTTGTGACAGGGGTACAGACTTGTACACTGTGACAGAGACAGCTGTGACAGAGACAGCTGTGACAGAGACAGCTGTAACAGAGACAGTTGAACAGAGACAGCTGTGACAGGGACATAGACTTGTACATTGTGACAGAGACAGCTGTGCCAGGGACACAGACTTGTACATTGTGAAAGAGACAGCTGTGACAAAGACAGTTGTGACAGGGGTACAGACTTGTACATTGTGACAGAGACAGCTGTGACAGAGACAGCTGTGACAGAGACAGCTGTGACAGAGACAGCTGTAACAGAGACAGCTGTGACAGAGACAGCTGTGACAGGGACATAGACTTATACATTGTGACAGAGACAGCTGTGACAGGGACACAGATGTGTACATTGTGACAGAGACAGCTGTGCCAGGGACACAGACTTGTACATTGTGAAAGAGACAGCTGTGACAAAGACAGTTGTGACAGGGGTACAGACTTGTACATTGTGACAGAGACAGCTGTGACAGAGACAGCTGTAACAGAGACAGTTGTAACAGAGACAGCTGTGACAGGGACATAGACTTGTACATTGTGACAGAGACAGCTGTGCCAGGGACACAGACTTGTACATTGTGAAAGAGACAGCTGTGACAAAGACAGTTGTGACAGGGGTACAGACTTGTACATTGTGACAGAGACAGCTGTGACAGGGACACAGATGTGTACATTGTGACAGAGACAGCTGTGCCAGGGACACAGACTTGTACATTGTGAAAGAGACAGCTGTGACAAAGACAGTTGTGACAGGGGTACAGACTTGTACACTGTGACAGAGACAGCTGTGACAGAGACAGCTGTAACAGAGACAGTTGAACAGAGACAGCTGTGACAGGGACATAGACTTGTACATTGTGACAGAGACAGCTGTGCCAGGGACACAGACTTGTACATTGTGAAAGAGACAGCTGTGACAAAGACAGTTGTGACAGGGGTACAGACTTGTACATTGTGACAGAGACAGCTGTGACAGAGACAGCTGTGACAGAGACAGCTGTGACAGAGACAGCTGTAACAGAGACAGCTGTGACAGAGACAGCTGTGACAGAGACAGCTGTGACAGGGACACAGATGTGTACATTGTGACAGAGACAGCTGTGCCAGGGACACAGACTTGTACATTGTGAAAGAGACAGCTGTGACAAAGACAGTTGTGACAGGGGTACAGACTTGTACATTGTGACAGAGACAGCTGTGACAGAGACAGCTGTAACAGAGACAGTTGTAACAGAGACAGCTGTGACAGGGACATAGACTTGTACATTGTGACAGAGACAGCTGTGACAGAGACAGCTGTGACAGAGACAGCTGTGACAAAGACAGTTGTGACAGGGGTACAGACTTGTACATTGTGACAGAGACAGCTGTGACAGGGACACAGATGTGTACATTGTGACAGAGACAGCTGTGCCAGGGACACAGACTTTTACATTGTGAAAGAGACAGCTGTGACAAAGACAGTTGTGACAGGGGTACAGACTTGTACATTGTGACAGAGACAGCTGTGACAGAAGCTGTGACAGAGACAGCTGTACAGAGACAGTGAACAGAGACAGCTGTGACAGGGACATAGACTGTGTACATTGTGACAGAGACAGCTGTGCCAGGGACACAGACTTGTACATTGTGAAAGAGACAGCTGTGACAAAGACAGTTGTGACAGGGGTACAGACTTGTACATTGTGACAGAGACAGCTGTGACAGAGACAGCTGTGACAGAGACAGCTGTAACAGAGACAGCTGTGACAGAGACAGCTGTGACAGGGACATAGACTTGTACATTGTGAAAGAGACAGCTGTGAAAGAGACACAGACTTATACATTGTGACAGAGACAGCTGTGACAGGGACACAGATGTGTACATTGTGACAGAGACAGCTGTGCCAGGGACACAGACTTGTACATTGTGAAAGAGACAGCTGTGACAAAGACAGTTGTGACAGGGGTACAGACTTGTACATTGTGACAGAGACAGCTGTGACAGAGACAGAGACAGTGTAACAGAGACAGCTGTGACAGGGACATAGACTTGTACATTGTGACAAGACAGCTGTGCCACACAGACTTGTACATTGTGAAAGAGACAGCTGTGACAAAGACAGTTGTGACAGGGGTACAGACTTGTACATTGTGACAGAGACAGCTGTGACAAGGACATAGACTTGTACATTGTGAAAGAGACAGCTGTGAACAGAGACAGTTGTGACAGGGGTACAGACTTGTACATTGTGACAGAGACAGCTGTGACAGGGGTAGACTTGTACATTGTGACAGAGAGAGTTGTGACAGAGACAGCTGACAGAGACAGCTTTGACAGAGACAGTTGTGACAGAGACAGCTGACAGAGACAGCTTTGACAGAGACAGTTGTGACAGAGACAGCTGTGACAGAGACAGCTGTGACAGAGACAGCTGTGACAGAGACAGTTGTGACAGAGACAGTTGTGACAGAGACAGCTGTGACAAAGACAGTTGTGACAGAGACAGTTGTGACAGAGACAGCTGTGACAAAGACAGTTGTGACAGAGACAGCTGTGACAGAGACAGTTGTGACAGAGACAGAAAACAGATTTAATTTTCACTTTCTTACAGTATTACAAGATCCATTAACAAATGTGATATTTAAAGGTGTTTACATACCTGTCCGAAATTCCAGTTCTTTCCAAAATTCCGGTTCCAACTCCCGACCCAAACGTTACCTTCTTCATTGAGGACATACTCCTTTCTCCATGCTGGTTCAGCCAGGTATACAGTATCATCTAAACCATACCATAAATAGTGCTTCATCTAAACCATACCAAAAATAGTGCTTCATCTAAACCATACCAAAAATAGTGCTTCATCTAAACCATACCAAAAATAGTGCTTCATCTAAACCATACCAAAAATAGTGCTTCATCTACACCATACCAATTATAGTGCTTCATCTACACCATACCAAAAATAGTGCTTCATCTAAACCATACCAAAAATAGTGCTTCATCTAAACCATACCAAAAATAGTGCTTCATCTAAACCATACCAAAAATAGTGCTTCATCTACACCATACCAATTATAGTGCTTCATCTAAACCATACCAAAAATAGTGCTTCATCTAAACCATACCAAAAATAGTGCTTCATCTAAACCATACCAATTATAGTGCTTCATCTACACCATACCAAAAATAGTGCTTCATCTAAACCATACCAATTATAGTGCTTCATCTACACCATACCAAAAATAGTGCTTCATCTAAACCATACCAATTATAGTGCTTCATCTACACCATACCAAAAATAGTGCTTCATCTAAACCATACCAATTATAGTGCTTCATCTAAACCATACCAATTATAGTGCTTCATCTACACCATACCAAAAATAGTGCTTCATCTAAACCATACAAATTATAGTGCTTCATCTACACCATACCAAAAATAGTGCTTCATCTAAACCATACCAATTATAGTGCTTCATCTACACCATACCAAAAATAGTGCTTCATCTAAACCATACCAATTATAGTGCTTCATCTACACCATACCAAAAATAGTGCTTCATCTAAACCATACCAATTATAGTGCTTCATCTAAACCATACCAAAAATAGTGCTTCATCTAAACCATACCAATTATAGTGCTTCATCTACACCATACCAAAAATAGTGCTTCATCTAAACCATACCAATTATAGTGCTTCATCTACACCATACCAATTATAGTGCTTCATCTACACCATACCAAATATAGTGCTTCATCTACACCATACCAATTATAGTGCTTCAACGACTCTGATTTAATTAATTATATGGTTCAGCCACAAGGACCCCTTTCCCACCATCCTATTCAGCGTTTTATTGTTTATGGTAGTATGATTGCCACTGGATACTGATTAATTCTGCGTGTTCAATACAAATACTTATATTTCACATTGATCATTTCACAAGATGCCTAATGGACCTGCATCGCTCATCTGGTATTCAATGTTCATCAAAAATAGAATTGGTGTTGATATCACTAATATATTGACATGTACAGTAAAGCACGTTTATAACAAACACGCTTACAACCAATTAATGGTCATAACACAGTGTTTTTCATTCCCCATCAATTGCCCTATCATTTATATGTTAAAATCAAAATATATAACAAATTTCACATAACGAATTAATGTCTATAATGTAGCAGCTTTTGGGTCCACTCAGGTGAATATCAGTGCTAATTAATAACCATATAACAGTCATCACACCTGAGTGAAGTAAGTCGTGTGTCCTGTATCGACACCCGTGTCAAGGTAAGTTTCAATATTACGTACATTTCAGATTGACAAATTAAGTGAGTTGTTGTTATACGAACCTGCGTTCTATTGTTTTTTGAGTTTTGAGTTACTGAACTGATTTTATCAATACAAAATCTTTGCATTCTGTTGTTGTTGTCATCATTTTGGAAATGGCTTCGTCATCGCCATCTCGTAAGCGGAAGATGTTAACAATTGAAACCAAATACCAACTTATTTGTGCAGTAGTCAATGATGAAAAGGCAACAATGAGTACAATTTTAATTCAATGCATTACATACCATTCAAAAGACCCTTAACAAGATCTAAGACAGTAACAAAAAGCACACTTTCATTTGAGATTTTTTCAAGTTACTATTCAAGTTTTTCCGAAGCAATGTGAATTGTTGTTTATTTGGACATACTATACATGTAATAAAATACAGTCATGAAATAAGACCCCTTTATTTTTATTGTATGTACAATTCCTATAACGAATTATGCGTGACTGCATGCCAAAATTCATTATATGTGTATAACGAACTATGTTTATAACGGACTAAATTTCTTGGTCACAGAGGTTTGTTATAAATGTGTTTTACTGTACACTATTTGCATTTTAAAATGGGGCATATCAAATCAATTTTAACCAATTTCCACAACAAAGAACTTCTAATACTCAACTCTAAACAGTGACAGTTATGACCCTAGATTTCAAGTGAATTCCATTTCTTTTTCTTTTGAAACTGACCAGAACAAATCTTTTACTGGTTTAAAAAAATTTGTCCCTGTGACCCTCAGTATGGGTCAAGGTCATTTCTTTTGAAAGCGTTGTCAGTCATCACGCAAGTAACTTATCAGCCAAATACCATGCTTCTGTGCATTTCAGTTAGACAGCAGACCCTATTTTAACACTTCAACCAGTTCAACAATTTTGACCTTTAATAAGGGTCAAGGTCATTTCTTTTATCAAATTTTGTTGGGCTTCATTCTAGGAAGCTATCAGGTGAATACCATACTGCTAAGCGATATGGTTATTCAGAAGAAGCTGTTCTAATGTTTTAAAGGCACTAAATGGTTAGATTTCGTTATTTTCCCTATACATTTGATTTCAGGCAAACATTGTAATACTTAAAATTCGACTCGTCATAAAATTAGAACACTCTCTGAGTGAAATCAATAAAGATAGCTAGTCAACACTCGCTGTTGTGTCTACCACCTATCGCTGTTTTGATCGGAGATAGCCGACTTCATCACGTGACCCTTCGGAGCCTTGTTTTAACCTGCAGTTTTGATATGATTTCTTACAATGTTTAATAATATTATTACCCAAAAGTTAATTTGCCAGCCATGTTTCAATCCTCACTTTGTAAAATGACCTCTCCTTTCATGCTATATGCATAACTGAGCAAAATAAAATAAATTTGAATTGATTGAAATCTAAATTTGCAAGCGCAAAAACATTGTTTACACTCTCCAAATTAAATGATATAAATTAGTGTTGGGTCAATCCTATATCATTTTAAATTTTTGACGTTAATAAAATGGTTATGCAAACTTAAAAATATAATGATAGAAAGTACACATCTGCAAGCAGATATTTAAATGTTATAATGCTTTTTATCAGTTATGAAATGAATATCTAACTATTTAGTATCTTTAACAAATTTGACCCCTTTAACCCACCTGTACACCATATCACAGAAACACACCTGTACACCATATCACAGAAACACCCACCTGTACACCATATCACATAAACACCCACCTGTACACGATATCACATAAACACCCACCTGTACACCATATCACATAAACACCCACTTGTACACCATATCTCATAAACACCCACTTGTACACCATGACATAGAAACACCCACTTGTACACCATATCACATAAACACCCACCTGTACACCATATCACATAAACACCCACCTGTACACCATATCACAGAAACACCCACCTGTACACCATGGGTTGAAGAGAATGATGACTTCGTTTTCACATTTGTATCGTTTGGCCTTGTCCTCCTCCTTCAAGTTACTTTCCACAAATAGGTTGTACCTTCCGATGCAGGCGTCTGGAGGAGCTGTCAAGCCAAGGCTGAGAGATTGCTTACTGGTGTCTAGTGTACATACTTCCCAGCATCCGGTCATGTCTGCAGACTTTCCCTTCGACAATGAGACTGGAATTCGAACCAGAGATCCTTTACTCTCCTTTGGTTGGTCACCTGTAAAAAAGTATTTGGATATTTTAAGGTCCTCCATATTTATAAATTTGAGTGTCCAATTATGCTCCAAGCCAAATTTGGTCAAAATTCCTTCAGGCTAAAATTCATATGACTTAAGTGACATTGACCTTGGTTAAGGTTAATTATTAGAACAAACTTGATAGCAACTCTTTATAGCCTGCTTCTTGTCCAATGTAATGCCTCTTGTCTACTCAAATGACATTATATAACAAGAGGTCTATAGGGTCTGTATCACTCACATGGTTTATGTTGCTGAAATTAATTTATTTTAACAAAGGGAAATGTATTCAAAACACTTGCATCTATTTCCCCATAATAATAGCTCTCTTCACCAAGAATGTCTTCAGTTTGAACCTAACACAGATTTTAAGGTCTTTGCTCTATTTCCACTATTTGGCCCCATCCCACCCACCTCAAGGGGCTAGAACCCAGTGTTCATACAATACTGATCTCTTTGACCCAAGCATACTTCAGGCCAAATTGAGACAACATCCAGGTATTTCTACAGAAGAAGAAGGGACTATAAAGAAATGTTCTAGTGGGCCTTTGCCCCCTGCCCCACCCCACCACCTTCAAAGGACCAAAACCAAAAGTTTACATAAATTTCTCTTCATCTAAGGGATCTTCAGACCAAACATGTGCAATATCCAATTATTCCTACAAGAGAAAAAGGATTTTTAAGAAATTTTGCTCACATGTTACTTTAGAAGTATGACTTTGAAAGTTGGGCAGTCTAGAAAACTTGAAAATGAAAACTTTCATTGTGTAAATCCAAGATGGCCACCTGTCACCCATTTTGTTTTTCTGATCAGTCCTAAATTCAAAGAGGCACTTGTAAGCACCAAAGGGAACCTACAATATGAAATTTGAAAAAGATCCCTACAGTGTTTTTTTCTCAAGAAATAGGGATGAAAATGATTTACATATTGACAGACAGATGACAGATGACGTATGAAGGGTGATTTGAGTGGCACATTATCTGATGATGACAGGCTAAAAGTTAACAGGTGATTTTAAAGCTCTCAATGCAATTCTAATCATATGTAATCAATTTGACCTTTTTGCTAAATCCATGCCTATACCCAGAATTTGAAATGATTTCATACCATAAGTGACCTGGAATATCACTTTGTCATGAGCCTGGTCAATCTCACGGTCAAATTCAATGGTCAGTTTGAATTCCTGTCCACGTCTCACAATCAAGTCTTCCTGATCGAACTCCTTAGTGTGGTGCTTCCTTCGATTCTCCTGCAGGTAGTTGGTTATGGAAATTACCTTAAGGGCAGAACCCGCTGTCAGAAAAAGAAATATTCACTTTACATTCTCACCAAGTAAAAAAAAAAAAACATTATGGTAAACATTCATTCAGATCAAACAATACATTACATAAACAAGCAGTTCTGATGAAACTGGTACTCCACTGGTGTCAATGTTACTGCTATGATTTCACTTTTCATCAGTCATTTAAAGCAAGGTTTCAATCTAAAGGTCCTGCCTCAATGCAATTTCTGTTCAAGAAAAAAACCTACAAAAAAATTGTCAAGACAACAGCTGGAGGTTGAAATCACAGAGATTATACAAAACACATACAAGTGAATAGAACCTGAGATAAAATTACCAGTAACAGTAAAGTTAAACAACGAATGAGTTTGTTGATCATTCACAAACCAATATTTAGAAGTCCTAGAGGCATGGATCCAAAATTAGGACCAATCATGGACCACCAACAGCTCAGAGGAAGTCTTGATTTACTTTCAAGAAACAAAGAGATGATATTTTGATGCTGATCCAGCCATCATCACCTTATTTAGGACCATCTGTGGACCATCAACCATCACCTTATTTAGGACCATCTGTGGACCATCAACCATCACCTTATTTAGGACCATCTGTGGACCATCAACCATCACCTTATTTAGGACCATCTGTGGACCATCAACCATCACCTTATTGAGGACCATCTGTGGACCATCAACCATCACCTTATTGAGGACCATCTGTGATCATTTATAATCACCTTATTAAGGACCATCTGTGGACAATTCACTATCACCTTATTTAGAACCATCTGTGGACCATCAACCATCACCTTATTTAGGACCATCTGTGGACCATCAACCATCACCTTATTTAGGACCATCTGTGGACCATCAAATATCACCTTACTGAGGACCATCTGTGGACCATCACTCATCACCTTATTGAGGACCATCTGTGGACCATCAACCATCACCTTATTGAGGACCATCTGTGACCATTTATCATCACCTTATTAAGGACCATCTGTGGACAATTCACTATCACCTTATTTAGAACCATCTGTGGACCATCAACCATCACCTTATTTAGGACCATCTGTGGACCATCAACCATCACCTTATTTAGGACCATCTGTGGACCATCAAATATCACCTTACTGAGGACCATCTGTGGACCATCAACCATCACCTTATTTAGGACCATCTGTGGACCATCAACCATCACCTTATTGAGGACCATCTGTGACCATTTATCATCACCTTATTAAGGACCATCTGTGGACAATTCACTATCACCTTATTTAGAACCATCTGTGGACCATCAACCATCACCTTATTTAGGACCATCTGTGGACCATCAACCATCACCTTATTTAGGACCATCTGTGGATCATCAACCATCACCTTATTTAGGACCACCTGAGGACCATCTGTGGACCATCAACCATCACCTTATTTAGGACCATCTGTGGACCATCAACCATCACCTTATTTAGGACCATCTGTGGACCATCAACCATCACCTTATTTAGGACCATCTGAGGGCCATCTGTGGACCATCAACTATCACCTTACTGAGGACCATCTGTGGACCATCAACCATCACCTATTTAGGACCATCTGTGGACCATTAACCATCACCTTATTTAGGACCATCTGTGGACCATTAACCATCACCTTATTTAGGACCATCTGTGGACCATCAACCATCACCTTATGGAGAACAATTTGTGGACCATGACTGTGATCCTTCTACCATAATTGTGTGAGGTGGACAAAGTGATGAATTGTGTGAGGCGGACAAAGTGATGAATTGTGTGAGGTGATAAAGTGATCAATTGTATGAGGTGATAAAGTGATGAATTGTATGAAGTGACAAAGTGATGAATTTTTGAGGTGATAAAGTGATGAATTTTTGAGGTGACAAAGCGATGAATTTTTGAGGTGACAAAGTGATGAATTGTGTGAGGTGGACAAAGTGATGAATTTTTGAGGTGACAAAGTGATGAATTTTTGAAGTGACAAAGTGATGAATTTTTGAGGTGACAAAGTGATGAATTTTTGAGGTGACAAAGTGATGAATTTTTGAGGTGACAAAGTGATGAATTGTATGAGGTGACAAAGTGATGAATTTTTGAGGTGATAAAGTGATGAATTGTGGGAGGTGATAAAGTGATGAATTGTGCAAGGTAGATAAAGTGATGAATTGTGTGAGGTGGACAAAGTGATGAATTTTTGAGGTGACAAAGTGATGAATTTTTGAGGTGACAAAGTGATGAATTTTTGAGGTGACAAAGTGATGAATTGTATGAGGTGACAAAGTGATGAATTTTTGAGGTGATAAAGTGATGAATTGTGGGAGGTGATAAAGTGATGAATTGTGCAAGGTAGATAAAGTGATGAATTGTGTGAGGTGGACAAAGTGATGAATTTTTGAGGTAGATAAAGTGATGAATTTTTGAGGTAGACAAAGTGATGAATTGTATGAGGTGACAAAGTGATGAATTTTTGAGGTGATAAAGTGATGAATTGTGGGAGGTGATAAAGTGATGAATTGTGGGAGGTGATAAAGTGATGAATTGTGTGAGGTGGACAAAGTGATGAATTTTTGAGGTAGATAAAGTGATGAATTTTTGAGGTAGATAAAGTGATGAATTGTACGAGGTGACAAAGTGATGAATTTTTGAGGTGATAAGTGATGAATTGTGGGAGGTGATAAAGTGATGAATTGTGCAAGGTAGATAAAGTGATGAATTGTGTGAGGTGGACAAAGTGATGAATTTTTGAAGTAGATAAAGTGATGAATTTTTGAGGTAGATAAAGTGATGAATTGTGCGAGGTAGATAAAGTGATGAATTGTGCGAGGTGATAAAGTGATGAATTTTTGAGGTGACAAAGTGATGAATTTTTAAGGTGACAAAGTGATGAATTTTTGAGGTGACAAAGTGATGAATTTTTGAGGTGACAAAGTGATGAATTGTATGAGGTGACAAAGTGATGAATTTTTGAGGTGATAAAGTGATGAATTGTGGGAGGTGATAAAGTGATGAATTTTTGTGGTAGATAAAGTGATGAATTGTGTGAGATGGATGAAGTATTACGTTTCTCCTCCGCATCCAAAATCTTCATTTTTGACTTGAAGTATTCATCCGTGACAACCTTGACTCGTCCCTCTTGTTCCTTGGAAAGCCTTAACAGTCTTTTTCGCCGACTTCTATAAACACACCAAACAAAAATTAAGAAACAAAGACAAGTGTTTTTGATAACTTATATATTGTCTTAATGATCAATATGTCATCTTAGAGTAGCTACTGTAAACCCACGATCTACAGCTAGAGCCTGTAGTGATAAGGGTAAACCCATGATCTACAGCTAGAGCCTGTAGTATGGAGGGTAAACCCACCATCTCCAGCTAGAGCCTGTAGTGTTGAGGGTAAATAGATGATCTACAGCTAGAACCTGTAGTGAGGAGGGTAAACCCATGATCTACAGCTAGAGCCTGTAGTGAGGAGGGTAAATAGACAATCTACAGCTAGAGCCTGTAGTGTTGAGGGTAAATAGATGATCTACAGCTAGAGCCTGTAGTGAGGAGGGTAAACCCACGATCTACAACTAGAGCCAGTAGTGAGGAGGGTAAACCCACGATCTACAGCCAGAGCCTGTAGTATGGAGGGTAAACCCACCATCTCCAGCTAGAGCCTGTAGTGTTGAGGGTAAATAGATGATCTACAGCTAGAACCTGTAGTGAGGAGGGTAAACCCATGATCTACAGCTAGAGCCTGTAGTGAGGAGGGTAAATAGACAATCTACAGCTAGAGCCTGTAGTGTTGAGGGTAAATAGATGATCTACAGCTAGAGCCTGTAGTGAGGAGGGTAAATAGACAATCTACAGCTAAAGCCTGTAGTGAGGAGGGTAAACCCATGATCTACAGCTAGAGCCTGTAGTGAGGAGGGTAAATAGACAATCTACAGCTAGAGCCTGTAGTGTTGAGGGTAAATAGATGATCTACAGCTAGAGCCTGTAGTGAGGAGGGTAAACCCACGATCTACAGCTAGAGCCTGTAGTGAGGAGGGTAAACCCACGATCTACAGCTAGAGCCTGTAGTGAGGAGGGTAAATAGACAATCTACAGCTAGAGCCTGTAGTGTTGAGGGTAAACCCACGATCTACAGCTAGAGCCTGTAGTGAGGAGGGTAAATAGACAATCTACAGCTAGAGCCTGTAGTGAGGAGGGTAAATAGACAATCTACAAGAGTATTGTGGAAGAGCTAACAGAGGATGTATGGACAGATACCATACCATGGTAATATGAAAAATAATCTAAAAATAACAAAAACACTATAATAACAAGCATCAGTCTTCCTATTAATATAAAATTCCTCTTCATCTTAGGATCCTCATACCAAATTAAGATATTTCAGACAAAATTCTGTCATTCCAAGAACTTATCAAACATCCCCTTTTTTACCCTTTGTCCCTGTGCATGAGACCTCAGACCAAAAGAAGGCCCAGACCCACCATTTATAAAAATATGTTTCCCTTCACCCAGGAATCCTTACTAACAATGCCAAACACTGTTATTCCTACAGAAGGAGGATTTGACAGAATTTAGTATATATTCCCTACTGGGCCTACGCCTCTGACCCTGGGTTGCCCAAACCCTCCCTTCAAAACTAACTTGTATTCCTTCCCCTATGGCCATTCCTACAGTAAGGAATGAATCCACTATATATCCCCTATTTGGTCTCAAGAGGTGGGGGAAGAGCAGCCCATCACTTCATAAAACATTGATTCCCTCTTCCCCATAGGGATGCTCCTGACTGAATTTGGTTAAAATTTACCATTCATGACAAGTACCAATTTAAAAAGAAAGTTGACTGCCAGATGATGATGCACCACCATGGGATAAATCTCACAGGTCCTTCCGGCCACTGACGACCTAAAAGAAATGCCATGTAGGCTATAACCCCATAGGGAAGCACTGTGTGATGGCTGAGTTTACACAGTCCAAAGAAAGTTTTGGGAAAAAAAACAATTTATGATAACACAGCAACCTAGACATTTGATGTTTGGACCTTAAAAGCATTCCCAACCAAGCCTTCACAATAAGAAAGCAATGTGGGAAGTTTGAATTTCATTGGTCCACATGAACTTACTTCATTGTCGAGAACGGGTGATGTGGAGGGTTTTACGGACAGAATGACAGACTGACAGCAACATTATTACAATATCCCCTTCCAATCTTCAATTGCGGGGTAAAAGATACTTTCAAAACTGTTAATACCAGTAGGATCTTAGCGCCCACCATTGTATGATCTTCATTTGTTCTTTAAAAATCAGACTTTTCCATTCTTTTCTTTCTTCTGATTTGCTGTCAAATGAAATTTGAGAATTTCTCTGACGAAAAAGCAATATAATCTTCAGTTGTCAAATAAAAGGTGGTCACCTGTCAGTCTGTTCTTTTCCTCAAAGTCCAACAATCTATGAGGCACGACAGGGTCAAGGGAAACCTATATATAAATGTCAATGTCAAAATCCAAGATGGCCAAATAACGGCCATTTTGTTTTTATGATAAGACTGAAAATTAAATGAGCACAATAAAGAGGAGGAACCTACACATGAAATTTGAGACAAATCCATGCGGTACTTAAGATTAACAAACTTTCATAGTCAAAATTCAACATGGAAACCTTTCAGCCATTTTGTATTTATGATCATTTCTAAAATCAAAAGGGCAAGACAAGGGAACCTAAATATAAAATGTTGTAAAAATCCATCCAGTACTATTCCAGAAATAACAATGCAAAATTATGACTCTCATAAACCAAGATGTCTGCATGGTCAGATTAAAAATAGACTATAAACAACTCGAGACAAAGGCAAACCTATAAATATGAAATTTGAGAATGATCCAATGAATGTTTCTAACCAAACAGTGATAACACACTATAACTGTCATAACCCAAGATGGCCGCCTGACAGCAATATGTTGCTTTTTGGATCAGTCCAAATACGGGAAAGATGCATCACTACATATAGGGACCAAGGGGTCCTTAAACATATGAAATTTGAAAAAAAATATCCAGTACATTTCCAGAAAAAGCAATAAATAGTTAGTACTGTCAAAATCAAAGATGGCCACCTAATTGTCATGTGATTTTTGGATCCGTCTGGAAATGGGACAATGCACAACAAGGGACCAAGGAGAAAATATCATGAAATTTGAAAAAGATTTATTCTGTAATTCTCTAGAAACATTGATAAGAAAAATTGTTTAAGAACAGGCAGGCGGACATTAGACAACAGACCATACCTGCAGGGTTTTAGAGCAACTCAGATGTTCCTGTAGCAGGGGTCTGGAAAAATATTTTAAACCACTAGGCACAGGACTAGTGGACTGAAAAATTTACTCGTCCAGATTGGAAATTTACTCGTCCAAATTCAGCCATGAAATGGCAACTTAATCAGCGAGGATGTGACAAGTGACTTTTTTCTGTATTTATTTTAAGTGAAAAAAACTATGCAGTGATTGCTGCTTTGCGTCAGACATTGTGCGCGACTTAGGCCTAGCTGTAGAGTTTGTTTATATCCTACTGACTAGGTGCTGCTAAATACAGACCGGTACATGTTGGTACCACCCGAGAGCACCTGACACGGAAAAATGACTAAGGTATTCCGAATGCTATATTTGACGTCATGGGAGTTCCGGTGTAATCAAAAGTTAGAGTGCAGACTGGAATATTTTGTTTTCTAAGTACCGTAAACACGTTTCTTTGTTTTAAATTTTCTTAACATTTTTAGTAACATTAATTTTACTGGAAAAAAGTACTCATCCGACGGACGACTGACAAGGATAAACCTGGTTGTCCGAGACAATTTTCACTCGTCCATGACGACCAGACAAGTGCTTTTCCGGACCCCTGCTGTAGACTTATTATTCTATTCTGAAATTTAGGCCCCAATATACGTAACATCTACCAAAAATTCAGTGTAGAATCACACATAATTATTGAGATATTCTCTCTAAGATGTTAAAATTAAGTTATTCAAACAATAGTTACCATGACTTTGTGCATAAAGTATTGATATATGAGCAGTTGAAACTCGCTATTTGTAAACACACCTCCATTTTAAACACGCTGCCATCGAAATTACGATTGTTGCCGAACCACGTCGGAAAGTTCATGACCTGATCTCGCGAGAGTTGAGGTTTCTACTTATAGAGGAAGCACATGCAGATATGTCTACGGTAAGTTTTTGTTTACAAACATTGTTTGCAAAGTCTTGTCGAAGACTTGAGGTATTCCTGTGATAAACATTCAGTTTTTAGGAAATTATTAGAAGGAATAATTAGTTTAGAAACGATATGACGCACAATTATAACGTAAGAATTCAGAACTGGCCTGATGTATGATTGGAAAAAAAGGAAGCGACTGGTGAACGTCTGTACTGTGTCTGCCATGTTTACACACGCGGAATATGCGCAATGTCATTGCTACGAGCGGTAATGTATGAATTATTGTGGGTCCCACATTGTTTATTTTCCTATTTTTTCAATTTTTATTTAAATTGAAAACAGTCAGTTTTATTTTCTTTAACTAAAGGAAAGTATCTGTTTTGTTACATATATTACGGGGAAAATAAGATAAAGTTTGTTTTTTTATAGTGATTTTTATGTATATTGGGGCTTTAATGGACTGTAAGTAAGTTTTACTCTTGTAAGATTGAGTAACTATAATAGTCTCCTTGACAGTTTGAATTAAAAAACCTGACCAAGTTAAAAACCTAAACAAATTATTTGAGTATCATATTGATGAAATGAATCAATATGTTTAAAAGCCATTCAGGCACTTCGTCATAGTCTAGACTTTTTGCTTCAATAACAGCTCTCCTTCTATGTAATAACCTTGAGAGAATACAGCACAATGATTAGTCTCCACACAAAACACATGCTGCTCAGTCACTTAAATTAACTGCAAAACAAACAAGATCACGTGACCTGTATCACTAACCAGACATTCAGCAATCACGATGAAGGGGATCACATACTAGAGCTAGGTGGGCGAGAGGGGAAAGGGGGAGAGGGGGGAAAGGGAGAAGGGGGAGAGAGAGAGAAAGGGGAGAGGGGGAATGGAGAAGGGGAGATGGGAAGGGGGAAAGGGGGAGGGGAAAGGGGGAGAGGGGAGAGGGGAAAGGGAGGAGGGGAAAGGGGGAGAGGGAGGAAGGGGGAGAAGGGGGAGAGGGGGGAGAGGGGATAAGGGGGAAGAGGGGAAGGGGGAGAGGGGGAAGGGGGGAATGGGGAAGGGGAGAAGGGGGAAGGAAAGAGGGGAAGGGGAAGAGGGGAGAAGGGGGAAGGGGAGAACGGGGAGAGGGGATAAGGGGGAAGGGAGAGGGGAAGGGGGAGAGGGGAGAAGGGGAGAAGGGGATAAGGGGGAAGGGGAAGGGGGAGAGGGGAGAGGGGGAGAGGGGAGAATGGGGAAGGGGAGAGGGGAAGGGGGAGAGGGGGAAGGGGAGAAGGGGAAAAGAGGAAGGGGGGAAGGGGGAGAGGGGAGAAGGGGGAAGGGGAGAGGGGAAGGGGGAGAGGGGAGAAGGGGAAGGGGAGAGGGGAGAAGGGGGAAGGGGGGAAGGGGGAGAGGGGATATGGGGGAAGAGGGGAAGGGGAGAAGGGGGAGAGAGGGGAAAAGGAGGAAGGGGGGAAGGGGGAGAGGGGAGAAGGGGGAAGGGGAGAGGGGGGAAGGGGGAAGGGGAGGAGGGGATAAGGGGGAAGGGGAAAAGGGGGAGAGGAGATAAGGGGGAAGGGGAAAGGGGGTGAGGGGAGAAGGGGGAATGGGAGAGGGGAAGGGGAGAGGGGGGAAGGGGAGAAGGGGGAGAGGGGATAAGGGGGAAGAGGGGAAGGGGAGAAGAGGGAGAGAGGGGAGAAGGGGAGAGGGGGGAAAGGGGAGAGGGGCCAAGGTTCTTATACTCAAGGTTTCAGGGGATCATATCCTTGGGGGCACAACCCTTCCCACAGAGTTAAATCCATAGGGGTGAGATCTTGGTTCCAAAGGATAAGATCCTAGACCCCGGGGGATGATCCTTGTCCAGTGGAATCAGATCCTGGTTTCTGAGGGCAAGATCTTTGCCCATGGGGCCAGGTCTCTCAATCAGGCCTCAGGGAAACTAGTACATGTGTTGATACAAAACTGATGTAAAAATGCTCCACAACAGTTGTGGTCAAAATCTACACTGTTGACACATGCACACACACCAATATTGCACCAAGACATAAGTTAACTAGTCAATTGGAGCAGACGAGCGAATGCCCTTTTTTTTCTCCACAAGCAAATTACATGATTTACAGCCTATACAGGAATATCTAATTTTAGCCACACAGACTTCCCGAAATACGTCAGAGCAACGGACATAACTGATCAATTTTTATGACGTCCGACTTTTTAAAATCCGGATCGGTCCGACTGTATTATGAAGGTGCCAAACCTGGGAAAAAATGAAAATATACACCAGAGGAGTGCAGAAAATAAAAAATAATACAAAAAGAAGAGACCTGAGAGAAAATTTAATGAAACATGGTAGCAGGGCCAAGAATGGTTGGTGTACGACTCGGAGAAGGTGATAATGCTCTGCACGGACTGTGGCAATTTTCACAGCGAGAAAATTACAACTGAAAAAAGTCTGAGAAATACAAACACGTTTATTCTTGGTTGCACAAATTTCAGGGCATCTACGGTTGAGGATCATAAGAAATCAAGAGTGCACCAAAAAGCACATATTCACGTGCAAAATAAAACGAAATCTCCCGTGGAAAAAGTCCAGTCAGTTGCTGGCAGAGCCCTTAAAACTGAAGCAGGCAGAAATAAACAGATTAGTGAATTAGTTTTAAAATGCCGATGCAATAGCTAAAAATAATTGTCCCTTAACAGATTATAATGTAGCTTTGTTATATTGACAGATCCAAACAGATAGACATTGGCAGTCTCCCAACTACAACTGTTGAAAACATGTAGATGCTCTCGTCTGGGATCAACATTGCTGAATGACTTTATGATTGTGAAACTGGAATCCCCAGAAATTGAGTCTGATACTGAAGATGACCAACAAAGATCAGGGTCACAAGATCCTCAAGTTAGTCAAGAGTCACATGACAGTGAGGAGGATGTCACCGAGCCAGCTGGAAGCTTGGTATCTCTGAGGCACAGGAGGAAGTCATTGAAGTGAGTCTTCTGATGTGTCCCTTGAAAGGGACATTAACATTCTGTGCGATAAAGATTCTGATCCAGATACTGAAGGAGAGTGCTTTGACGTTCAACATGAACTATCAAACTTTGATAAGTTAATGGAATTCAGCAGAGAATAAATATGAATGTAGAAATAGTTTTGACATGAAAGTAAATGAAACATTAAATAAATGTGACAAGATTTGGTTTGTTTTTGTTTAATTTCGTTTGGTCTGACAGATTTCTTTTTGGTCTGACAGTTGTTCAGGGTACATCAGACCAAATGTCTGACACCTTTTTTGAACATTAGGGAAGTCTGGCCACTAAACTTTACCATGAATAAGGAGTATCTCGGGTTTATAGAAAGCCCTCTATTCATGCCATTACTTTGTTTAACCACATCTTACAGGTAAATATTATTAACAAAGAATATTGAACCCTGCTGTCTCGCACCCCTTATCAGACAGTCTCTTTAAATATTTGAATTAGTTACGACATACATGTATCTACAGGAGTGCACCGAGTGAAAATGTCCACACCTGTGCTGCACTACCTGTTAAGGTTATTTTTAACATTTTAAATTTTTTTAATCAAATGAATAAGGGCTGAATGATTCACTGAATAGGTCATAGTTCATACAGTGTATGCATGCGTTAGGTAATGAGAGATCTGATTGGCTAAGTGAGTAAACAGGTGAGTGCACAAATATGCATTGAAACATCTGTGAAGAAGTTAGCCTGTCAACCACAGGAGAAACAATCTAGGACTTAATCAGCAATTGATACCCTTTAATGAAATGGCTTCTGTAGTTGTCCCTATAGCGTTATTTTACAAATCCTTTTTTTTCTGACTTCTGAATGCTGTAATAGATCTCTTTTGATTGACTGTGTAATGAAACATGCTGAAAATACCAATGTATTCCTAAAGACAAATACCATGGGAGATGGAGTAATTCTAGCTGAAATGTGGTATACAACAGAGGGTGGTATTTCTAGCTGAATGTGGAATACAATGTTCTGTGGTATTTCTAGCTGAATGTGGTATACAACAGAGGGTGGTATTTCTAGCTGAATGTGGTTTACAATAGAGGGTGGTATTTCTAGCTGAATGTGGTATACAACAGAGGGTGGTATTTCTAGCTGAATGTGGTATACAATAGAGGGTGGTATTTCTAGCTAAATGTGGTATACAATGTTCTGAGGCATTTCTAGCTGAATGTGGTTTACAATGTTCTGTGGTATTTCTAGCTGAATGTGGTATACAATGTATGGTGGTATTTCTAGCTGAATGTGGTATACAATAGAGGGTGGTATTTCTAGCTGAATGTGGTATACAACAGAGGGTGGTATTTCTAGCTGAATGTGGTATACAATGTTCTGTGGTATTTCTAGCTGAATGTGGTATACAATAGAGGGTGGTATTTCTAGCTGAATGTGGTATACAACAGAGGGTGGTATTTCTAGCTGAATGTGGTATACAACAGAGGGTGGTATTTCTAGCTGAATGTGGTATACAATGTTCTGTGGTATTTCTAGCTGAATGTGGTATACAATAGACGGTGGTATTTCTAGCTGAATGTGGTATACAATGTTCTGAGGCATTTCTAGCTGAATGTGGTATACAATGTTCTGTGGTATTTCTAGCTGAATGTGGTATACAATAGAGGGTGGTATTTCTAGCTGAATGTGGTATACAATGTATGGTGGTATTTCTAGCTGAATGTGGTATACAACAGAGGGTTGTATTTCTAGCTGAATGTGGTATACAATAGAGGGTGGTATTTCTAGCTGAATGTGGTATACAACAGAGGGTGGTATTTCTAGCTGAATGTGGTATACAATGTATGGTGGTATTTCTAGGTGAATGTGGTATACAACAGAGGGTGGTATTTCTAGCTGAATGTGGTTTACAATAGAGGGTTGTATTTCTAGCTGAATGTGGTATACAATAGAGGGTTGTATTTCTAGCTGAATGTGGTATACAATAGAGGGTGGTATTTCTTGCTGAATGTGGTATACAATGTAGAGTCAGGGGTCAGATCGAACACTCGTCCGACCGGGCACGACAAGTAAAATTTTGGTTTGACGAGTAAGGGTTCTTTGTTATCATACTTGTCCACCGGACGAGTGGTTTTGACTGCCTTGGTTTTGATAAAAAATGTTCTCATGAATTCATAGACATTTAACTAGAAATAAAACGTCAACTTCCGAAGTTCCGTGAACGCTCGACATGGCCGTGATATAAATGGTAAACTTGTAGCACACACAAATTAAGTTCACAATGGCTGCTAAAAACATCATAACGTTCACACTTTTCTTTCCTATCATTGAAAACAGTTTATCTTACAATCAAATAGAATTTCGTTCAAATTTTCTCAGAAATGTCTGCAATTAATAATCAGTGACATTGCACCATTGGTTAAGAATAAAATACGATTTATTTTTGCATGTTCAATATATCGGTAGCGCTACCCATTTTACCCTCGAAACAATCAGTTCAGAATGAGGCTTGCTAGTAACCAAGCAAGCAAAGTCGCGCTAAGATGGCGGAACAGAAGAAACTAACTTCGTTCTTCACTTCAAAAAATAAAAATAAAGAGTCAGAGGGTCAAGAATTAACAGACAATCTTGTTACTTACAAACAACACAACATCCCCATAACGACTGCCACAACGGCTGGATCTAGCAGTAGCAGTACGGAGACATGTAAAAGGAAACCCACACATTCACACAGTGGTGTGAATGTGAAACCAAAAAAAGATTTGTATGAAAGGAAGTCTAGATACAGATCATTTAAGGCACATTGGGTTGATAGTTACCCGTGGATTATCCACGATGAAGACAATGATTGTATGTATTGTAATATCTGCCGAAAATATCCTCATGTAGCAGATGTAAAATCCTCTTTATATATCAGATGCGGAATGGGTGGTACGTTTAGAGAAGATTCTCTCGATTGGCATAATAGGTCTGAAAAGCACAAGAGATGTATGGCTATGAATGAGAATGAAAGTAGGGTGCAAAGGACTGGACCGTTAGAAGCATGTGTGAAAGCGTTAGCTACAAAATTAGATGAGAGAACTGCTAACATTATGCATAATCTATTTAACACTGCATACTATGTTGCAAAAGAAAATGTTGCCTTCTCCAAGTACAGATCTCTTTGTGAACTACAAGTAAAAAATAATCTTGACTTGGGTAAATTATACATGAATGAAGATGGTTGTAGGGAATTTATATTCAACATAGCAGCCTCCATGTCAGATGATCTGATTACAAAGTTGAAAAATACTAGCTTTGTATGTGTGTTGGCAGATGGTGCAACAGATTCGTCAGTTATTGAGCAGGAAACAGTTTATGTTAGGTTTGTTGATGATGGTTGCTTACGTACTGAGTTTGCAGATGTCGTTCAATTAAAACATGCTAATGCAGAAGGAGTTCTGGAAGGTATAGTAGAGGGCTTGAACAATGTAGGAATCGAATCCAATGAGTTAGAAAAGAAGTTGATTGGGTGTAATTTTGATGGTGTTGCAGTTATGTTAGGCAAGAGAGGAGGTGTTGCTAAGAAACTGGAGGAAAAGGTTGGACATCCAATAGTGGCTATTCAATGTGTTGCTTATAATCTTGAGTTGGGTGTTACAGATGCAGTTAAGTCAATCAAATATATGTCCAAGTTCCAGGATACCATACATCAAATTTACAAGTTTTATTACTATTCACCCAAGAGGAGGAGGGAAATGAAGGAAATTGCTTCTATTCTTGATGAAATGCCAATTCAGCAGACAGGTTTGCAAAAAACTAGAAGGGTAGCGTCCAGATTACGAGCAACAGCTGCTGTGATTAAAAGTCTGCCAATCATAGTCTCTCATATGGAAAATGCTAGCAATGGTAAGGGTGAAGAGGCAGCTAAGGTGAAAGGCATGTTGAAAGAAATTTTGTCTGTGAGATTTGTGAAAATGTTGAATTTCATGCAGGATGTATTGGCCAAGCTTTCTGATCTTAGTAAACAATTTCAAGATAACAGAATGATTATTACAGATGTTGTAGCAAAACTTGAGGTGTGCTTACTGAGTTTAGAGAAGTTGAAACATACTCCTGGTGCTTCATTTTCCAAGTTCAAATCCTCACACTGTACAGACAGTGGAAAATTTTTGTGTGGCAAGAGTGAGTCACAGGAAATTATCTTGTCTCAGGCACGTCTAGGCTCTAATGCAGATGATAACATAGACAAAATGATGATGAGCTATCTAGACAAAGTGATTGATTATGTAAGTAGCAGGTTCAAGACACTTCAAGAGCCCCCTTTTTCTCATTTTGATATTTGATCACAGAGATCTTCCCAGGGACAAAGGGCAGTTGTTCCAATATGGCAAATGTGAAATACGGGGTCTTCTTGAAGTGTTTAAATGTCATTTTTCTGAGGGGACTGACACTGAAAATGTCATGCAAGAATGGAATGAACTGAAATTCAGGTTAGTTAAGCAACAGAATAAGCACCCTTTGGATATTTATTTACAGTTTTTGTCTGGTAATTATGAGGGACTGCAGAATATTTTGCTTCTTCTGCAAATCATGCTCACAGTGTCACCTTCCACTGCTGAATGCGAGAGAAGTTTCTCGGCCACGAATAGAATTAAATCTTGCTACAGAACATCTCTTAGTCAAAGTATGCTAGGTTGCTTGATGAAAATCCATGCTGCGGGTATTTCTCTACAGGATTTCAGTCCTAAACCTTCCATTATACCTTGGATGTCGACCACCAAAAAAAGGGACAGCCTGATTGTTTCAGGTAGTGGAAGTAAGAGGGTAGTAGATGCAGTGCCCAGTTCATCAAGTGCTAGTGTTGGTTCAGCTCCTGTATCAGAATGTTCTGTCGACCTCACACAATCTCCATCTAATCACAATTAATGTTACTAAATAAATCTTGATCTGTGTAGTATTAGTTACTATCTATATGATCTAGTATTGTGGACATATTATTATTTACCCCATTATTAACATCAAAGTAAGGAGTGTTGCAAATAATGATTATGTGAATATCATGTTTAATTAGAAGTTCTTGAATCTTCAGGAAGAGATATATCTGAACTTTGTAATCCACCTAGACCAGCCTGCATGCATATCATTTCCTTTATACAACTGGTAAATAAATGCATGATTTTGAAAATACTCTTGTTTTCTTGTAATTATTTCAAAGATAACTGGCAACTGTAATTCAAAATATTTGGAATATATAGTTTATTTATCTGTGGGTCTGGTGCTTTTAAAATAACTTTGTGTCTTAAGATGCTAAAAAGCTCTTGTAAACACAAATCAGTAGGCACATTATTTACTAGTAACTAATCACTTTTAATGGACAAGTACTTTTTCATTTTGGACGAGTAAAGTTTGCTGTGTACTCGTCCAATGGACGAGTGCTTCAGCAACTTTCGATCTGACCCCTGAGAGTGGTATTTCTATCTGAATGTGGTATACAATAGAGGGTGGTATTTCTAACTGAATGTGGTATATAATAGAGGGTGGTATTTCTAGCTGAATGTGGTTTACAATGTTCTGTGGTATTTCTAGCTGAATGTGGTATACAATGAATGTGGTATACAATGTTCTGTGTGGTATTTCTAAGCGAATGTGGTATACAATGTTCTGTGGTATATCTTGCTGAATGTGGTATACAACAGAGGGTGGTATTTCTAGCTGAATGTGGTATACAACAGAGGGTGGTACAACAGAGGGTGGTATTTCTTGCTGAATGTGGTATACAATGTTCTGTGGTATTTCTAGCTGAATGTGGTATACAATGTTCTGTGGTATTTCTTGATGAATGTGGTATACAATAGAAGGTGGTATTTCTAGCTAAATGTGGTATACAATGTTCTGTGGTATATCTTGCTGAATGTGGTATACAACAGAGGGTGGTATTTCTAGCTGAATGTGGTATACAACAGAGGGTGGTATTTCTAGCTGAATGTGGTATACAACAGAGGGTGGTATTTCTAGCTGAATGTGGTATACAATGTTCTGTGGTATTTCTTGCTGAATGTGGTATACAATGTTCTGTGGTATTTCTAGCTGAATGTGGTATACAATGTATGGTGGTATTTCTAGCTGAATGTGGTATACAACAGAGGGTGGTATTTCTAGCTGAATGTGGTATACAACAGAGGGTGGTATTTCTAGCTGAATGTGGTATACAATGTTCTGTGGTATTTCTTGCTGAATGTGGTATACAATGTTCTGTGGTATTTCTAGCTGAATGTGGTATACAATGTATGGTGGTATTTCTAGCTGAATGTGGTATACAATAGAGGGTGGTATTTCTAGCTGAATGTGGTATACAACAGAGGGTGGTATTTCTAGCTGAATGTGGTATACAATAGAGGGTGGTATTTCTAGCTGAATGTGGTATACAATGTTCTGTGGTATTTCTAAGTGAATGTGGTATACAATGTTCTGTGGTATTTCTAGCTGAATGTGGTATACAATAGAGGGTGGTATTTCTAGCTGAATGTGGTATACAATGGGGGTGGTATTTCTAGCTGAATGTGGTATACAATAGAGGGTGGTATTTCTAGCTGAATGTGGTATACAACAGAGGGTGGTATTTCTAGCTGAATGTGGTATACAATAGAGGGTGGTATTTCTAGCTGAATGTGGTATACAATGTTCTGTGGTATTTCTAAGTGAATGTGGTATACAATGTTCTGTGGTATTTCTAGCTGAATGTGGTATACAATAGAGGGTGGTATTTCTAGCTGAATGTGGTATACAATAGAGGGTGGTATTTCTAGCTGAATGTGGTATACAACAGAGGGTGGTATTTCTAGCTGAATGTGGTATACAATGTTCTGTGGTATTTCTAAGTGAATGTGGTATACAATGTTCTGTGGCATTTATAGCTGAATGAAGTATATAACAGAGGGTGGTATTTCAGTTGGAAATACAAATTGCATGTGTTGTGTTTTTAAATTGTCAAAATAAACTTTAATTTCTGTGTCGTAGCTTTAACAAAGAGATTACAAAGTCAGTCTCATATATTTATATCACATGTTCTATGGTTTAGGGGATCTGTTTCTGTAAATCCTTCAGTCTGGATCAAGCAATTGTGACAAACAAAGGCATGCGAGTGATACAGGCTCCGTGGGCCTCTCTGTCACTAATCTAGTACTTTCCGTGTATGCTACTTAACAGGAAACTAACATAGTATATGTGTACAGTACTTACACAAACACTCACACATACAAAAATATTGACTGTCTTCACTGTAGATCTTCATCAACACATAGTTAAACATCGTGATATTGTGATAAGAACATTGAGCCCCTGATACAGTATGTTTTCATTGGCTACTGTTTAAGAACTACCGAAGAATTGGTAAACACATGTTTGAAGATTTGTCTTATTTGAAATAAACCGGCGTACCCGGTGTAAATAGTTTGTAACATAAATACCTGGTACTCCTCAGGTTATACCGTCTACGCTTATGTACCACATGGCCATCGCTACCTTCGGTGTGATCACGAGGTCTTCTAAGCATTTTGAAAATTTAACGAAGAGCTACCCTGACGCTGTTTAGTTTGCTCTCTGGTTTGCTCAAAATATAGTGCTGCAACTGACGCGTTCTCGGAGCAAACTGGTACTGTGTTCCGGAAGAGTGAGTTTGACGGATCAGTGAACACAGTCGACTCATGTACCGACCGGTTTGTGTTATTTGTTATGCAGCAGTTATTTATAGAGCAATCCAGATCCGTTAACAGGTAGAATTATCCCGTTTCTGATGCATGATATGTAAATGAACAGTGTTTGGTATATATTTATGTAATAGCTATATTACGAGTGTCAATTAGGTATCTGTTTTATCCAATGACCACCGAGGTATTCTCATCCACGTGCCAAGGGGTGGAGCTAGAACCTATTAGGAGCCGATTAGTGTCGATGATTTTCCCGCTAATTTCTTACCCACCCATTTTCTGACACAGTAATAATTCATTTCATTGGTAGATGTCTGAGATGTTGGAAATACTTTTTAGAAACATCGACGCCGGTGTGTTCGGCTGCAATGTAAACTTTTATTCAATGTAGTGCTATACAGTGTTCGTGTGCTGACCTCTGCTCTCGCGTAAGTAACGCGTTGTACTTTTTACAGAACTGTTTGAATGTGTTAACTAACGTCAAAACGACGAATATCAATTTAACAAAATCTTTCTTGTTTTTTTTTATATTGTTTTTTATGTATTAAAGATTCGCTCGAAATCTTTCCTATGTCTTTGTTTATCTGTCTCGCCAACTTGGAAATGGGCACCACCTTCCTAATGAGGTGTGGACCAATCAGAGACAATCGCATATGTGATATCTGAAATATCGCATGGCATGGGATTACCGCCAGAAAAAGATCAAAGTAAAAACCAAGGCGTCATTGGATAATGTGGAACTGGATTTGAAGTTTGTCTTAATAATTAACACATATAAGTCCAACATCCATACCAACAATTCTTTAACAAATAAAACATTTTAACACTGTATGTTAATACCCATAGTCGAAAAAGTCGAACGGCAGAGCAGAGTCTCGTGGGATTCGGACGGTTGGTGACTATGTTTCCTGATTGTATAGAAACTAAATACATGTGTGTTTGTTGTGGGAAGAGAGACGTATGTGTTTCCTTGTCCTGAATGGATAAGAAATCGTCACGTGTCAGTTCATGATATATGAACACATGTCTCAAAATCTTGCAATGCCTGACATATGAACTTTATGTTTCTAAATTTAGAACAGCCGGACCACATGTGAACCCCGGAATTATACATGATATATGTGTCATAGGGGATAATTTATGATAGTTTAATTTAGGTTTTATGTTTGTTAAAAGACTTTTAAACTGTTGTATACTATAAACAATATAACCGATTTATTGTTCATTCACCTGAAGATTCAATTTCAGCAGAATAACATCACATAAATTACATGACAATTAACTAATTAATATGGTGATTTATCAACCTGATATAAAAATGTTGACCGATGAATTAATTCTGTATCCTAATTCAGGTAATTTATGTGTTAAAAGGATCTTAACAATAAACAAGTTACCAATACATACGTAATAATGACGGTACTGGTCAGGCGCAAAGGCAATACTGGTCGGGCGCAATGGAAATACTGGTCAGGGGCAATGGAAATACTGGTCAGGCGCAAAGGCAATACTGGTCAGGCGCAATGGAAATACTGGTCAGGGGCAATGGAAATACTGGTCAGGCGCAAAGGCAATACTGGTCGGGCGCAATGGAAATACTGGTCAGGGGCAGTCAGATGCAACAGAAATACTGATGAAAACCCCATCATCGCTGGACAAATACTTCTATGTATTTTTAAAAAATGACATCAAAACCCGATAATGGACACTCGCTTAATTCGCTCAAGAAATGTTCATGCCGAGTACCGTTCTTACTCAGTGTACATTACCGGCCGAGTACCGTTCTTACTCCGTGTACATTACCGGGCGGGTGTCGTTTCTACTCAGGGTACATTACCGGGCGGGTGTCGTTTCTACTCAGTGTACATTACCGGACGGGTGTCGTTTCTGGTCGGTGTACATTACCGGGCGGGTGTCGTTTCTACTCGGTGTACATTACCGATCGGGTGTCGTTTCTACTCAGTGTACATTACCGGCCGGGTGTCGTTTCAGCTCGGTGTACATTACCGGGCGGGTGTCGTTTCTGTTCGGTGTACATTACCGGGCGGGTGTCGTTTCTGTTCGGTGTACATTACCGGGCGGGTGTCGTTTCTACTCGTGTACATATATATATATTTCGATTGTCGTTTTAACTCACAAACATTTTGCTGTCGAGTGTCGTTTCTACTCGGTGAACATTTCTGTCAAAACCGTCAAATACTCGCTGGCCTCTGTTGTATTACGCGTAGATATTAAAGAGCTTAAATTACTTATATGATGTGAGCACTGATAAAGAAAAAAGAAAGAAAGAAAAAAAACGGCACTAATGAGTGACATGTGTAAGTTTCGTAACGACGGAGCTGTAAAGAAAATACCATAATGAAGTTAAACTCGGCTCGAGTATTGGGTGAGATCAAAGGACCACGAGATCACAGGACCACGAATTCTCAGTCCGTCTGTATACGTAGTATTTCACCCTTCGGCATCCGTAATATTAACGTATTCACGTGGAGTGGGATGAAAACAGAATAAAATTTTAACGACGTAAACAAAGTAGGGCTATTTTACTCGGTTTTTAACGTCTGTCGCTGACTGTCTTTTCTCCAGTAGAATAGTACTGGCTGATTGTTACTGATGTTTAAATATATTTATTGAGTTTCGATAGCAGCAGGACTGGATACAAGTTGTACAACTGATACCAAGTATGAAGTAGCAAAATTCATGATGATATTTACAATACAAAAATACATCATTAAAAAAATCATCAACTTTGTAAACTTTAACATAAGGTGAATAATATTTTCATTAAGCCTGAATATCCGTTTCTCAAGTACTACCGGCGTCGGATCGGAAAAGATGGGATAGTCTAATCTTTATACTAATACACCAATCGTTTGTTTTAATTTTTTAAGAGAGAGGAACAGACAGAGAAAGTGTGTGTGACGGGGGGGGGGGGGGGGGGGGGGGGGGGGGGGGGGGTTAACAAAAGCTAAAGCTACGTTGTTGGAACTCACACCAGTCATAAGACTAACATTTTGGGAATTGTTCACTATAATTGGGAATTTTTTCTAGTTCCCCACAATGACATAGAGTATATTTTCGTTATCTTGTTGTAAATCTGAACTAAATGAGTCCTAACATGGAAAATTCCTCATAATACTGTCATCGACTTATCACTTCACCGTTAAACCTGTGTGTAGGAATCATGGGTAAGTTGACCTTTTGACCCCAAACTCAATCCCACTCTCCATTACCTCATACGCTAGTATCGTATGAAGTTTCAAATATGTATGTATGTGTGTGTGCGTGCGTGCGTGCGTGGACGGATTTGTTGTGTGTGTATGTATGATGTATGTATGTAACTATCAATGTGATTTGTTTATAATAATTTACACTATGGATTTGTTGATTGACCTATTGTAGCACACGGATTGTGTGTCCGCAGAGAGAATAAATTGAATCCTGTACACCGAGGGAAGAAACAATGACATCTGTTACGATTTTATAAGTAAAGTGGTTAGTTTTAGAATGATGATTCATTTTCAGGGAGAAACAGGATATTTAAATGTAAGGCTACGGAAGGTAGAATGATGATAGGCTTTTGTTGGGAGATCTTGGACATAAATGTACACACAAGTACAGATGTACAGCCATCGCGGGAATAGAGGGGTCGTTGGTAATTTGAAGGGATTTGTTGTGTTCAAATTACGTGTTTAGGCAATAATTTATAAACACACACACACACACACACACACACACACACACACACACACACACACACACACACACACACACACACACACACACACACCCTCACACACCCTCACACACACACACACACACACACACACACACACACACCCTAACACTAACACACACACACACACACCCTAACACTAACACACACACTAACACACCCACACCCTAACTCTAACACACACACACACACACACACACTCACACACACACACACACACACACACACACACACACACACACACACACACACACACACACACACCCTAACACACACACACACACACACACACACACACACACACACACACACACACACACACCCTAACACTAACACACATACACACACACTAACACACACACAAATACGGAAGCCCATTGGTACAATTTAAAGGGGTTTGCTGTTTTCAAATAACCCGTTCACGCAATAATGTATAATCACATACACACTCATCTAGGAAGGACACGAGAATACTTATCAAGTTTGACCTTCAAGTAGATTTACCGTACATTGAAGTTTTGTTTTAATTATCATCATCATCATCATCATCATCATCATCATCATCATCATCATCATCATCATCATCATCATCATCATCATCATTCTCGATACTCCATGTTTTACACTCACTAACGATCTCTGTACCCCTGGAACCATCCTCGATACTCCATGTTTTACACTCACTGTCGATCTCTGTACCCCTGAAACCATCCTCGATACTCCATGGTTTACACTCAATGTCGCTCTCTGTACCACTGGAACCATCCTCGATACTCCATGGTTTACACTCACTGTCGATCTCTGTACCTCTGAAACCATCCTCGATACTCCATAATTTAAACTCACTGTCGATCTTTGTATCCCGGGAACCATCCTCGATACTCCATGGTTTACACTCACTAACGATCTCTGTATCCCTGGAACCATCCTCGATACTCCATGGTTTACACTCACTGTCGATCTCTGTACCTCTGAAACCATCCTCGATACTCCATAATTTAAACTCACTGTCGATCTCTCTATCCCGGGAACCATCCTCGATACTTCAGGGGCTACACTCACTGTCGATCTCTGTATCCCTGGAACCATCCTCGATACTCCATGGTTTACACTCACTAACGATCTCTGTATCCTGGGAACCATCCTCGATACTCCATGGTTTATACTCACTGTCGGTCTCTGTATCCCGGGAATCATCCTCGATACTCCATGGTTTACACTCACTAA